CCCTCCCCTTCCGGTTGAGCCCCATGGGACCTTATTTCGGAAAAGTTATGCATTGAAGTCAATGGAGAGAGAAAGATTATCTTTCGATCCCGTTTGAATTGTGCCACGAATTACACATATGATGTTTGTCAATTTAAAAGATAATTTTGCAAGTCAAAAAAATTAAAATGTGTCGTAAAACTGTGAAGTAACACATTTGTTTGTGTGAAAGGCTCAATGAACTACATCTCTGGTCAACCACACACGTCACCAAGATGGCCGTCACTACTGTCTTGTCAACAAACGATTGACTATCCTCACTATCACCACAATGAAACACGTCCTGAAGAATGTCATGCAAAGCCTGCCTTCCTTTGATTCTCTCTGAACTGCCTGGTCGTTTTAATGTTTAATGTCAACCATTTGTGCAGATAGCATGAAGTAGAAAAGATCGCCGATGCTAACGTTAGCGTTAGCATTTCTCCCCCGGAATTAAATGGTGTATTATAGAATGATCACACCGGTGACAGTACTATTCAAAGGGTTCACGAAATATGACTACTACTCTTACTGTTTAACATTTTGGGTTACTTAATGTTACTTCATGTTAAGGCTAATAAAAATGACAAGGCTGTAATGCTAACTAACGTGCTAGCTACTAGCTAGGTAGCTAACTTGATCAAGCCACTCCTGGTCGTTTCATCAGACGGGAAGCAAAAGAACGAGCAAGACCCATTGCTGGTATAATAACAACCTGGTACTAAGCACACAGGCATCTTGTTAAAGTTATCTTATCTTAGCCAGCGCCATATAGATAGATTATATCTATATTGCGCTGATCTTAGGTATCTGAATGGTGGAGGTAAACAATTGTGACATCACTTACGCGACTCTGGGATTTGTAGTCTTTCTAGTTACGTATTTTTCATAGTCTTATATTTCAACAGTTTTACGACAAACTGTGACTTTTTTGACATGGAAATGATTTTTTAAGATTGACAAACATCATATGTGTAATTCATGGCACAATTCAAACGGGATCGAAAGATAAATTTTCTCTCCCCATTGACTTCAATGCATAACTTTTCCGGAATAAGGTCCCATACCCCGGAAGTAAGTGGGAGGGACTTCGCCACTCTATACACTTGCAGAGTCTATGCAAATTGATACCTTATGCAAAGATGATGGATCAAAAGACATTTTTCAAAGCAGAAATGATGGCTTATTTTTGCAGGAAAAGCACAATTGTAAATAATAACTTGAATTCCATGTAACTGGTTCGATTTCCTGGTACTGTCCATGCTGGTTAACTGTTACACAGTAATTGGTTGTTATAAATATGAATTTCTGCACTCCAAGCATTATAAAAAACATCTTTATTTTGTGGTACTGAGTCCTTAACGGATCCCAATAACCCACCTTTAACTTAAAGGTAGGGTAGGTAAGTTTGAGAAACCGGCTCGAGATCGCTAGAATTTGAAAATACACAACCGGAGAAAATCTGCCACTTCCTTATAGAGCCCCTCCTCCAACACACACGAACGCGCACATGACCAATGAGGGCACGAGATAAGTTTGTGCCCCGATGGAAGGCTGACAGGCAGGTAGGCCATCCAGTTATTTTAGCCGGGCCGGCTAAAATGATTGGTCGTGCTTTTTACAGTACTACGGCTTCCACAGATGAAATTTTTTAATGGATTTTTTGTCAAAGCACTTAAGATATTCATTGCTATCGGGATGTTAAGAGCATTCCATGGAATATAACAAAAAGTGTATCTCGAGCCGGTTTCTCAAACTTACCTACCCTACCTTTAAGGGTTTGTTTTAGGTAAAGGACACTATAAAAAAAACGTCCTTTTTTTTGTTTCCTGTATCTCTCTGTAGTGTACATATGCAATGCAGTGGTGACACTGTATTATGATATGTTCAGTGTCAAATAGCTTGATTCACCTCGACTCTGTTTAGCCTAATGAATCATCTTGTTCTACCTAGACCTCATCGTCACCAGCTAATTCTGCTACATTATCTTTTCCTAGATTTTGATGCAAACAACATCTTCAGGGCTTTCTTTGGCGGCCATGGTGGTGGTGGTGGAGGTGGAGGAGGAGGACAAGGAGGACAAGGAGGAGGGGGAGGATATAGTTTTGACTCCAGTCCAGGTATGTGTTTTGCCCAGTTCAGACATCCTTTAGTTTATTGAACACAGAAGAATTGATAAGAGAAATCACATGATATGAACTAACTTTCTTTTTCTTTTTTTCAAGACTCTGGACCTGGAAATTTCTTTTTCCAGTTTGGTTAAAGTGAAGGAGCATGCGGGAAAATGCCGCCCTGCAGTGGACAGAATCAAGTTGGACCCACAGTCACCTCCTGACGCTCACACTCCTGAGTGTCTCGCAAAATCTCCCCACTATTTTTTTCTTTTTAAAGGTGTTTTTGATTACTCCATACACTCTTAAACTCTGCCCCGCATTGATGCTAACAAAAAGTGGGAAGGATAATTGAGAGACTTTAGTTAAGAATTAACATTGTAAATAAGAAAGTGCTTAAGTCTTTTTTTTTTAGGAGGTTTGGATCAGCTGATCAGAGCATGCCCCTTTTGCCAAAATCAAAATGATACTAAATTGAAATCTTGTTAAACTGCCTATACTTTCAGAAGTGAGCAGTTGGTAGAAATTCATTGGAAGTGTAAGCATCATGATTGATTTTTAGAAGACTTAACATGGCATACGTTTTTTTTAAGGTTCTCCTGGGACAGCATGTCTCCATAGAGCAAGAGTCAATATGCTGTGGAAGTTCAATGTCTAAACTGACCTCAGGACAGCCTTTATAGGACAACACCGGTTTCTTGCGAGCGCGTGTTCAGGTTTTTTGGCTCACTCGGCAAATTTATAGAATCAACGTGCAGGGTTTTTTGTTTCTTCTCCATGCTGCATTGTATATTTGACTCGAATGTAAAGCGTTTTGTCCATAAATGTTTTTTTCTTCAGTTTTCCCTTAGTCTATTTATATTTATTGTACTGTATATCCTAACCTGTATACAGCATAATGCCAGTGTTCATGGTCTTCCTCCTTTTTTAAGAGACTCATTTGTAAATGTTTTTCACATCATCATCTTTGCTTTCAGATTACGCAAGTCTTTTATTTTTTTTCAGAAACAGGCCAAAATCAACACACACACACACACACACACACACACACACTTACACCTACAGATGTCCTACTCTCGAAAGCACCGATAACACATCTGTCCCATTGAAATGTAATTGGTGCCTTACCAGAAACACCAGATCAGTTCATCTTCTTACAGTCAAACAGTACAGCAAAAGCTCAAGAGCAAGTCCTGTTTGCAAAAGGCAGCATTTACACTTGTATAGCACGTTGTTTTTTGTTTTTGTGCTCTTTTACAGGACGTGTTTAACATCTGGCCAGTGAACGAAAATGATTTTTTGCAATGAAATTCTTCATCTCGTCAAACATAAAAGACTTCATCTCATGTATTGTCGATCACGCCTGGCTATCATCCACCCATACTTGTAATGCACGTTCTGTCAGTACAGCTTTTACCCTACTCGTTCCACCTGTTTTGAAAAGGGCACTGATGGTAGGTTGGAAACTTCTATTGTTAATTGTTCTATCACTGATCTATGTATCATTTTTAAAACTTGTCACAGTATTATTGACATGCTTTTCTTATTGCGAAAAATAAAAGCTCGTCTTTTACTGTAATGTTGGGACTTTTTTTTTTTTTAAGTTATGTAGAGAGTAATTTACTAAAATACTGTACTTCAATTAATATAATTTATTATCTCTTAATTTGACAGCCATAGTTACTTTCATTAGGATTTACACATAAAAACATGTAATCTGTTTAAAAAAGTTGATGCACTAGTAGTTTTTAAATGACACCGCGGGGTCTTAAAAAGTATTACAAGTTGATAAGTCAATTTAGCGAACATTAAGGCTATTAAAAAGTATTAAACTGCATTTTCCAAGGTATTACATTTTGTAGCTTGTTTTCAATAAGTATATACATTCTCCAAAGAGGTTGTATTCTAAAGTTTACCTGAATTTAATCATTGCGTAGGTGTGTAGTGTGATTCTTTGTAGCTTATTTATGGCATCCCGTTGGTTTTGACGTCATCTGAACAGGACATCGCACGCTCACTGACTGACTGACTGCTGCTTGATAGCGTGCGAAGGTCCGTTTATTCCGGTTGTTAAACAACATTGTTATGGTGAAATGCAAGTTTGCGTCCAAATGGTTGGAAGATAAGAAGGAAGGACAATCAATACTGTATATAGTAAATGTGAGGTAAACTGTCGCCATCGTAACCGGTTAAAACTCGAAGTGGCGATGAGGTCTTAAAATGTATGGAAAGGGTCTTAAAAGGTATTCAATTTGACTTCAGGATTCCTGCATATACCCTTGCACCTCAACCAGCTGAAAAAGTATTTCTGCTATATTATATAATCCAAAAATATATAATTATATACCATTCTGAAAGAGATTTTCCTTAAAGCATGCTTTTTTAACAGATGTATTCTCATAACACCTATGCAATGTGTAAAGAAATACAGGGTTGGAAGACTTTATTTTGGTAATTTTAGGCTACTTTTACTTATGTTGGGGCTATTATTTCTTCTTCCAGCACAGAGCAAACACTGCTAGTTTGGCTCACATTTTTGAATATTTATAAACAGAAATTGTAAAAGAAAACATGATCAAAATCGATTAAGTGTGTCTAAATCACACGTTAAATTGCAGGAATAGTAAGAATATTAGGGAAATATTAAAATAAATTCAGAAGTATTGTCAGATAAACCAAAGTATTGCACATTTTAAATATTTTTGCACAATAAATTCTTACAAAATGTTATTGTATAGTTAAATCAGTATTACACCATTTAGATATAAATAAATATTTGGGTGGCCTCTTATTATGTAGTCGTGTGGGCGTAACTGACGTCATCACGTGACCAGGTTTGGACCAATCAGGCGCCGGCATCGACGGGTAATCGGTCGCAAGATTATGGTGCGACAGTAGGGACGAGAGTGAGGCGAGGTGGCAACTGGCAGAAGCAGACCCGGGTTCAACAACAAGTAGTGACTCTTTAGCTGTGCCATTTTACACCGGAACGTGATTCTTGCACTTCAAGGAGGTGCTACTTTCATTGACAAGGTAACCCCATCCCGTTAAATGTTGTTTTTGTACACCAACGTTAGCTTCACCAGTTAGCAAAAGACTGTATGCAGCAATGTTAGGCTACAGCAGTTAGCCAGACAGGACTTTCAGGTGTAAGATGCTGTAATATCTGATACAACAGCTGTCACCCTGCCTAAGAGAAAAAGCAGAAATGAATCACAAACGCAGGCTCCCTGTCCTGACCGTCCTGAAAAGCTTGTTGTTTCCCTTTCCTAGCTCCCTTGTCGGGTTGTGCTTCACCTTATACATGTGTACATCTCCATTCCAGGAAGTTCCTTATTTACGCACAGCACGTTATTGAACTTGCTTGGTTAGCTAGTCGAGGCTACTAACTATGTGGAGTGGGTGTGGTAGCTGGTACAGGAGATCCATTCACTGGTGTTGGCCTGACGCACAAGATGTAGCATTACAGAATACATGGGAAAAGTGATGCTATAGCAGCTGAAACAGTACCCCCTTTCTGGCCCCATGTGATGCTACCATTGCCTCTTACCAATCCCAGTCTCCTTCATCTCAGGAGCCTGTACAGTGACACATATTTCACGGCTAAATAGCTTCAAACAATAGGCTGGACCCGTGGATTATGGAAGGCTAAACACTGGGACATCTGGCTATGAAAGCATGACAGGATAGCGTGCTAAGCTAAATCCAAGCCGACACCCCCAGGTTACATTTGACATACCTCTTGCAGACTGACTTTATATGTTGTAGTGCTGCAGCTGATGCAGAAGCTGCTATCATAAAGCTACTGTGAGCGTTTATTTGTAAAGCTGAAATAAAGCCATCATAACGTGTTATCAGATACACAAAGGCAGGGGAGATATGATGCATGTTACAAAGGCTCACTGCTTATCTCTGTTTGGTCTTTAGAAGTGGTTGTAAAGGTTCTTCATTGCTTTCTACATTATTTCTGATGCAGTATTGTAAGTGACGTGTCTGCAGAGCAGGTACGACAACACGTTTAAAACAGGAATTTCAGGATCATCAGTGCAACTTCACATCTTACCACACAAACATATAACAAAAGGATAGTTTGCTTGCTTTTTGTGGTTCATATCCTTTTTGTGACTAGTTAGACTGAATTGCAAAAACACGAAAATGCCTCATTTGGTCAAGCTGTGTGAATTTTGACTAGATCTTTTCATGACATGTACGTGATGACTTAACACATTTTGAATATCCTCTTCTCTCTCTATGATGACAGTTTGAAATCCTTAGTGAGATGATGATGTAGCCTAAACAGAGACATTATACTTACGAATGAATAAAATAAACCCAGGATTTATTCTGCCTTAAGGATACTAGTTCACGCACTATTTCATAACGTTTTAAGTTCTGGTGCATATCCATTGGTTGTGGACCTTAACTCTCTCTTGGTCTGTCTGGATTTTAGAAGTTGCCTTCATTGCCAGCTCAAGTGAATTGGATAAACATGTGACCATTCAGCAGACAGGGAATACTTTTACACTTTAGCTCAATCTGTAGCAAAGGATTTGTCGCTGTGGAAATATCAAACACAAATATTGCTGGCAAAGCACCAGAAAACTTTAAAGGTTAGCTTGCACTTAATGAAATATGCATGTCATTAGATCAAAGCTAGTCAAACTAGCTTTGTGAAACATTAGTGTGTGGCTAGGACAATAGGTGATTGATAAAAATGTCTCCCAAAAAACAGATGCACAAGACATGGATTTATTATTCAGGATTTCCAATTTATTCTATATTTGTTCGTAGGAATGCAAAAAAAAAACGTATCGATTTGTCCTGGCTTTTGTTTGTTTTATCCATCAATGTTGACATATGATGTTGTAACTCTGTGAAATGAACTGTCGGCCTCTCTCTCCTGAAGGTCCTGTGCTATCCAGCGCCACCATGTCAGCGAAAGCCATCTCAGAGCAGACGGGAAAAGAGTTCTTGTATAAGTATATCTGCACCTCGGCGGCTGTGCAGAACCGCTTCCGCTATGCCAACGCCACGGCTGAGACCGACTGGGTCCGCCTGGCACAGGATCATCCATGGCTGCTGACGGAGGTGAGGCTGCGGAGAGAGACCCAACACATCCTTCTACTCCTATCTAAGTTTGAGAATCTTTCCTCTGCTGATTGAAGTCATGAGGCTAATTATCTACTGTATGTCACTGTGACTGTGTGCATGATTTGCTGGACATTATGTGATTACCTTCACAGTGGCATGTGATGCGTCTAAATGCATTATTTGACTGTTGTTTTAGTAGCATTAGCAAATACCTAATATCTCTGAGTTTAATATTTTTTAGTTTGTGTCATTATTTGTAATTCTGTGTTCCAAGAATCCTACTTTAGAGTATATGAGTTGTATTTGTCACACCAGTATCGGTACAAATCTTTGCCTTTGTAAAATAAGTGGCTGATCGTTGACTTTCTTCCCTACAGCGGCTGGTGGTGAAGCCAGATCAACTAATCAAACGGCGGGGAAAGCTCGGGCTGGTGGGCGTCAACCTGGACCTGCAGGGTGTCCAAGAGTGGCTTAAAACCCGTATGATGAAGGAGACCACTGTGAGTAATCTCTCCGTCTGTCTTAGTGAGCCTTTAGACAGAAAGCAGCCCAGCATTACCTTTTTAAAGACAATGAAATATGATCCAGGAACTCAACACACTGTTTATCAGGCACCAAAAAACCAAGCACACGTAGATGAAGTAATCTACCAGAGACATTTTTTACACTCCTTTCATGACATTCCAAAAGCAGCTTTACTGGTCATCTGGCTGTTTTGTCATTCTGACAAAGAGTAATCAGTCTTTTTTTACTAAAGGGAAAGCTGTTTGTTGTTTATATCTCTATTCAAGTTTTTTCTCAGAATTCGCTTGGATAAGTATCAAATACTTTGACCGTGTATCCACTCTCAGATAACTTTATTGTCTTAATTTGTTTCTTTATCTTTGTTATCTTTTTATCTTCCACTTTACAATCCTCCAATATTGAAATATGTGGAATGACAGCTGACATAGTATGACTGGTATGTGATGTTATAAAAAACACAAAGAAGTCTCATTTAACGATATAAATGCATTGCATCTTAGATATGTTTAGCACATGGTCTCTGCTTCTCAGGGAGACTTTTCTGACTAATGATGTCATAAAATGAAGATAACAATGCAGTAAAACAGTCTGGCCCATGCAGTATTCACATCTTTTGTATAGTAACTGAAAAGACTGTACGCTTCTTTTTGTGCATTAGTCCCAGCATGTGGAGCTGTTATGTGCAGAAGGCTGGTGTGTCCAGTGCCAGAGGCCATGGGCTTATGTTTAGATCTGCCAGGTCAGAGGTTATATAATGCCAAGGAAGAGCATGGACTATTTCTGGTCCACCCATGCAAACATGCCGTGCTGCACTTCAAACAAACTGTCTCCATACTACCAGTAAAAAAATAAAACTCATTTACTGGCCAGACATGCCATTCAATTAGCTTTTTTTAGTATCATTTGTCATTCTATCATCTTTCTTTAAATAGAAAAAAGGGCATGGTGAACATAGAAAAACTGGGTGTGTAGATCTGACAGTATATTATACATTTAAACCTGGGAGGAGTATGAAATGACGTGTTTGGGTTTGATGACATCAAGTGTTTGTCTTGAATAGGTCGGAAAAGCAAAGGGTGTGCTGAAGAACTTCCTCATTGAGCCGTTTGTTCCACACCCACAGGTAATGTATGCTACGTTTCTTGTTTTTGTATGCTACGTTTCTTGTTTTTCATCATTTCATATCCTGTTCTGAAAGCCAAGTTAATTTAAAGGTCCCATGTCATGCTTTTCCGGTTATTACCCGTCCCCTTGTGTGTTATGAAGGTTTTTATGCATGTAAACGGTGTGCAGAGTCACAAACCCTCAAAGTACACCCTGTAGCGAGTAAAACTCTAACACAGAAAATACCTGTCTATGCTGCCCCAGAACGCCTCGTTGGAGATTTCTCTTTTTCCATTGTTTTCTTCCTGGGTACAGTGACGTGCCCATACCCAAATGGACCCATTGGTCCAAGTGGACCAATCCGTGGAGCCGTTAGGTTAAGACTTCCTCACACTCACTCACTCAATCTTTTCTCAGCTGCAGCTCCGCCGATTTCTCCTCCCTGAGACGGCGGGGCGAGGCTGTGAGTCGTGTGTGAGCACACACACAAACTCCCAGCCAGGCTGCGGGTGTGTGTGTTCAGGCTGTGTCTCGCTGTCTCGCAGACGGCCACTGGGCTTATAGGGAGGGGGGGGGCAGGAGCTCCAACAAGCCGTTTAGGACAGAGAGTGAATACACATGCTATACAGAGATGCTGTATGAGAAACCAATGTGATTTTGGAAAATTGCACAATATAAATCTATTTTAGTATACCTCAACAATGGAATTATGATCAGTAGAAATGGCCATGACATGGGACCTTTAAGTTGACAAACAATAACCACTAGTTAACCCACTTGGCAAGTACGTAAAATCTCCAGGGCAAAGACACAAATATGTTTTTGTATTCAGGTCATGTGATTTGGTGGTTGATGCCCTCACAGTTTTGTGAAGAGAACAAACTAAGATTATAGTGTTGCAGTATATGTGTCACCCGTGACTGTGAGAAAACATGCCTCAAGGTCAGCTCTGTTAAAATGGGGAACTAAATTGGATATTTGTCAAACAAGCTCGTCAGGCTTTTGTAAACAAGTGAAACATTCGCTCTGAAGTTTGCCAAAGATATCTCTGTTTGTATATGCTTGAACTCGCCCTAATGCTGTACTGATCTACCCAGGAGGAGGAGTTTTATGTGTGTATTTATGCCACACGTGAGGGCGACCAAGTGCTTTTCCACCACGAGGGAGGAGTGGAGGTGGGCGATGTGGACGCCAAGGCTGAGAGGCTGATGGTGGCAGTGAACGAAAAGCTGAGTGAGGACCAGGTCACTGAGCAGCTCCTCACACACGTTCCTGAAGACAAGAAACAGTAAGGACACATGCTTTCATTTATTTTTCGTTCGCACTATAAGATCTACAGCAGTCAACTTAACCCAATTTCAATTCAGAGATACTTGGATAAGAGGTTGTACCCCCTCATGTGTTAGGCCATTGCTACAAATACAACACTATGATAAGCATCCATATTTTAAATCATGATATATAGTTATTGTCCCACCTTTCCTTTAACTTAATTTTTGTGTATTTAGAAGAAGAAGAAGATGGACCTTTATTAATCCCCTGAGGGGGAAATTCAGTTTCTACTGTGTCGTACACACATGCGTTTTTATACAGGTACATACAGGTTAGGGTTAGGGTTAGGGTTAGTACACAGTACACACTTTTTACATCATGCACATACATATACAAATACACAGTTATATGCACACATGCACATGCAGTTGAGAGGTCAGAGCGGAGGCAGCCAGTCTAGCCAGCGCCAGTGAGCAGTTGGGGGTTAGGTGCCTTGCTCAAGGGCACTTCGGCAGTGGCCCAGGAGGTGAACTGGCTCCTCTCCAGTGCCAGTCCATCTATTCTTTGGTCCAATCGGGACGTGAACCGGCGACCCTTCGGTCCATATAAAAATATATATTTATATTTCTCCAAACAGCATAAAACAAGGCAAAATGAACTGCCATGAATGAACAATTTAAGCTTTCTCATTTAAAATCTAGCCCAGTTCGGAAGAGTTCACCATTTCTCTCTCTGACTTGCAACCTCTAACCTCAAACCTTCTTCAGTTCCGTTTACTGCCAGATAAAGTGTAGCATGTACCACAAAATGATGACGAAACTCAACTTTTTGCAGCGTAGTTTATTGCTTCACTGCTGGCGGATGAACGTGCAAATCATTTGCATTTCTGTTTTGCAACATTTAAAACGTTTGCTTAAAATAGGCTTATATCCTAACCTGGTTTTGGATGATTCCTTTTGTAACTGTTGCTATATTTTTCTTCCAATGCATCAAAGATAGTCTCTCTTCATTGTAGTTTGTGTATTTTAGCTGTTTGGTTACCTTGAGATGTGTGTTTTAGATTAGTTTTCCAAATACCATCCCTGGGGTGCAGAGAACATGCTGATCCCTCTTTGATGCAGCAAAACATTTCTGTTTGCTTCCAAAGGCAGAACGTGTGAAGAAACTAGTCAAAGTGTGATCCCCTCTGAATTAAATAACTGCTGCACTGTATGTTATAAGTGGCAGCACTTGGCATAATATGTTATGTAATGTATAATATATGAATGTTCTTAATGTTTCCTAATTTTAATGGAATGTTTTTGTTTTTCTTAAAGAGTCTTAGCCAGCTTCATAGTTGGCCTCTTCAACTTGTACGAGGACCTCTACTTCACCTACCTTGAGATCAACCCTATAGGTACAAACTATGTTAAACTTCAAAGACTTTAGGACACTGAGAAGTGAGATGGAGTGTCATTCTTCACTTTGGGAATATGTCAAGTATTTTATTATTCCAACGGCTCAAATTGACCATTCAACAGAATTAATTAAGTATTTTGAGGGGATTCATTATTAATTTATGGGAACAATTTACTAATGGTGCATATTAATGATAAATGTCAAATTATCAAATGTACCACTGTGGCATATTCTTCTATAACATCTTCATTTGAGAAAAAACATGAAAACATCACAATAATAAATAGCACAACTTTTATTCTCTTAACCAGTCGTCACCAAAGATGGAGTGTACGTCCTGGACATGGCAGCCAAGATTGATGCCACAGCAGATTACATCTGCAAGGCTAAATGGGGGGATGTGGAGTTCCCACCTCCCTTTGGCAGGGAAGCATATCCAGAGGTGAGACCTGAAGTACAGTAAAGAAGGTTTTTATGCACGTGTGTGTTAAGATCTATTGGGTTGAAATGCATCACACAATGTGTAGTTTTGGACCGTCTCAAATATATTAAAAAGTCCAAACCTCCAGGTTTGGACCCTAACCCATGAAACAGAAACTGAAGTGCAACATTGTTATGCCCTCCTGCTTGGCCTTATTACCACTGTATGATGTGTCCATTGCAGGAGGCATACATAGCTGACCTGGATGCAAAGAGTGGAGCCAGTCTGAAGCTGACGCTGCTGAACCCTCAGGGCAGGATCTGGACCATGGTGGCCGGGGGAGGGGCTTCAGTAGTCTACAGGTACACCAATCTTTAATAAGGGTTCATATCAAGCTTCTTTAGCTAACGAATCTGCTTTGCTGGATTAAAAATATACTATATAGAGTTTTTAATATTGTGTGAAACTGTCATTGCTCCATGGCTTAACATGTAGAAGAAGAAGAATAGGGAGGGATGAAACCCTCTTTAATGGTCACACATGCAGAGCACACAGCACACACAGTGAAATTTGGCCTCTGCTTTTAACCCATCCTAGTACAAGGAGTCTAGTACTAGGAGCAGTGGGCAGCTATTGTACAGCGCCCGGGGAGCAATGGGAGTGGGGGGGGAAGGGGGGTGTCCGGTGCCTTGCTCAAGGGCACCACGGCAGGGCAGGAGGTGAACTGGGACCTCTCCAAGTAGAAGTCCACACTCCATATTTAGGTCTGGTCGGGGACTTGAACCAGCGACCCTACGGCTCACAGTCCAAGCCCCTACTGACTGAGCCACTGCCGGACTGTATATTTTCTACTTTCTTGTTTTATTTTATTGTAAAATGCCTTGTCTTTTATGCTGTTGCAACACAAACATTTCCCAAATTGGGATCAATAAAGTACCATCTTATCTTAAAATATAAAGGGATTTTATTTTGCCTCAAAGCAAGTTTTTGTTTGGAAAACAGCTGTTATTTTAAAGGCTGCCTGGGGAGGATTTTAACCTTCATTTATGCTATCGAGCAGGGTTCTTGTAGGTTTGTGTCCCTGTTAAGTTTTTCTTGTGGACACGCATGAGGCATGTATGCATTATACCATACCCTGTAGAAAAAAACATCTGTAGCGCTACTGTCCAACTTCCGGCTAATCTAAAAATGGGGTTGTCGGTGGAGATGAGTCAGGCAGAGGTGACGGAGCAGAGCAGACGGAAAATGCTAGCGGCAAGTGAACTGAGGCACGAATAATTGGCAACTTTAAGCCTTTAACTTAATTAAACGGGTGAGTTATATAATGCAAACCATGAACACCTATCACTAATAGGGGAAATTAGCTAAAGAGACCAAAGCCGCCTTTCATACCAGGCTGTAGACGTGTTTTATTCTGCTGCAAAGTTTAAAATTGAGGTATATGTAGAATGACTCCCTATTGAAGCCAGCATTAAGTGCAGTTTTTGCACCGTTATTTTTAAACCAAAAGCAATAACTAAAATGTGAACTCAGTACTTAACCATCCATCTTTCCTCTTCCTTAGTGACACCATTTGTGACCTGGGAGGGGTGGACGAACTGGCCAACTACGGAGAGTACTCCGGCGCACCCAGTGAGCAGCAGACCTACGACTACGCTAAAACAATCCTCTCTCTCATGACACGGGAGAAACATCCTCAAGGTCGGTGCAGCCAACACTCATTGAGACTTGTTTTTCCCCAACAAGGTCAATAAAATAAGCCACAAAAAGTCTCGGGAGACAGACTTTAGGAAACCAAGCTTGACTGTTTTATATTAATAGGACATTTCCTTTGGACTTTTCCAAGTTTGTTTAAGCAATAAAATGTGGGTTCTGCAATGTGACCTTCATGTTTTTGTTAAGATTGTCACAAGGCTGCTGTTCACTGTGTGTGGGCTGCCAGCAATAGACCTCAGGGCTGTCACCAAACTGTAACTGGGGTGTCGCATTTCAGTCATGAACATCTTCCTAACAACACTACTCTCTCTGTTTCCTGCAGGGAAAGTGCTGATCATCGGAGGAAGTATTGCCAACTTCACCAACGTAGCAGCAACATTCAAGGTGAAACGCATAAATATATGAAAAACATCATGAAACGTAAACTCAAGTCCAAATCTTATTATAGGTATGTAAAAGCTAGGGTACGTAACATTGGAAAAGCAAGATGGAGTCACATTTTTAAATGATCCAACCCCAAAACGCAGACCAATATCCGTCTCTCTGAGCAGCTCTTATTGACTGACACCTTTCTCTCTCTCCTTAGGGCATTGTCAGGGCAATCAAAGACTACCAAGGTCCTCTGAAGGAGCACGAGGTCACCATCTTTGTTCGACGTGGCGGACCCAACTACCAGGAGGGGCTGAGGGTGATGGGAGAAGTAGGTGAGTGAGATGAAGCTAAAGGTGACAAGAAAGAGACCAAGACAAAGAATCATTTGTTACTTGAAATGCTTGATAACCTGATTTCAGTGTCTGATTGTTGGCTGTAAAAGCGGCAGGCACTGATAGATGGTCGACCCCGACTCTCTTCCAAGAACTAATTGTCATTAAAATAAATGTAACATATTTATTCAACAAACTTAAAGATGTTAAACTATTTATTTGAACAGCTATGTCTCTGTTTGTCTCTTTCTGCAGGGAAGACCACAGGTATTCCTATCCATGTGTTCGGTACTGAGACCCATATGACGGCCATTGTTGGAATGGCTCTGGGCCACAAGCCGATCCCTAACCAGCCGCCGATGGACGCACATACGGCTAACTTCCTCCTCAACGCCAGCAACAGTCCAGCGGTACTTACATTCAGTCACACAATGAGAACATTTTACATGACCTGCAGCTCTTTTATTTTACACACATTACAGATGTCATATTGCTTGAGATTAATTTCAATGTGCCAATTGTCCAGTTGGATGGAATTCGCATTTTGAGCTGTCCTTAAGTAATTTGAAAATGTGTGATATTATATCGTAAGTATATGCACTTGTTGTTCCCATGTAGTGAAAGGTGATGCTTGTTTAATGGCATTAAATGACCTGTGATACAGTTCAGTCATGCATGTTCAAACACTATTTAAGGTTTGGAGTTTGTAACTTGCTTGAGTAGCTCTATTGTGAAGCCTTACACAGTTTTCTTTTTTATGGTCCGTGTGCTACTTTTATTTGTCAACTGAATTTAAAATGTATACCTGTCACAGCTATAAGGACGGGTAATAAGCTCATACATTGCATGCGTGCACTGAAATGTAAAACTTGTACTGTAAGTGGGGAAATTGTTGGTTCCCTGCTACCATTTCTTCTTGGAAGCTTCTGTAAAGCTTTCAATAACATGAATGTTTGTTTCTCAATTTTTTTGTTCCAGACTCCAGCAACAACAAGGACAGCTTCATTCTCCGAAGCCAGGACGTCTAACAATGTCACCCCGGCTAAAAAGTCTAAAGCAGGTCTTCCAGCAGGTAACTAACACAGCCTTACTGTAGTCCACTGTGTCTAATGAGCACAACCCCATATGTACTCGTACACTTCTGCTTTTTCATTTCACTGATCCCTGCGGCCTGTATTTCTCCCTTCCCTCTCCCAAATGCTACTTTTCTGCTTTTTCATTTTCATTCAATTTTTTCCTCCTCTTCTTTTGTTTGCTGCACAAACTGTGTCCTCTCACCCTCGTCCTTTTCATGCTTGTTTCTCTAAGACTCTCTTCATTCTATACTGTGGCCTCTGAAGAATGTGGTCATAGGCGATTGGAAAGGTAAGTGATAGGTGTGCCATGCCCACACTGCGCTCGGCTCCTTATACCCTCCACCGAAGTGTGTGTGTGTGTGTGTGTGTGTGTGTGTGTGTGTGTGTGTGTGTGTGTGTGTGTGTGTGTGTGTGTGTGTGTGTGTGTGTGTGTGTGTGTGTGTGTGTGTGTGTGTGTGTGTGTGTGTGTGTGTGTGTGTGTGTGTGTGTGTGTGTGTGTGTGGTGTGTGTGTGTGTGTGTGTGTGTGTGTGTGTGTGTGTGTGTGTGTGTGTGTGTGTGTGTGTGTGTGTGTGTGTGTGTGTGTGTGTGTGTGTGTGTGTGTGTGTGTGTGTGTGTGTGTGTGTGTGTGTGTGTGTGTGTGTGTGTGTGTGTGTGTGTGTGTGTGTGTGTGTGTGTGTGTGTGTGTGTGTGTGTGTGTGTGTGTGTGTGTGTGTGTGTGTGTGTAGTGTGTGTGTGTGTGTGTGTGGTGTGTGTGTGTGTGTGTGTGTGTGTGTGTGTGTGTGTGTGTGTTAAGTTCAGCACAGGCTATTTCAATTTGGGCTTTCCCTTTTTAAAGTAAAGGCATGGTCTGTAGCAGCTGAGCTTTGCATGGTGTTTCCTCTGGTCTGTTTTATGAAGAGATGAGACAGTTTACAGAATGCACTGAAGTCTGTTTATGAATGAGATAAAGATGCACTCATTATTTTCTCATTTTGTTGTATTTTGTGTTCCTGTCCCGTTGGGTCACAGAAGCGATAGCCTCTTCAGGCTGCAGCAGAGGTAGGGAAGGGTGTGAACAAACCTGTCCTCCTGCCCTCTCAGCCCTCTGTCCCCTGCCTTCACATGTGTGGCTTTTTGCTGATGTTAGGGTGGCTTACTCACCTTTTTAAGGGTGGCTGTTTTATGTTTTTTCTGAACATACATTTGTCAAGGAAGCATACATCAACAGTGACATTGGTGAATAATTCTTATATATTATAAGAATAAACAAAACTGTGATGTATGACAGCCTAAACGAGTCAATCATTTTAACATTTGCCTTACCCTTTTAAGGCCAGCACATCCTTATTCAAATCATTTTATCAAAATGGCAATGTGGCTTATTGTGGGGGGGAAATGTGTCAGAAATCCCCTGCAAAAATCTCACCATAATCATTTTAATATATCTTTTGAAAAAGGATAATTTACTCTTATAATGCAATTGCAATATCATTCAAATTATTCCCAGTTATGTTTTTTACAAAGGCAGTGAGTCTGGACAGAGAGGAGAGACTTGCGAGGCCTTAAACTAATGTGTGGCATGATGGTGACTAACTGAAAACAAATTCCAAACCACATTGTACCCTAACAGGACAATCTGCATACTCTGGGGGTTGCTTTATCTGGACCTTGCTTTGAAATATGTTAATTGAATTACAAGATGAGAACTTTATCATCACAATTGAGGCTTACATAGTATTACAGCTTGTAGGGTGATTTTTACAAACACAGAGTAAAAAATGTGAACTCTGTGTTTGTAAAATTAGCACTGTAAAAATGCTATATATATATATATATATATATATATATATATATATATATATATATATATATATACTACAATATATTCACATTTTTTACTCTGTGTTTGTAAAATTAGCACTGTAAAAATGCTATATATAATGTATAATGTGTGGGGTTTATATTACAATGCACGTATAAAGACCTGCCATGTCAATATGGCCGGCAAACTGCATCAGAGAAACATGGCCTTCCTTCTGGAGTGATGTTTGTTATGGTGACGAGTTGTTTTCTCTACTTCCTGTGTCTCTGTTGTTACCATTCACATTCCTGCTGTTTTCCTGAGCCTGACCCCCTCCCCCCTCTTGCCAGTTGTGATTTTTATTTCTGCTTAAATCGCCAAATTCATTTTCTCTCCGTCTGACTTCTCTTTCTTTCAGCTAGAGCCACCACGCTCTTCAGAAAACAAACCAAGGCCATAGTGTGGGGTATGCAGACACGTGCAGTGCAAGGCATGCTGGACTTTGACTACGTATGCTCCCGGGACGAACCCTCTGTGGCAGCCATGGTGTACCCCTTCACGTAGGTTCCCCAAGATCTTAAGTTTGTTTAAAATCTGTTGAATTACAGGACTTTGTATTCCTCTGATTATGACAATCTCCACAGTGTTGCAAAAATATCCTCCTTATTTCAGTTTCAGTGCAGACATCATGTGGCGTTGTCTTATAATGTGTGTGTTGTTGCTACCAGATCCAAATATTAAAAGGAAAAACTACACAGATCATTTTGTCACATTGTGTAAAGAACTAAGGAGACATTTCTTCCACCCATACATTAGTTTTTTTATCCTAATATCCTGCTTTTAACTTGTCAGATATGCATGTCTTTTATCAAGTCATATTTTACCTTGGTTAAATTGTCTTTTTAGTTAACATGTTCTGACAAATAACAAACTTAGAAACCTGTACTCGACTATAGACCAAATCTTTTATTTATAGTCTTCTGCCTTGTGTTACGTAGTGGGGATCACAAGCAGAAGTTTTACTGGGGTCACAAGGAGATCCTGACCCCCGTCTATAAGAGCATGGACGACGCCATGAAGAAGCACCCCGAGGTGGACGTCCTGATCAGCTTCGCTTCACTGCGCTCAGCCTTCGACAGCACAATGGAGGCCATGCAGCACCCACAGGTACAAAGACTTACTGTAAAATATGTTTAAATATATTCCCATACATCACTGCATAAAGGTTAAGGATGCAGTTCTACATGAAAGTCATCTCTCATCTGATTGTGTTTTCAGATTCACACAATCGCCATCATTGCTGAGGGCATTCCTGAAGCTCAGACAAGGAAGATAATCAAGATGGCAGACGAGAAAGGTGTCACTATCATCGGCCCTGCTACGGTATGATTCATATATCACCAAGAGATACAAAAAAAAGGATCTCTTTCCAAATACTGCTGTAGACTGTCAATGCAGGTGTCATTGTTTTTGTCTGAGTGTATAAACGCCTTTAATCATCAGTTTGTAAGCGGAAAACGATCAAATTTCAACTGGCACACATATGATACCCATTCTTTTTTGTGTCCTAGGTTGGTGGCATCAAGCCGGGTTGTTTCAAGATCGGCAACACAGGTGGCATGCTGGACAACATCCTGGCTTCCAAACTGTATCGCCCTGGCAGCATTGCTTATGTGTCACGCTCCGGGGGCATGTCCAACGAGCTGAATAACATCATCTCCCGCACCACAGACGGCGTCTATGAAGGTGTCGCCATCGGGGGGGACAGGTAAATAACTTATTAGCTGAGGAGTGATGTATGTCCAGTTAAAAACCTGTTGTAAAACTGTTGTCTTTTTAAAAAAAAAAAAAAAATATCCAGATATCCAGGCTCCACCTTCATGGACCACGTCCTTCGTTACCAGGACACTCCAGGGGTTAAGATGATAATTATGCTGGGAGAGGTGAGAGTTGCTCCACTAATGTTTATATTTTCAGATTAACCTCAACACAATGTTGTTTTCTGTCATTTTGCATTTTTTAAATCTCTTTCACTATTATAACCCAGGTTGGAGGCACAGAAGAGTACAAGATCTGCCAAGGCATCAGAGAAGGGAGGATAACCAAGCCTGTGGTGTGCTGGTGTATTGGAACCTGTGCCACCATGTTCACTTCAGAGGTTTGGTGGCCACAATGATTCAAAACATGCTTGAATTGTGTTGTTGAGTTTTTGAGCTCAACCGGTCTCACTGCCATCTTCAGGTTCAGTTTGGCCATGCAGGAGCCTGCGCCAACCAGGCTTCAGAGACAGCAGTAGCCAAGAACCAGGCCCTGAGGGACGCCGGCGCTTATGTACCAAAGAGCTTTGATGAGCTGGACGATGTCGTCAAGTGAGAAATTCATCACAGTCACACCACAGGATGTCATTGAATAGTTTGGGGGTTTGAGCTGATTTTGTGAATATATTGTTAAACAGGACTGTTTATGACGAACTGGTGGCCAATGGTACCATCATTCCTGCTCAGGAGGTGCCCCCCCCTACAGTGCCTATGGATTACTCTTGGGCCAGGGTAAGGAACTTAATTATTACTTCTTAGAAAAATGTGGCTTATTTTTCCCTCTTTTCTTTCAAATGCATCTCTGTCGGCCACTAAATAATAATATGTTGAATCTGGTATAATTACAATTTAGTGATAATACATTTGATAGGATAAGGTGAATGTATAAGGAGAATTTATGTATAAAACTATTAACACATTTTGACCTTTGAATGTGGTGCCTAAAAGTCGAAATATGAGACTTGTCAGTTTCCTCTGGTGGACAAAATATGTAATGGCACCACTGTTTCCATTCCCTCTGCATACAGTATAAGCCAATACTGATCTCTGCTATAAACTGTAATGACATTTTCATACAGTTATTTTTACCTATGCACTTAATGTTTGTCATTTTTTTTTTTTAAGCACTTTGAATTGCCTTGTTTTTAAAAGGTGCTATATGAATAAACGTGCCTTGCCTATGTGTTGATACCCAGTTATTATTGATTTAACCCTCCTCTGGTTCTCCTGCAGGAGTTGGGTCTGATTCGTAAACCAGCCTCATTCATGACCAGCATCTGTGACGAGCGAGGCCAGGAGCTCATCTACGCCGGCATGCCCATCACAGAGGTCTTTAAAGAGGAGATGGGTCTAGGAGGAGTGCTGGGCTTGCTTTGGTTTCAACGAAGGTCAGTATGACGCCTAGACTACAACTGGTGATATGTTACAGAGAGAAGAAGTGTTGACTGGCTTCATTTCCTACACATAGATCTGTAGAGGAATAAGCTGTGCTGTGTTTGTGTCTAGGTTGCCGCGCTATGCCTGCCAGTTCATTGAGATGTGCCTGATGGTGACAGCTGATCACGGACCTGCTGTCTCTGGAGCACACAACACCATTGTCTGTGCTCGTGCTGGCAAGGACCTTATCTCAAGCCTCACCTCCGGCCTGCTCACCATTGTAAGTACTGCTTAGACACTTGTGCACATGCACCATCAATACAAGTAGTAATGTTGATTTTCTTTTCTTTTTTAAATAGCTGTAAAGTTGCAATGATGTTTGAGCCTGTGATGAAAGCCCTTAATATAAAACATTTTTATTGAAACAAGTGAAAGTTGGATCTAAAGACACATGCAGTTACCGCTTATTTCTATAGGTTCCACCAAAGAAAACACAACATAGATCTAAGAAATTGTGACTTCAACCAGAAAACAATGACAGGAATTATGAAAATGCTCACCTGTCATCACCTATCTCTTCTGCACTGAAGCATTGTTCATTCATGAATTCCAGGGGGACCGTTTCGGAGGCGCTCTGGATGCAGCTGCAAAGCAGTTCAGCAAGGCATTCGACAGCGGCATGGTGCCGATGGAGTTTGTCAACAAGATGAAGAAGGACGGCAAGCTGATCATGGGCATCGGCCACAGAGTCAAATCAGTAAGCGGCGCTCAGTTTCTCATACTCTCTCAAGTTACCTCAGCTATATAAAACAATGGCACTGATTAATGAACACAGTTGTTAAGATTATGCCTAAGAATAGTTATTGTTATAGTTCAAATCAATCTAAATGAATATCTACTGTTAAGAGCTTTCATTAGAAATAAAAACATTTGTCTGTTTTCAGATCAACAACCCAGATATGCGTGTGCAGATTCTGAAGGACTATGTCAAACAGAATTTCCCCTCCACCGTAATGCTTGACTACGCCCTAGACGTAGAGAAGATCACCACCTCTAAGGTACTTGTCAGCTTTATTATCAAAAGTGAACAACATTTGTTTTCAATGGGACCATTTCAACTTTTTCTCCTTTTTTATTTTACATTATATTGCGCAATTTACCGTTATTCCTGTGACATTTTTCAGAAACCCAACCTAATACTCAACGTAGACGGCTTTATTGGTGTTGCCTTTGTGGACCTGCTCAGGACATGTGGTGGCTTCACACGGTAAGAATAAAACTGCAAGACATGTTTTATATTTCTACAACAGAATTTTTCAATATAGTCATTCATTATCTCTGAATACACCAGCTTTCACATGAGGAACCTAATCTTCTTATGACTCTATTACACTATTTAAAAATCCCTTTTATTAAACTGAAACTTCAGAAGCCAAAAGTGCATTGTCTTTTCTCTGTAATAGTAAGCACACAGTCTAGTATTGTTTCTCACATGAATGTTGAACGGGTTCCAGAGACGAGGCTGACGAGTTTGTGGAGATCGGTGCACTAAATGGGATCTTTGTCCTTGGCCGTAGTATGGGATTTATTGGTGAGTTCCATTCCAATAGAGCCATGATCAGTTGTCATATTAATTGTAAAAACAAAACATCTAACTGGTCTTTTTCTTGCATTAGGGCATTACCTGGACCAGAAGAGGCTGAAACAGGGTTTGTACCGCCACCCGTGGGATGACATCTCATATGTGCTTCCTGAACATATGTCCATGTAATCTCTGCATCCCAGAAGAGGACGCGCTTCCAGATGTGACTGCCCAAATGGGTCAGGCAGCATTTCACATCTCACTTAAGGTTTATGTACTCTCTCCGGTTGTGATAAACTGCAGCCTTGGGGAAACTGGGCAGGGTGATTCTAGAAAAAAAAAAGTACTTTCTGGCTGAGGGATATGGGAAAAAGTTTTCAATCTAGTTTTTACGGAAAAAAGGGGAATTATATTTTTAGATTTAGTTTTTGACAAATTATTTAAAGTATGCGATGTAACTTATTCCATTTTGACCACAAACCCAAACCACAGCTGTTGCAGAAGCACCAAATCAATTTGAACTTTTATTAAATTCAAAAACTGCGGGATTCAAAGCACATTTCAAACCTGACTCTTGCATTACGCTGGGTGTTCTGTTCATCTTCAGTAAAGGCTACTGATGTGGCATTTTTCAAGCTCTACAATACCATGTCTTTTTTTAAACTACTCAAAATAGTTTATAACAATTGATTTGATTTAGTCCACAACAAAGTGAGCTTGATTATGCTTTCTAAGTATTGCAACTTAGTTCAAACACGTTGGCAAATAATGTCAGATTAAAACTCCTCCTTCAGTGTTCACCCCATTAGGAAAGGTGCTTTTAAACAAAATAAACCAAAGTCATTATTAGGGAATTTGTCATCTTTGTTAAAAGTGAAATGTTGTTACGGGTCCAGTGGTGGATATTCCAGAGCTAATCAAGATCTCATGTTTTGGAAAGGAGGTATTCTACTGAGATAAAGGAACTAAACAAACAATTAAATGATGATTTAAGTGGTACTACACTATTGCCTTTACAAGAACAACCCTGGATGTAAACCAGTGGTTGAAATTCATCGGTTACGGTAAACACCAAGTATAAATTGAACTTTTTGTGTTCTGAATAACTGTCAGAAAACAGGAAAATGTAGAAACATCGGAAGGGGAGTGACAAAATGCTTCATGAATGAGCCCTTTGAGTCTTTGAAAGCAAATTTCTTTGAGGGACCATGAAAGCGGTTTGCTTTACTTGGGAGAGTTATTGCACATAATACAAATAATTATACAGTTCTGGCTTGACACCGACTCAAAACGCTTTGTTACCGCCCACTGTACGGCCTGCTGTGTTCGATCTTTGTTTTGCTGTTTCTATTTAACTGTGTAAAAAATACTTTGTTTTTTTGTAATACGCTGTCATATAGTATAATAATAAAGAACTTATTGTTTTACTTTTCATTTTGGCTGATGTGTATGTCTAAATCTTTTGTAGGTCAACACTCCTCCATCAAAGTGTATGAAGATTTGCTCTTTTGTCAAGTTAAGAGAAGTTCTTTTCAGTGGGAATGTAATTGCTAATAAAACACTTGATTTATGAGTCATCTCCAAAGACAAACATAGGGAACATTTTAATTCAAAAGTAAAAATGTTGAGGTTAATATTGAAAGAAAATGGTAGATATTATAGATATAAATATAGCTGCATGACTTAAATTAGTAAGTTAGTTTGAAGGTAATTTTTGATTAAAGGATATTACATGCGAGTGTTTTGAGATATTATATATAATAATAATAAACTTTATTTATATAGCACCTTTCATGCAAGATGCAGCCCAAAGTGATAATTGCCGGAGAAAATGTTACTCAAGAAAGCTGAAATTACAACAAACCCACACAACCAGCAGCACCAGAAGTTAGATGCGTCGCAACACGCATGCGCGAATACGATGCACCCTTTAAACAAAGTTAAATTTCACTCATAAAGACGTGTTAATGCGTCATAACATAAAAAAAAATTGAGATCATGCGGGACTTGAATGTATGCGTCCAGGATATCGGTCTATTGTATGGACTTTGTTATTATCTTAAATCGTAGAGCCTCTCTCTGACTCTACAGCCAAAATCGAGTACATAGGAAAAATTTTAAAGACGGAAGTGAGCACTCCTGTTTTTCGACCAAGACTGTGAGCGCTGCGCATGCATGTCAGTTTTAGAATGTTTATTTACTTGTGTTATATATGCCTATGAGTTCTTCCCGAAGATACAGAGCTTTAATCTGCCTCTTAGTCTATCCCGCTGCGGAATGGCAGCGGCAGCAGAAGCGACGGAGGACCGCAGCGGCGGAGCGCTAACAGGTGACGGGGAACCTGAGGAGGCCGAGGACTTCACCTGCTCGGCCTACTGCTCCGAGCTCTCTCGGCGGCAGAACGAGCAGAGGAAGTCGGGGCTTTTCTGCGACGTGACCCTGGTCTTTAGCTCCGGAGGGGTGTCTGAGGAGGAGAGGGTCCAAACCTTATCCGCCCACCGCTCGGTGTTATCCGCAGCATCGCAGTACTTCACGCTGCTGCTGGGCGGTGACTTCTCGGAGTCTCGGTCGGGGCGAGTGGAGCTCAAAGAATGGAGCTCACCAACGGGACCAGACCCAGACACTGTGGAGAGTGTTATACAGTTTATGTACACTGGACAGATCAGGGTGACCACTGCCAATGTGCATGAAGTGTTGGAAGTGGCTGACAGGTAAAACATTTCAAACCATATTTCAAAATATTAATATACTTCCTCTTACACGGAAGTGTGGGCATTTGTCCTGCAGGTTTTAGCCTCTATTGATACATGAGCCACACCTGTCTGTGTCCTCATCACATCAGCAGGTGTAACTTGTTTTGAGTTTACACACCTGTGCCACTTGGCGAATGCCAAGTGCATTTGGCAGATATTTGGGCCTAAATGGTGGTGTAAGTTATTTGGGAAATCAAACAAGGACTTTTGAAAAACATATATTTACATTTTAATGCCATGTACCTGCCTCAGTGTTCTGGTGTTGTGCATGCTGGCTGCTGTCACAGTGCCGTTGGCTTACTAATGTAACATGTCAACATTTCTGACTTATTATTTTCTATTTATTGTATCATAAGCAGTAGGTTGAAGTGTTTATGTTAAGAAAAAGGATGTAGCTGCCACATGGCCCCAAAAAGTATGCTGTTGGTAGGTAAGTTTAACAACAAGATACATCCCAGGTAAAATCACTTGGAGACCTACAATTTGGCATTGTACTGCTAAGAAACTAAACAACTAAAAAAAGTAAACCACTACAATACATAACATGTTTTCTGGCTGACAGTGCCTTGGTTTATTTTGCTTATCAAAGTTTCTACAGGGTGTATTACCGAACATGAGTTTTAATGCGATATCTAATGTTTTTTTACCTAAATCTTTAGTTTTATCTTACTGTTTGCAGGGTTTAGTTCCATCTGCTTTTACTGATTAATTAATCTCGACTCCAAACTAATTTGTATACATTACTGCTCTGATTATTTCCGCATGTTCCTACAGGTTTCTGTTGGCCCAGCTGAAGAACTTCTGCGGAGAGTTTCTGATGAAGAAGTTGAATTTATCCAACTGTGTAGCGGTGCACAGCCTCGCCCACATGTACACCTTGGACACGCTGGCCTTGGGAGCAGCCAAGACGATTAGAAGAAACTTCCACAAAATAATCAGCAACGAGGAATTCTTCACGCTGCCATTTCACCTGGTCCGGGACTGGCTGTCAGACTCAGGGATCACTGTGGACTCTGAACAGGAGTTGTTTGAGGCTATAGTAAAATGGGTGCACCAAAACACAGAGGAGAGAGGGAAGCAATTTGAGGAGCTGTTCAAACTTTTACGGCTGCCTCAGATTTCTCCTACTTACCTGAGCAGGGTGGTGAGGAAGGAGCCCTTAGTGGAAAACAATGCGGCCTGTCAGCAGCTGGTGATGGAGGCCCTTGAGGTCCACGCTGTTCACTTTGAGAACCTCAAGTCAGCTGATTTTGAGCTCTGTGCCTCCTATACGGCAGCAATCCAGCCACGACTCGGCCAGAACATGGATGTAATCATGGTAGTGGGTGGTGTTTCAGAAGGCGGGGACTATTTGAGTGAGTGCGTGGGCTACTTTGTTGCTGAGGATCGTTGGGTAAACCTGCCCCACATTCACAACCATCTCGACGGACACGCTATCGCAGTCAATGACCACCATGTTTATGTTGCAGGCTCCATGGAACCAGGTTTCGCCAAGACGGTGGAGCGCTTCAACCCCAACCTCAACTCCTGGGAGCAGGTCAGCAGCCTGACAACCCGCAAGCACTCCTTTGGCCTCACAGGTGTCAAAGACTTACTCTACAGCATCGGTGGCCATGGCAACTTCAGTCCAGGCTTTAAGGACGTTACTGTCTACGAGCCGGAGCAGGACGAGTGGCACAATCTGGAGCCAGCACCGAAGATACTAAGAGATGTAAAAACAGTGAGCATAGAGGACCGCTACATCTATGTGATGGCAAGGACTCCTGTAGACATGGACAATGAGGACGGACTGAGCACTGTGACCACCTGCTACGATACAGAGAGTCACAAGTGGCAGGAAGTGGACTCCTTGCCGCTTGTTGATAATTACTGTAGTTTTCAAATGGCTGTCGCATCCACCAACTTCTACCACACAGCTTCTTGTTGCTCAAAGAGCTACAAGGTAACACTTCAGGATGCTCAGCAGACAATAAGCAGAGACATCTCTGAAGAAATCCTGGACAGCCTCCCTCCAGAGGTCCTCAGCATGGAGGGTGCTGCTGTTTGCTACCTGGGTGAAGACGTTTTCATCATTGGCGGCTGGAGGAACTGCAACAACATGGACAAGCAGTACCGCAAGGAGGCGTACCGTTACTGTGCTGAGAGGAAGCGCTGGCTTCTGCTGCCACCCTTACCCCAGCCCCGCTGCAGAGCCGCAGCCTGCCACGTCCGCATCCCGTACCATTATCTCCACGGCTGCCAGCACTACCCCATGCCCCAGAACCTGGCTCGCCAGCGGGACCGCATGCAGCAGATGCAGCAGCTCCACCGACGCACCCTCACTCTGCGCAGACAGCTGCAGTCTCAAATCGAATGTTGAGAGATTCTTCTAGTAAGCACTTAATCTGCTGATACATGCCTTGCTGTTACCACGTAACCTTTGTCTTATTTTTTGCCTTTATTGAGGTCAAATGTCTGCATGGATTGACCTGGGGCTGGTTAAGATAAAAAAATTAAAATATATATATATAATTAACCGGATGTGCTCTTAATTTATCTCTTACATTTTAATTTTGGCCTTGCATTATTAACCTATGCCTTATTCTGCCAGTAAATCAAACTGATTGTTGTCTCATTTCTGAAAATATTGATGTCATTGCCAAAACAACTTAGCCCAGCTTTATGTGCTCTGTGTTAACACCTAATGATGTCAACATGGTGTGGTGAAAAACAGTTGACCTTTTAGGTTTAATTAAAATGTTGTGTTTGGATCTAAACTTTAAAGTAATGTTTGTCTATGTTTATTGTCATGTTAATTGTTGTTAATTATAGGTGTGTGGATAATTAACTTACTGTAACAACCAGATGGGCTTTCACTATTTTACTCCTCCAGCTACTTTAATGTTTCTTCTACCTCCAGTTTCCACCATGTTTTTTTTTGCACTCTAGGGCTTCACACATCTAAATAATATTGTACATAGTGTGTATGTTGCGTGTGCCCTACTTAAAGCGGTCAATCATAATATTTGTAGCAAAACTTAAGTATTCAGCGCAGCACATATTCAGGAATTTATGTTATCCCCTTCTTAAAACATAAGCTTGCTTAATACATTTTTGCACTAAAGTAAGTGCATTACTTTTTCATATTGTACAACACTTGGCCATTCCAATGGATATGTATAAATGTGTATGATTTATTTTAACAAAATGTGCATTATTTGATTTTACAGGTCTATTATTTATTTCCAGCTAAATTCTCGTCCCATTCGACTTTGTTAAGACACTTACTTATGACTCAAGGTCTTTAAGACACTGGCTTTGTGGACTAATTGGTTTTGTTTCCTTTGTGCTTCTCGCAGAATTGGCACTGTCTTACTTTGTCTTACTGCACTTAGAAATGTGTGTAAAACAATAAACAACAAGGCTTTTTACGTGCACAAGGTCTTCGATATTCCCAATTGTGCCAACAAAAACACAGCTGCTCATTATTAATACATTTGAAGTTACTGTTGCCTGCACTAAAGGGACTTTATTAAGTTAATCACTGTAAAGTGTTGCTTTCTGTTTTGCTTTCTATTAATATTATCTAATAAGGCTTTGCTAGGCTAACAGTGTTTCATACTGTTTGTAATGTGAACCGTATAAATTGATCAGTTCTATGTGGATGTTATAATTTTCTCAAGAATGTATTCTCATAAACCCTGATTTTAGTCAATGGCATTCGTCTAACCAAGTTGTAAGTTTATTTTTTTCTGGGTATAGATATGGATTTTGTGAAAGTTTCATTCCATTCGTCTGTGCAAGAGAAAGTGTACTGACATTTGCAATCAATTAAAAACCAGTTGTCATCTTTGAGGATGTCTCTCCATATATTTATATTACGCATATAACTTATTGATCGGTCAAGTTTGAAACCGTCAATATCTTTCTAACTTTAACAAACTTAACCGTGGGCATGATTTTTGCCAATGGATCCCTTGGATTTTAGAGTTTCATGTGATATCAGGATCTTTCCCTGTTTAGGAAATTAGCTTGTTATAGTATTTGGTGAACAAAGAGAACAACAAAATCCCGATGGCTGCTCTATCCTTAATGTGTCCCAATGGTTTTGATGTCTTTATATTTATACATATGTCTGTATCAGAGGATTCATCCAACAGATTGGCCTTTTGTGTTGATAAATTATAAAATGATATTCTTGACTGTTACTTTATTCAGCAGAAATGCTAAAGTGTGGATTATTTCAGTAAAAACTAGTTTTTATGTTTGAGATGCTGTACGGGAAGAAGTGAGTGCCCTCAGTGAGGTAGGAACGAAAGTTAGTCGGAACCTTTGTGTGTATTACGTAGAAGCGGGACAATGATGTGGATGCAACAATAGAACGTAAACAAATCATTCAAACCGCTAATCGTCTGTAGAGGGTTGCACTATTTTTTTAAAGATTTAAAATGTACTTTTGAATATATAGCTGATGTATTTGAACTGTTCTTAATAGCTGTCCAAACCTCGTCAGCTCTCCGCTTAAAAATGGTAAGTTATTATTTGATATATAATATGAACGGCCAGCTGTTAGCTAACTCCTGTAAATACTCAGTAAACAAACGGGACTGTTCAAGCTTCATTTTATTTTTATTTTAATGTCGAAACAACAAAGTGTAATGCAATTTCATTCAAATATAAATGGTCCCTTTGTATAGCGAATACATACACTGTGTGAAATCCTACTGAGGACACACATCATTCAGTCTGTGCTGTACTGTCAGGCAGTTTGTTAGCTATTATTTCTTAAAAATAAAAATCCTTAAAAAGAACAGCTCAATTTGAAGTGATTACAAACTCATATGTCATGTCACAGTTTTGCATGTCCAGTTAACCTGACTAAAACAACACATTTACCAGTTGTGTCCAGGAAAAAGAGAGACCTGTACAATTAAGCATTGCTAAAACATGTTTTCTCCCTGTCTCTACATTCAGGTTTACCATATTCCCTGGATCTACACACCTGTGCGGTCTGTCCTGGCAATCTGGCACCAGCTGACCAAGGCCGAGGTGAGGAAACGCATGAAAGACAATTGAAGTTTAATTTGAGGAACGTTACCAAGTTATAATTCTGAGTTATCTGTGTATGTGCCTACACACAATAAAGATGATGCCTGACTTTAGAGCCTTGTGCACATGTCTGTAAAATGTAACCCTGATCTTAAAGTGCAAGCATCTTAACACATTTTTTTGTCCCACATCACCAGTGGCGTTTTTATATGTACAAAAGTGGTGGGGCACAAAAAACTTAGATGTCTATATATAAGCTTCTGCAGTGACGTGCAGTGAGGTTCATGGCTGGTGAGGCACTGGCACTGACTCTTCAGGTTTACAAATATTATATTTTGACCTAAACCAAAATATAATATTATTTTCAAAAGCTTTTTTTGTCTGATGCTTCGATTAATTTTAAACAGACAGTTCAACAAAAGGATACCCAAAAAATGTAATTTTATCATTTAAATATTGAATTGTTCTCTCTTAGTAAGATCCCATTTTCAAAAAATTGAGGTCTTACGGACGGTCCGTAAGACACACAGCAGCGTTAAAAAAATCTTGAAACGCTTCTGCCCATTCACTTTGAATGGGGTGACGTCACTTTCCCTCACTTTTCGCCGAACTGCATTGTGGGCAGGCGAGCGGAGATTTTCAGGATTTTCAGGATTCAAAGTTGAACAATGTTCAACTTTTGAGGCTGAGGTGGAAGCGTCAGCCAATCAAATCCCGTGTACGCAAATCTGACAGTTCAAGCTCTAGCCAATCAAACGGCGTGTATGCTGGGAGAGACATACCGCAGGTCATTTCCTCATATTCCAAAAAATGGAGGAGAAATTAGCGGTAGCGAATCAATCACCCGGTGCTTTATGACCAGACCTACCGGGATATAAACCGGAGGAGCCAGGCATGGAGGGAGGTGGCAGAGACAGTGGTAGGTTTTCGCCTGTTTTGGGGAGTTTATATCCAGTTTACTTCGGGCTTTTTTGCTTCGTATGTCGCGGGCGGGAGATTCATGTGATTGGTTGTTCGTGCCTTGCTCGCAAAAAATCCTCAAGCTTCAGATACGCCCACCTCCAAGATTTTTTTAACGCTGCTGTGTAGACGGTCCGTTACCGTATAACTTTTTTGTAAAAGTCCTCCTTATCTTCTTGTAGTTTCAAAAGTCTATCATAAATCTAATCGATAGATTTATGATTCGAAAATTATAAAAGTAGGGTAGACATGTGGATATTATCCGGCTGAACAAAACGTGCATTTATCTAACAGGTACGTTTCCCACAGATCTTATTTCCAGCTATTTTCTAAAATCCTATGGAGAAACCTCATTGCTTTTTTGCAGCTTACTTCCTGGTTTTAGGACGCGTCACTGCAGCTCTCTCGTCTCCTCTTCACACACCACACTTTTCGCGGCACACGTACTTACAACCAATCAGCTCTGAATGATGTGAGATGACGTATGGTGGGGATGGCAGCTCTGTGCCCCTATGGTCTTTTTTTTTTTGCCACACACATTACATTGAAAAATACTCTGAGCATGCGCAGTGTAGTTTTTACAGTCACCGTTCACTTTGACAGTGAAAGGGTGGGGCATGATCAGGTTTTGTCCCACATGGCTCAAAACGGCACTGTAGACACTAATTAGAAGAACACAGACTAAAACAGCAATGTACAGACGAATCAGATGATTAAACATGACCTTAAAATATATTTTATATATTTTTTCATTTCTTTTTTTGCATCTCTTTGCATTTTTTGTAATCATTATGTGTAATACTTTCTGCTGACACTAGGTGGGGCTGTGCCCCACCTGCTCCTAATGACCAGTCGCCACTGCACATCACTCTCCTTTTGTTGCTCTCTGTGTCATGATAAACATGTATTCTAAGACTAAACTGTTCCCTGGTCAGATCCCAGAGTTGGCCAAGTGCTCGGTGCTGATGAGGGATCGCAGCAGAGTGGAGGACACGATCTACGCCATGCAGCGAGCAGGGGCAGGCCGCCTGCAGGTCAGTGAACTCTGCAGCATTTCATCAGAAGTATGAATATATTATTGAGTCGTATACACAAAATAACACTCAAACATAATATGATTAACCTGGAAATAAAGAGGTGCATAGCGATACTTTTAAACAGCAGTTACTAAGCAGTTACTAAGCTCGGAAAGTCCACAAAAGTCAGAGCCAATGCTCCTGTATATCTAATTCTAGACCATTGCATTTCAATTATATTTGTACTGCACCAACGCCAAAGCTTTGGACCTCACATAAAGACAGATCGCTTATGATCCATGCCATTACTAGTCAGCATGTTTGTCTGTGTGCCTTTTGCTCATAAATGTTGGTAGTAATGACCAGGTTGTGAGCATTAATAGGTAAGTACAGTTTAAAACTGAGCAAAACTGGACTTTATCTGTGCTTGATCATGAATGTGTGTTTGTTGAGTGATAGAGTACTCTTAAACTGAACTTAATAGTCATATTTCCTCAGGTGATCTCAGACTTCGATATGACACTGACCAGATTTGCCCACAACGGAAAGAGAGTTCCTACCACGCACAGTAAGGAACATTTTTCCTCTCATTTTTTGCCAGGATGGTGTGTGCTTTATCTGAAATTGCTACTACTTTTTTCTTTATTTTCCAGACATCCTGGATCACCGGTTGTTGATAGACGAGGATTGCAGTAAAAAGGTAAATGTACTATTATCATAAGTTCAGTAAAGAGTGAACAATTTAAAAGAATAATAGGTCCATTTTCCCCTTGTAAAAATGTTGCCATGCTGTAACTGCAGGTGTTGGTTTTTATGCAGTGACATAAATGCACAATGAACTTTTAAAATCAAATTAGTTTCAGAACATGAACTTCTAGATATACGTATGTTCTCTAGTCTGCAATTCTCATTCTCTCAGTAAGTACGAACTGAGGCATCCCTTTCAGGTGGTCTGTATATACTGTATATGTATTCTCTCAGCAAGTACCAACTGAGGCATCCCTTTCAGGTGGTCTGTATATACTGTATATGTTAATTGTTTCTCTTGGTCCACTGCAGATAAGGGAGCTGTTGAACACCTACTATCCAATAGAGATTGACGCTGGCCGGACTGCTGAAGACAAGCTGCCTCTCATGGTGGAGTGGTAAGAGACATACTGATATAAATAATAACACCTGTCTTCATCATATACTTTTCAAATTCAATTAAAACTTTACAATGAAAAAATCCCACACTCGTGATTTGTCTCGTTGTTTTATGGACCAGTTGAACTCAGACATCATAACATTTTTTTTAAAAAAGCTCCACTTCCTGTAAGGACTAAAGAGAAGTGAAACAACCCAAAGCCTGATGGGGGTGTGTGTGCTGCTCTCTGCAGGTGGACTCAAGTCCACGAGCTGCTGATTCAGCAGAGGATCAGGAAGGACCTGCTGGCCCAGGCTGTGAAGGAATCCAGCGCTATGCTCAGGTTAGCACTTTGTCCATATTAATCAATACACTGATTCCATTGATGGAAAGTAATTAAGTAAATTACACAACATTTTTCTGGCAGCTCAAACACTGACAGGGATAATCCTCTGCTTAAATAGTAATTTAACTTTTGCTACTTTTAAGTACATTTTGCTGAAGAAATAACCTACTTTACTTGTAAAAAGCGTGTGTGTGTGTGTGTGTGTGTGTGTGTGTGTGTGTGTGTGTGTGTGTGTGTGTGTTTGGGTGTGTGTGTGTGTGTGTGTGTGTGTGTTGTGTGTGTGTGTGTGTGTGTGTGTGTGTGTGTGTGTGTGTGTGTGTGTGTGTGTGTGTGTGTGTGTGTGTGTGTGTGTGTGTGTGTGTGTGTGTGTGTGTGTGTGTGTGTGTGTGTGTGTGTGTGTGTGTGTGTGTGTGTGTGTGTGTGTGTGTGTGTGTGTGTGTGTGTGTGTGTGTGTGTGTGTGTGTTTGTTTGTTTCTTTAGGGAGGGCTACAAAGTGTTTTTCGACCGTCTGACGGAGCAGCAGGTGCCTCTGCTGATCTTCTCGGCTGGTGTCGGAGACGTCCTGGAGGAAGTGATCCGACAGAACAACGTCTTCCACCCCAACGTCCACATCATCTCCAACTACATGGACTTCGACCAAACTGTGAGTTTTATACTGTATTATTACTCTCTGACATGTTTTATCACATACTATATATATATGATTTTTCTATATTTTTATTGACATTCTATACTATGACCTTTTTATATAAAAAAAAAAAATTACGACATTTTAAGACAACTAATAAGTCCTTTTCTTTATGATCTACTATAGTATAAACCAAAATATGGAATGTTTTATGACATACAACACTACACCATGATACCTTTTTAGACATGACTTATTTTAATGGCATTTTGATTGCATACTATGACCTTTTTGACATACAATTACTCATACTGTTCTATGATTATTTATCAATGTTTTTTTCTTATTCTGAAATACTACATGTCAATATAATGACTGTTTTTCAATTACACATCTAAATGTTTATATTATTTATTGTCTTTTATTACTAGAAATGGGCCTTGATAGGGAAATACCAATGCAATGATCATTTTCTCTAATCAAGTGATACATTTTAGGGCTTGGAAACAGTAACAGAATAAATTATACATCAAGCATATTAAACACTATTAAAACCACATCTACGTGTATTTATCATAGTACAATTCCTCTATGTTGCTGGTAGACATCAATACAAGTACATAATGTACCTTTTAATGCAATCCATTGATTCTTATCACCAAACATTTTAGGGCGTCAACATGATTTCACTCCAGCTTTCTCCTCCATATGATGTAACGGTAACCTTAACTGAATGCTGTGTTGTTCATAAGGGGGTCCTGCGAGCGTTCAAAGGCCAACTCATCCACACTTTCAACAAGAGGGAGGGGGCTCTGTCACACGCCTCTGGCCTCCGAGTGCTGCAGGGTCGCCCCAACGTGCTGTTGCTAGGAGACTCTTTGGGAGACCTGACCATGGCTGACGGTGTGTCCGAGCATCAGAACATCCTCACCATCGGCTTCCTCAACGACCAGGTCAGTCTCATATATTGTGTTTCCTTTTATCAACACATTGAGATCCAGAGTTTTGGTTCTCAGTGTTTGTGTCTTGCAGATGGACGAGAGGAAAGAGTTGTACGTCAAGTCCTTTGACGTCGTGCTGGTGAAGGACGAGACGATGGAAGTTCCCAACGCTATACTCAAATACATTACCTCATCAACAGACAACCAGTTAGACGCATGATCTTCACCTACCTCAATCCAGACCATGAGACTGGTCTGGTATTTCTTTTACACTCTCAGTGTTTTGACTGTTTATCTAAGCCATAATACAAAAGTTTAAAATATTTGAATTAGGTCTCTACTTCGTTGAGAAGAATCTGTGATTTTTGCCAGTACTGTTTCTTCACACAGTATAACAGGGCTGGGTTTTCCTCCCTGCTGTTTCATTTGTTGGAGAGAATCCTCAGATCAAAACCTTACTACCTACCTGGCCATGAGCCACCTTAACAGATTCATATTGTCTTGGTATTTCAAAACATACCAGCAACCTCTTACAAATGTCATATGTATTTATTTTCTTTACTTCTCACTCCTTTTGAGCAGAAACAAATTCTTATTTTACTTTTTGTTTACAGTCTATTTTAAATGAATCTTGTGTTTGAGAAAACACATACATTGCATTTTGTCTCTTTGTCTGCCAAGTGTTCGGTTTCATATTCTCAGTTGACAATAGTGATATCAGTTTTTAGGCTATTGTAGTAGTGAGTAAGAACAGTAGAAACACAAAGCTACAGAATACAATATTTGATGATTCTATTGATTAATTATATGAGTGTTTTTTCTTTCAACTGATTCCTAGCTACTGGGAATTATAACAATGTTGTCCTTAACTTTAGGTGTCATTAAAGAAAGTATTCAAATGTACCATCTGGTAAGTGTACTCTTTTCAACTTAAAACATACTATGCTATGACTTTTTTCTGAAAATACTATACTATGATACTACTCTATGGTGTTTCTTTTCTATCATTTTTCAGAAAAGTTCATTACCTGGGATTGTCTGAGAAAATAAACATCATTTTCCATTTTCTTAAAAACATTTTTTATTCATGTGACTTTCAGGGACAAATAAAAGGTGCTTGTTTGGTTTTCTGAAATACAACTATCAACACAGAACTCCACAAAAAAGACTTTTTACACTCGCCTTGTCATAAAAAAAACCATCCAATGTGATAAAGAAAGTAAAAAAACCATGATGATGTATGGAAAAAGTCTCTGACAGCTTGTTTTTAAGGTGGGGGGGGGGGTTTCCTGAGAGAGAATAAAGCATTGTGTCTCTTTACAACTCCTCGTGTAACTCCCGTTCTTTGTCCTCTTCTACCTTCAGTTTAAGTTCGTCGGCCGTGATCACTCCGTCTTTATTCCGGTCCTGGTTGCTGAACATGTCTTCAATGACCTGCTCCATGATCATTCCAGGCTTTATCCGACCTTTGCCGTCAGTCACCTGCAGCTTGATGAACTCCCCAAACTAAAATGTGACAACAAAAAGAAAATAATCACATATCAATAACAGTGCTGTGTGATATAACTACAATAATTATGTATGCATCAAACCACGTTAAACTTGGGTTCTCCTGGCGTTTTACAGGTCGTTTGGGAAAAGCAGAGGATGCACTATGACTTTTTATGGCATAGTATCCAATAACTATGCTATAATATCTTCTTGTTGTCATAAGGTATTAGGATTTTTTTATTAAAATGTAATGGCACAATTTACTATGACTTTTAATCATGTCATATTATTATTTTTCTGACTATTTTAAAAGGCATACTATACTAGGATTCTTTTGGTATGCCACAACAAACTTTTGTTTTAGATTATTTTATGGCATAGTATACCAAAATATAGTATTATGATATGCTATACAATGACATTTTAAAGAATATTTTGGAGAAAAACTTTACAATAACTTTTTTATGGCATACTATACTAAGACTTCTTAATGATCTTTTTTAAGCCCAAGCTTTACTTGGTAACCTATAAGCTCAATGTTAATTTACAGAACACACTTGGACACATTGTTCATTCATAATTTTAGGGGCTCTTATCTGCCATGTGAAATAATGTAGCTGGTTGTGTCACTGTAAGAGTTAACGTACCTCCTCCTGTGGGACCTCTTTGTTCTTGTTGATGTCCAGGGCTTCAAACAAATCAGCAGGGCTCTCTTCAATCCACACGAACAGATAACCAGGTGGCACTCCCTTCTCGAAGCTCACCAGTTCAACGTCAAAGACCAACACAGCACTGCTAGGCACACCGGTGGCTGACAAAGAGAAAACAAAACAAAAATGTGTTTACCTTTCAGCATTTTAGGAAATCAAATGTGTAGTCAGGGTTCAAAAATGTATAAAACCGTTTAAATTGCACTGATATTGTGAGTCTCACCTCCTTTTTCTCCGTGTCCGAGGTGAGGAGGAACTGTTATCACCCTCTTCTCTCCCACACACATGCCTCTCAAGCCTTCGTCCAGACCGTCGATCACCTTATCTGACCCCAGAACTGCATCCTGAAGGTGCTCGTAGTCGTGTCTGAGGACGTAGATTGGGCAAGTGTAAGTGGTAATCTAATATCATTGTTTAAAAAAAAAGTGGGATGTGTGGGTGACTCACGAGGAAAAGAGAGGCGTTCCGTCCACCAGGGTGCAGTTGTAGTGGTAGCGGACGAGGTCGTTCGCCGCCGTGGTTTCGTTACACGCTGCGGGTTTGTGTGTGATGGCGATGCTCACTGTGTCGTTGGGGTTGTGGAAGTCGATGATGTGAACGTCGAACACAAGCACAGCAGAACGGGGGATGATATCACCTGGAGAGACAACACGTTATTATTTCATCTCCTTAGATTGGTGGAAAGTGCTCCTGAGTTTTTGTCTTTACATCTGATGTTATACATTTTAGGTTTTTTATTTCCTATTGTTATCTTTATCTTGTTTTACCTATATTATGCATCTTATTTCCCATTCATTTGCCATTCTATCTCAATTTGTATTTTAATTCTGTCTTTGTTTACCATTATTTTAAACTTATTTGTGCTATGCATTTAATGAATGAGTTAGTAATTGATTAATCAATTAGTGATTTGCAAATCCTTGGCAGTTAAATCACTCGTTTCGCCACTGAAAAATAACTGAATGATAAGTGCTAAAATTACCCATTACTTTTTCTTTCTGGTTTTTAACATTGGGTCGAAGTACAAATAAACACTTTTACAGCAATTCTGTCTTCATATACATTTTGGTTTACGGGTTTGTTTAATAATAAATCAATACAGTTCAATGTTTGCAGACAACTTACTACAAGCTGCATGGTAGATCTACTCTGACTCACCTGCTCCTTGCTCTCCATACGCCAGATGTGGAGGAATGATGACTCTGCGCCTCTCTCCGATGCAGATCCCCAGCAGGGCCTGGTCCATGCCGGCGATGACGTACCCCATCCCGATGTAGGTGTTGTATGTGCTGTTCCTCTGGTAGCTGTTGGCAGCGACAATCATAGATTCATTTTTAAATTACATTTATACCTTGAGAATAGAAATTAACACTTAGGGGTCTCTTGTGTTCAAAACTCAATATGTCTTTATTGAGGCAGCACCATTATAATGAAGTGATACATTGACATTTCGATTTAAACAGAGGATAACATGTTTATAGTTAAAGTACAAATTGCTGCAATATGACTGGCAACGTTACTGTGACTGTAACGTGAGCTCACCTGGTGTCAAAGATCTTTCCGTTCAGGAAGGTGCCGTTGTAGTGGTACCGGACGTAATCTCCAACCACAGACTTGCGTGTGCAGGACTCCGGGACCACCGAGGACTCAATGGTGATGTTATCCTTTGCGTTGTGAATGTCTTCCAACAGGATATCGTACACCAGGGTTGCCTGGGGGGGAATCTCCTTACCTGGAGAGCAGACGGTGAATAATTAGAATTTATTTGTTTTTTTTAAACTACAAGATTTAAAAACTTTGCATAAAGATAAAAGTAACAAAATACAAGGGGCAAACATGTTTATTTCGAACCAAATCCATTTCCTTGTTTAATGTTCATATTTATTTAAGTGCCCGTCCTTGTACATGTAAACACAGGGGACCTGCTCCTAAAAATATTGCTCCATAGCACTACTAGTGGTCAAAAAGTGTTTTAAGTGCAAAGATGAAAAAAGCCTTTATTAATGTATATACGCATTTATTGATGAGATGTGATTTGGGGGATATGTCTGGTACTTCCTTGTAACATTATTTTATTTTTTCTAACCTCTAATTTCTTTGTGTTTGAACAATCATGGTTTGGTTGCAAAGCAGTGACACCAGATAAACTATGACCTCTCATTAGACTTTTTATTGATTCATAATTTGTGCTCACCTGATCCCTTTTCTCCGTAGGCTTTGAAGGGTGGGATGATAATATTTCTGATCTCTCCCACACACATACCCAGCAGGCCTTCCTCCAAGCCCTTAACCAGCCAGCCCTCACCGACCAAAGTGTTGTGTGTCTGATGCCTGTTGTAGCTACGTAGGGCTCATACAAGAGCAAAGTCAAACACAACATACCTGCATGACACAGTACAAACACAGAAAGAGCTGTCATTCAGACAAGGCATTCCTTCAGATGAGAAAGATTTAGTGTCAAACAAGAATCTTTTCATTGAGAGTGGTTTATTTACTATTTTTCAGGCTACAGTTGTTAAGCTATCTGAATAGGTCAGCATTTTGGACACCAACAGTAATCAAAGCCATAATTTACCTGGAGTCAAAGACTGTGCCGTCGAGCAGAGTGCCGTTGAAATGGTAACGCACAAAGTCAGTGCTCATCACGGAGCGTTTGCAGTCTTTGGGGGTGCTGATGGTTTTGGTGGCCACCAGGTCGGCTTTGTTCCACAGATCCAACAGATGGAGCTCAAACATCAGGGTGGTATCTGGAGGAACCACGTCGCCTGTAAACATGGTTGATACAGGTTAGACAGCAATGACATAAATAACTTTAGATATAATCATTTAAAACTAATTTAAACTTTTGTGAAGTAACACCTTAAATCAGGGTGTTTGTGTAATGGTAAGATAAAAAAAGAAGATGTGATGGCTGCAGTACCTGAACTTATTCAAGCCTAATGGTATTTGATTAAAAACAACTTTATGTCAAACATCATTATATTGGATTCTGATAAACTGTATCAATACAGTGCATTCATTGCAGAAGCATGTTTTAAGGTTTGTTGGTTTATTGACTTTTAATGATTACTTGACTTTTACTCTGGCACCACCACAGTGTTAATAGTATCACTTATATGTGAAATATCTCAACATCTGCTGGATGGAATGGCCTCATTTAAATAAGGCTCCACCTTATAGGTTTTCTGATCTATTCTCATCTAACTCCATCATTGTGCCAACATGTCACAGATAAGAAAGCTTAAGCATGCTAACATGATAAACTAAGAGAGGTACATATGGGAAACATCATACCTGTGAAGCATTAGCATATATGCATATTCATTGTTAGCATGCTAATGTTAGCATCTAGATCAAAGCCCCATTGTGCCACAAGTACAGCCTCCCAGAGCAGCTAACAGACAGCTATACAATGTCTGCTCAACTGCAATAAACACTGAGCCTATGGGCCCCCAAAACAGTATTTATATGCTGCTATTACCATTACTCAATTGATTTTTAAATATATCAACTAATTTGGACAATTTGATGAGACACAAAAATAGTTTAAGGTTATGCATTACATTAAATAAAATGTAAAAATGTCTACAAACTTAATTTTAACACAGGGCCCCCTCTCTAAGACAATATACACAACATACTTTAGTATTACAAAACCAATTACATTTTTTTTTAATTGAACAAATAAATGCCAACATAAAAAATTGCCACATAGACAAGTTGGAGCCTGGGCAAAACGGAAATTTCAATTAACTCCTAAAAAAATTGGAAAAACGAATGTCCTATGCCAAGAACTAGAACACACCATGACTAACATTCGGTCTTTAAAAGGCAGCTGCGCACCTCCAACAAGGTACCGCTTGCGCAGACAAGATTGAAAGTGACATTTACCTGCTCCGGCGCTTCCATAGGCCAGGTGGGGCGGGACGGTGATCGTTCTGCGCTCATTCACACACATGCCCTGCAGACCTTTGTCTATCCCAGCGACGAGCCGGCCCTCTCCCAGCAGGCCAACCTTTGCGTCTCCCTTCTCATGACTGTGGATGATCCAAAATTAAAAAGACATCAGAAGTGGGTCAATAGGATGTTCACTTTTTGAGAAAATGAATATTATGTGCAAAACATACGCATATGTCTATTTATAGACTAATGCAACTTTTTTGAACATTTAAATCTCTGCCGATTCATTTTTTTTGTTTATATGGCCAAATTGCATCGGGCCTCTGCAGCAAAATAACTAACTTTTTAAAGTAATAAAAATAAACGCATTCACAATTTAAAAAAAAATGCGTATGAACTTACCTTGAGTCAAACGTTTTTCCGTCGAGAAATGTGGCGTTATAGTGATAGCGAACATAATCGCCCTCCTTCGCTTCTCTTGCACAGATTGCGGGGATGAATTTTCTGTCCACGACTACATCTAACACGGGACTGGGATTACACTCCACAGATGACCACGTAAGGAGGAAAAACGCAACGCAGCAGGCAAACATCGTTACAGAATCAGAGAAAATAAGTTAAACGAATCCAAAATATAAATTAGCCACTAAATGGAGGAATTTAAAGCCTGGAGCCGTGTGCACTCTTTACGCACAGGGCCGTGGTTGCAGATGTGGAGCAGGCAGCGGATCTAAATGCTGTAAACGTGGACAATCTCCAGGTTCCAGTGAAGAGTTTTCATAGCCAGGGGGAAGGAATGTCGGAGTTGGAAAAGGGGGGAGCGCCTCTGTCAAATTACCCACAATAATGTAAGACCACTACTTCCTTTAACAAAATAAAACAAAATCACAACAGATGAGAATAAACAGAAATAGTCAAAACATTGATTGTAGTCTAAATTCAAATCGTTATTCATACACAATGTGTCTTTAAGGGTGTGTTATATTTTAAATGTGGTCCACTTCTGAGATCGATTGATATGTCCAGATTTTACGTTTTTTATTCAATTGTGTCTGTTTCCGCTTTTATTTTTGAAAGGATGGCCTCCCATTGATTTGCTTAGCTTGTTTATTCAGCACCGTTGCAGAAATCACAGAGATCCGCCTCTGTGGCTCAGTCAGACCCTCAGCCGTAAAGAGGCCTGAAAGCCCCCAAAGTTTCAGCTTTTCCACTAATGCCGTGAAGTTTCAAAATGTGATTAATGTAGCGATGACACGTCCCAAGTTGATGCAACAGGTCCAGTCTCTTTAAACATGCCGAGTCGGGCCTATGATAGAAATCATTCCGGGTCAAGCATCCATAAAAAGTCTCCATAAGACTTAAAAGAGAAATAAAATAGATATAATGAGCATGGAACGTGTTAAGCATACATCCACCACATTATAAGAACACAAATCCTCAAACCCAATAGAAGACACTGTATTCATTTCTATAGGACTTACGTTTATACATTTGATCTTATGCTGATTTATTACTCATATGTTAAGTAAACTTGCATTAGGGAGCAATCAACAACTGCAGATAAAACAGGACAACAATGCGCACTAGCAGTCACTTTTACGCACGCATATTCCTGTGCCAAATAAAGAAGCAGAGCAGTGTGTGTGACAGCTGAAGGCCTGCATGGAGAAACCCGAGACAGAAACTCTGAAAGACCCAATCCCGGAATTCCCACAGAGCCCTAAGCACTTCAGCAGACCACCACTCAGGCACAGGAAAACAAGAGGAACGGAGAGAGGACGCGGAATAATATGTGGGATATTATCTTATCATGGTGGCATTTTGCGCAAAAGGAGGCGCGCTATTGACGTTGCTCTGTTTGACCTTAGCTTTAGGGACAGACGCGCAATATGAAAACTACAATTTCAAAAAGTTCCCCAGGGAGGAGCTCATGCCCCTTACCACTGCGTATGGATTGGCTTTGGATCATTACGCAGCAGAAAAGTGGACGGAGTCGATCAAATACTTGGAATTGAGTTTGCGTTTGCACCGGCTCCTCAGAGACAGTGTGAGGTACTGCGTGCTGCACTGTAATAACAGCAAATATGAAGAACCGTCCTTCACAGGAAACAGGGACCTCAGCGTCAACTGGCACGTGATGATGAGAGCGTCTTGTCAGAAGAAGTGCAGAGCGCATTTCCCCGCGCTGCAGCTGCTTCCTCCAGGCAGAAACATTCTGGAGGAGTTCAGCAGGAGATCTCCCTACAGATACCTGCACTTTGCATACTCGAGGGTGAGATACACGTGTAACAGCACACCTTGAATCCACATATACAGTCATATTTATATCATTACCTTATTAGGAACACCATCTTAGTATGAACAAATCAACACATTGAATAGCCTTTACAGAAGAAATAAAAACAGAACTGGTCATTGGATGCCAGGTGTCTTTGAGATGGATTACATGGGTCACATGCAACACGAGCAAAAATAAAGTTATATGAAATTCAACTAATTGGAAATCATAGATACAATTGGTATTGCAGTTATACAAAATTACCATCAATGACAAATGTGAATACAAATAAAAACGAAATTGTGTCTTAGACAAAAAATACCCAACATGAAAATGAGAACTACAAACCTTGGTTCCAATATACTTAAACTAACAAAAGCAAAATTCCGCAAGTTAACCCTCTGTAAATGATAAATGCATGTGGTAACATATTTCTTCCAGCTGAATGACTTGCAGAGGGCCGTCCCATGTGCCTACACCTACCTCCAGAAGAACCCTGAGGACCAGGAGGTGCAGCAGCTGATGGAGGAGCACAAGAGCCAGTACGACTTGAAGGGCTACCTCTTTGACCATGAGGAACAACCCTATGAGGTGAGGGCCACTAGACTCTTTTTTTGCATGGAAAAGTTGCACAATATTTGCTGTATAGTCACATTAAGAACAACATCCCACTCCTTCAAAGATTACAGCTTTTTCTAACTTTGACAATATTAATAATGTCCTTTCTAGGCCTCCTTTCTGAGAGGAGTGAAACTCATAAATTCAGATGACTACAGCAGCGGTGTTATAGACATGGAGGAAGCTCTGAGGTTCTACCTCCAGGAGTTTGAGCTCTGTCAGGCAGAATGTGAAGGGATCAGTCAACTTTCACCAGATAGGGACTTCTATGCAGTCATAGCAGGTTAGTATGCTGTTAAACAAATGAAGAAATAACATCACTGAGCATCCAAGAAAAGCAAAACTGGACTCAACTGGCTTTTGTCGATTAATTTGAGGTTAAGATTTTACGTAAAAAATACATACATTAATACGTTTTAAGGTTTTCTTATATCAAAATAAAATATAACAAATTGTAAAAGATGAATGTCATGTTTCGTATGTCTATTAGTTGCTTTTTCTTCGTTCCTCTCCCTATTTCTATTTGGCATTTACATTTATTTATTTTTTATTCTAACATTTAGCAAGTTTTTTGCTAACCGTTTTATGATAATCGCCCAGAAGTTTTTAAAAGGGGCCTATTTTTAGCAGAAAAAGTACTTTCACTTTTGATTTAAGCATATTATGTTTGTACTTTTACTATATGATTTTAAATTGACTTTTATCTGCAATAGAGTACTTTTAACACTGTATTGGTGCTTTCAATTAAGTAAAGGACCTAAATGTTCCTGTCTTTGGTTTTACTTAATAATCTCTGCTCTTCCTCTCCACAGATGAATATGTTGATGTATTACGCTGTAAGCTGAAGTGCGAAGAGAACCTGATGCCTAATGTCGGAGGTTATTTTGTGGAGAAATTTGTGGCCACTATGTACCACTACCTCCAGTATGCCTATTATAAATGTAAGTTTACAACAGAAACTCTCCATCAGCTCTCCATCACTGCTCTTGAATAACAACACTCATCTGAGTATCTCCTGTTTCTCTCCGCTCAGTGAACGATGGCCGCAGTGCGCTGCCCTGCGCGTACAGCTACTTCCTGTTTGAGCCTGAGGACCAGGTGATGAAGCAGAACCTGCAGTACTATGGCGCCTACAGTGAGCAGTGGGGCCTGCAAGACAAACACTTCACACCCAGGATGGTGAGAGCAAATATCAGATCTGTCTCAGCTTTCCAAAACAACAGCTCCTAATTTGTTATTATTTCAAGATATTCAGTGTTATGAGAAGAAAACATCTTACAAAATGTCAATTCGAAACAACCCCTGTTTGTTATTCTCATGCTCTTGTTTGTCTGTTTGAACAGGAGGCTCTGAAACTCTTCAACCACACTGTCACCCAGAAGCAGATGCTGACCTCTGCACAGAAGTACCAAGAGATGGATGATGAGGTGAGATAAAGGGAAAATACAAATAAAAAAATATTTTACAATAATTAGGAGGAACAAACTTGGAGTCTACTGACTTTAGGTAGCGCTTTGTGACATGAAACAAAAGGCCTGTTTGCAAATATTGTAATAAAGAAAACTTTGATTTTTGTTTTCCCCTCAGGATTTTCTTGGAGCAGAGGAAGCAGCACTTTTGGCCTCAGAGTCTCCGGATGCAGAGTTTGAAGGAATGGGAGACTACGAGGAGTGTTTCACCGCTGACTGGAGGCAGCCCAAAGGCAAAGGAGACGCTGGAGAGAGCTGAGAGTTAGGAATTCACCTGAAACAGTATGCCTAAAACATGTCAGAGATCACCAGAAGAAAAAGAAGGACCGGTTTTCAGCATTTCAGTTTCGTGTCAACATCTGTTCTCAGAGTTTGTTTGAATTATTCTCCTTTGTATCTATTTATCTGTTTTTTTAAGAAATAAAATAAAGTCAACATGAACTGTTTTCATACCACACTAGTCTGATAAGGTGTTCAGCAATTAAAAAGCTCATAAATCAAAGATCAGCTTGATTAAAATACTGTATATTAAGGGAATGACCGTAATATACTGCATGCATGCCTGTATTTAATTTTAAATAGCGCCTTGCAAGGATTAAATACTCAGCAAAGTTTAAAACATTATTAAGTTTAGAAAATGTTTATGGTGATTCAAGGCATGCAACACCTGTGAACTGTGTGAGGCACAGATACAGAAACATGCATCCAGTCCTCAACTAAACATCCCTGACAAATACTTAAAATATTTACAAATACAACCTGCTAACCGAGTACGAAGAAGTACAAGAAAGTTAACTCTTCACCACCACAGTAAAACCGCTGCTATACATCGAAGAGTATTTATTAAAAGAAAAATGGACTATATTTTTGAAGCTGCATCTTGAAACAGACATGCGTCCAATGTAACACAGTCAGTGTTTGTAAGATATCTTTTAATATGCATTTCAATATACAATAATATGAGTATTTACATTATAAGCTAATACTGGTTACCTCCCTGGGACTGAACGACGTTGACTGTGAATATAGCGTCAATATCCTTAGATGAGTCCACCTTTAATGTGTGATGGCGGTAAACACAGTGTGACCTGTAAAAGTCTGTCCTTGAGTATTTGATTTTATACAGCATTTATACGGAATTAAAGTCAAATCAAAGTGTTGACATTTTAAAATTCAGAGACAATTTGCATTTTTAACCTCTTTAACCAGTCAAAATAAGGTAAGCATCTTTTTTCAAAAACGAATTTCTCTGACTGACTGCACTCTTGATTCATATAGGAATGTAATTAAGCTTTTCGTTTTTTATTGTTTCTAATTTCAGAGGCAGAGAACACGTCAACATATTCCTTTAATGCTACTGTACTGGCAGTGTAACTCAGATCATCTCTTGTGGCGGCTGTGCGAATGCGCAGTTCCTCGTTGTTACTAAGTGAAGTTAGGGCTGCTCGATTATGGCAAAAATCATAATCTCGATTATTTGGGTCAATAATTGATATCACGATTATTAAAAACGATTATCCATTTACTTTGAAAAATGTGAACAGTATGTTTTTAACAGTTGATTACCCTGAACTTTAAGTATAATTCAACTGAAAAAAATAAATAATAATAATAATTAAAAAAAATAATTAAAAAAAATCGTTTTATTTCGATTATGTTGTTTTCCTAATCGTTGAAAGCCAAAATCGTAATTGCGATGAAAATATGATTAATTGAGCAGCCCTAAGTGAAGTAAAGCTTCTTTATAACAACAACCAGAGGAGGACATCTTGTGAACCTGATACTCTCCAGAGAGGATTAACAGAGTGATTCTCATAAAAGCTGCTGACTCTTTCTCCTAAAGGGAGAACATGCTTCTGACATGTTATTTGAAATATATATGTATTGCTTATCTAATGGATCTATTTAACTATCTGACACCCTTTAAAGATAAAGCATATTTTGATTTCTTCTTTACTATAACCTCAGCTAGAATGCACATCCTTATAATGTATGTACAAACGTTGAATCGAGGGACATCCTGTGTTCAATCAGAGCTTGGAAGTCTGATCCAGGTCATAAATTACAATCTCTCAGAGGCAATAAGAAACCTTCGTGATCATGCATTCACCAGTTTTGGAAACCTATAGTTCAGACTTCTTTAAACTGCAAAATTCAGATCCTCTCTCACTGACAGAATCTTCAAAATGAGCAGATTGACGCTGAGCGGCGGGAAGAGTCTTTTCTCTCCAAGCTTGTGCTTCATTCAGAGTGGCAGTGAGTCACTGCTGTCTCAAAGAGTCCACCCTATGATACACTATGTACATCAGCACCAGCATACTTCTATGCATTTTGGTTGTGTAGAGATCACATATCATACAGCAGGATAAAACATTTGGTGTGTACTGAAATCGAATTAAATGTCATCGGTGCAGAGACACAACTAGCTTCCTAGCAGGCCTGAACTACATTCATACATTAATGCATATTATGTAGAAGCATTGATTTAGTATGGACTACTGTTTGATAATGAAAGGCAGCACAAGAATGACTAAGGAATGGCCTAGCACACAAAAATAACCCTCATCTGGTCTGATAAAATGTCTTATTTTTTTTTTATCTTAGCTTCAATGTTCTATGTTTCCTCATGAGGTTAAATATGTATTAAAAGGGAAAGCTTCCCAAAAAAAGTCCCGACTAGGAAGTGCTTTAAGTAAATGTGGCAGAAAATCAGCTGTAACCAGAGGAAGGAGGAGTTTAAGATGTTGAGTATACACACTTCAGTTAAGGGTTGAGTGTGTCCTGGATACAAATGCAAAAAACTAATTAAATGGCTGGAGATACGGACCATGTTTGGGACCAGATATTTACTGACAGTCTTTCTGATCCGGTGGGAACGTGTCCTCAGGGCTCAGTTAAAAATATTAATAATGAGACTTTTCAGGAAGCCAACAGAGACAGGGGTAATGAAATCAGAAAAGGAAACAGGAGAGGTCTGAAGGATCGTAAGTGGAAAACATCTTTGTTTTGTCTCCTCGTGCCGGACTGGACACAGTGTAAGGAAGACAGGACAGCAGAGAGACACGGCTCATGCATTTCTGGAAAGAGAAGAGGAAGAAGAGAAAGAAGAAAAGAGGAAGAAAAGAGGGGAAGAGAAGGAAGAACAGTGAGGAATCTGATAGTACACACAGGGCAGCTTAGATTAATTTAAACATAGCAGAAATCTCAACCAATGATTATTTTCATTATAAATTAGTGTCCGGCTTATTCTTTTCATTTAGTTGTTTTGTATACAAAACATCAGAAACTATTTTAAAATACCCCTCAGGATTTGTTAAGCCCAAGGTGACATCTTGTTTTATCCAAAAACAAGTCAAATCTATGTAATATTTAGCAAAAACAAAGACATTAAATCAGTTAATCAGACCAATATAATTATTGACACATTTTTCTGTTGATAGAAGAATCGAGAAAATAAACTAAACCATGTAATGTAGATAATCATTCAAAATAACCAAAAACTTAAAAGAGGCATTCACCTTTTATTATTGAAATAATTATGAAATCAACATTACAAAGTCACCACTGCAGCTATCTTCTAAAAAAAGGCAGCCAAATTAGTAAGGGGACACTCAGAGAAAAATAATAATGAAGCAAACCGGTATTACAGATTATAAGTAATAGATGATTTTGGATTATGATTAAGTTGCATAAATTGTTGTGTATTTTGAAATCTATGGGAGAATAATGCAAACCAAAGGCTATATAAATGTATGTGGCGTTGGATCATGCTGCATACTTCCCTATACAAATAATGATTAGATTAAAAATAAAGCCATTGAAGCAGGTGGTGTGTGTGTGTGTGTGTGTGTGTGTGTGTGTGTGTGTGTGTGTGTGTGTGTGTGTGTGTGTGTGTGTGTGTGTGTGTGTGTGTGTGTGTGTGTGTGTGTGTGTGTGTGTGTGTGTGTGTGTGTGTGTGTGTGTGTGTGTGTGTGTGTGTGTGTGTGTGTGTGTGGGCCTATAGATCTTTGAAGGTGCTCAGCAGATCAAGGATTCTTATAAAAACAGACAGCATTATGTCGACATAATGAACAGTGAGTAAATGTTTTCAGAATCAGGGCGGTTAAGCGGCATCGTACCTTCCTCTTCGGTTGTTTCTGGATCCGCAGAGTGGCAGGAACAAGATGGGAGGAGCAGACAAAGAAAAGACAAGTGAAGTAGATAAAGACAGATATTCAACTGTACATGTGCGCGAGCAGCAGAGAAAAATATGTAAAAAACATGCAATGAACCCAAGGCTTTAAATGCAAAGCATCAAAAGAGACATATTTGTTGTTATCCTGAAAGTCTACAAGCAAATTGCAACTGTACAATCTATCTTGCGATGCTTCAATGTTACTCATGAGATGAATGCAAATGATGACAGACGCAGACAAGCATTTGAGTCTCTTTACATTCTGCAGGCATGCCACAGCAAAGCTATCATGAGACAAGGCAGCATGTCGAGTGTGAATAAACAAAATCCAGAAAGAAGATCCAGTCGTGCGGAGAGGAACATGGAAAGAGCTTATAGAGCTATTTGTTTGGGGGGCTTGTAAGAATCTGCATAGTTCATTCAACTGATTTCACATTGCTCTCCTACAGCACAGTCAGAATCGCAAAAGAGAGATTTTAAAGTATAGAGGTGTTCTTCATTATTCCGCACATTCTTCCTCCAAAATCTGGTGCCTACATTTCCCACAATTCAGCTCTACCAACCACCCTTTGGTTAGAGATTCACAAGAAACATCTAAGCCGCTACCCTAAAACAGAGATCAGGATTAACCTCTTATACTTTTAGAAAATTAACTAAAAAAATCACACATGAATCAAAGTGGTCAATCATGCCATGTCAGGATGAGAATGTCGTTAAAGAGTTTACAAGCCAGAGAGAAAAAGGCAGGTTTCTAAGTACTATAATTCAGAATCGGTCCACCAGCATTAACAATAATCCCACATGGTCTCTGGTTGTGAGGATGGATCAGACAACACGCAGAGGAGCATTCAGCAGTGTGTGTTAGCTGACAGAGAAACACAGCAGGCACACACAGATAGAGGCATGCCAGAACTCTTACTTAAATCCCCAGCCAGTCCCCCCCAGGACTATCGCTGCCACCAGAATCGCACCTGCGACCGAACCTATTATGATATTGGTGCCACTGGGACCTGTGGGGGTGAAGGGGTCAACGTGTGAGGGGGAAAATAGGAAAACAAATAATAATGTGAGAGTGCTCAATACCAAAAAATAGACAGACATATCCTTTAGTCTTCTATTTGTAATTATCAGTGCTGTAATTTTTTTTTTTTTTAATTATTATTATTATTAACAAAAACGACTTCTAGTATTCTGTATGAATTAGTGAATGGGTGCCTAGTGGACTTTGGGTATATGCAAAAGTGAGACAAGATATTGAAGTATGGACACCAATAAACAAAACAAAATATTTATCTTTTATTACAGACTTTTTTATTTTAAAGCAATATATAAATAAATCTATGACTATCGTTTCGGTAAAATTCAATTTGATTGTTCTTAGATTATTTAGTTGATAATGACAAGTAACAAATGTGTTTACTTTATTTATTATTATATATTTCAATAGTCTAAGTTACAAAAAATAAAATGACTTTTAGTTGTTTCGAGACGCAGGTCGCAGTTTAAGACCATCCTTTGATGACAACTTTTGCTTTATTTTCTGGATTAATAAGGAGAGAAATTACTTTAGTTTTATTAATAATTTTCTTTTTTTCCACTGGGGTGAGGAGCCACAGTATCTGCACTGGTAAAAGGACATTACAGGTAAACTGCTCTGTGTAGTTACATGTACCTTTGTACACGGGGCCCTCAGGCGGGGTGGGGATGGGAATCGGGTCGAACACGCTGCAGTCCTTCCCGGTGTGGTCGGCATCACAGATACACCTCACCTCGTTGCTGCAAGTCTGCAAACAGGGAGGAGAAATGCAGGCATTTAAAAGCTTATCTTGTTTACTAAACACAAGAAGTTGTTCCCACCAGCAGAACTCAGTCAGACTCACCCCGTGGTGGGAGCAGATGTGTGACACAGAGGAGCCGGGGCAGGTGCTGAGGTTGAAGGTGGTGACGGGGAGGCAGCGGCGCTCCAAACACATCATGTTGGGCCCGCATGGCGTCCCGTCCTCCACGTAACCCATATCCAGGCCGTCATCCAGCACCGCATGGCCGCCCCTGAAAGTCAGAGGGTCACAATCATCAGTCTTTGGTTTTTTACTAAAATAACTTATTTATTTTATATCAAAGGTGTTAGTTTCAGTTCCAGGATGAATCATTCTTCCGACATCAGTGCTTTCTTTATGTGTTATTTTTTGTTCCAAACCTTGATTTGGATGATTTGTTTTACACATTTTTAAGTGTCTGTCACTCTGTTACTACCAAAACCAAAAGTGCAAGGTCCAGCACATCATCATCTTTCCTGCATGTAGTGAATCCAGATTAAGATAAAGTCAGTTAAAATAAAACAGAACTTTAATAATCCAAAAGTATTTTGTGCCAAAACAAGAGTAACAAATGTATAAAATATTTAAGAAATAAAAATCACAATAAATATAATAAAAGACTTAGGTGAACTAAAAGTTATATTGCTCAGATTGAAGACATTTGAAGAAAACATTTAAATGAAGCGGCCGACTGTATTTGTTAATCCTCCAATTGTTCACCAACCGAGCTGCCAGAGAGAAGCTGCCTCACCTGCAGTCCATGTATCTGTTCTGGTGGTGGATGGTCAGACTGGTGAGCCTCCCCTGCAGCTCACCAAACCTCGGCCTGTCCGTCAGGTTGGTGCACAGCAGCAGACCACACAGGACGTCTCTGATGGAGGCAAAGAAGAAGGTCAATGATTTAAAACTGACTAAAGGCTCCACATTTAAAGACTTAAGCAATTCTATAAAACCAAAAACAGGCATCCTCAATCTAACCATGTTGTTTCCATGCCATGCTGTTCACTCACTGCTTGTTGCACTGAACCCATCCCTGACCGCTGGAGTCCGGCCCACAGTTTCCTTTCTCTGTGCCCTCAGAGTTCAGCTTCTCATAGCAGAACCTGTCCGCTGAGTCTGAGCAGAGAGAACAGAAGAGTCTTTCACTTTTATCAGAACATCCCATAGCCTTGCTGTAATTGTTACTAAGCATTTCTCAGAACAAATAATGTGAGCCTGCTTAAACTATCAGAGGGCCATGCAACCTGGAGAATGTAAGCTTAATATCCAATGCAAACCTACTGTAGCCCCACAGATTCCTGCACTGTCCATCTCTGGTCTTACAGCGACCTCCATAACAACGGCCCTGGAGAGGACAGACAAAAGGAGAAACATTTTTGTGCCTTGTTGTAAAAGTTGCTTTTATTTCCTTAAAGGAAAAAACATACATTAATCTATTAATATAATTCAACCAAAGATCAATCTTAGTCCTAACCATCCAATATTTAGAGATTTTAGAGGGTTACGATCCCTTGTCAGTCGGTTTACACAGTGTCACTTTGGTTTATTTATTTTACAAAAACCTTATCATATCAAAGATCAGTAACAACAGTTATTATGATTTATTGCATCAGACACTTTGTAGAGCAGACATGCTTTACTATAATTCTATAATGGTTGACGGATCAAAATATATGTTTTAATGGTTTTTCTACACAGTATATTGTAGAACTGAGATTGAACTGAAAAAAACTCCCATGCCTAAATGTATGCCATACAGTGAAGTCAAATGTTAAAAGCACCAAAATGTGCTTAGTGAGGCAAGGCAAGGCAAGGCAAGTTTATTTATATAGCACCTTTCAACACAAGGTAATTCAAAGTGCTTTACAAAAATGGAAGACATTTTAAAAATGGCATTTAAAATCAGTCATTAAAAAGAAAAGATAATAAAATAAACATTAAAGTGAGGACAAAGTTTAAATTAAAAAAGCAACCAAAAACATAAAACAATAGCTTGATTTCACCTGTCCAGCATCACACGTGTAGCCATCTAGTTTGTGGACGTTATGAGGACACTGCAAGAGATGACATTATATTACAAATGTACATTCTATAAGCATCTTGTTTATTATTATTTTTAAACATACAAGTTTCAAAAGATTATTAAAGCATCTTTATAAATGTATAATGAGACATTTACCTGGCTGGTGTCTCCCATGCAGGTCTCATGGATGTCACAGTCGTTTACAGCGTCACGGCACGTCACCCCTCTCAGCTCGTACTGTCCCAAACAACCATAGAAGAAGACGAATGGAAAAGACGAATGAAATATCAATAATTGGTCAGAGCCTTAAGAAACAGCAACAAACTCTGAAGATGATGTGATGTATTAAAGCAGCTCACCCTGCAGTCCCTGCAGCAGAGCCCATTACTGCACATGGCATTGTGGGTAAGCGTGCACTTCTTACAGCAGTTGGCGCCACTCCGTGCACACTCCTATGGTTCAGAGAGGGTTAATAGCACATCTTTAGATCGATTGTGTCTTTGTGTGTAACACAAGCAATGAGATATGAGTAAAGTGAAATGTGCTCACCACTAGTGATCCACAGTCACACTCCTCTCCCATCTCCACATATCCATTCCCACACTCTGGTGGGTCAAACAACTACAGGGGGGGAAATATATGTAAAGTCAATTCCACTGATACATATCTTTCAAACAGACAACAAAAATACATTTCAAACTATTTCATCTTAATTTATTCACAGACAAAATCTGTTGTTGTGTACTGATTTACTGAAAAGGTTTTAGTGATGTGGTCTTTAGACTTGCTTTGATTGTTTATCATGTGATATAAACAAAGTGAATGTGATTAAACTCCCCAGGCAGTGATGGCTGATCACCTCTCACCTTGTTGGGCTTGTTGAAGAGACAGCTGCCTCCTCCCTGCTGGAGGAAACGCAGGTACTCGTCGATACTGCAGCGAGAGAACTTCCTGGGCAGGTAGTAGCTTTTTGATACAATTCAAACAAAGACAAATAAATCAATATTGTTTGCAACAGAATTTGCAACACTGCCTGAACCCTTCGAAAATCTGAATGGACCTATCAACTAAAATGCTTTTGATATTTCACCCAGATAAAGATGAATTTAGCACATTAGATATTCCTAAAATAAATAAATCACCCCCAACCCTAACGATGCTAGCTGCTTTACCGAGACATAATTAACAACAGATACAAGTAAATGAGTGTGGAAAATATCCGTCTTTGTTTTCACAGACTGCTGTTTCACCTGAGAATGATTTCTTAATGTAGGACAATAAAAGGTGAATACCCTGTGTCCTCCATAATGCAGCCAAGCCACGGGTCGGGACACCGGCAGTCTCCTGGACACACACACACAACAAATATCATCAAGCAACTCTGAGATCTCACCACGAGAGGGAGCTGTTTTTAAAGCAGAGGTGGAGTGTTATTTAAAACTATCAGCACACACAGCTTAAAATAATACTTTTAATATAATACATTGTAATTACATTTTGAGAGCTTTTAAAAAGGAACTCAAAAACACTTCACGTGTGCAGTTTAAAATACATACAAATCATAAAAAAGAACAACCCATTTAAAGATTAAAAAAACATTAAAAGCCATTATGAAGGGTGGGTTTTGATTTGAACAAGGAAACGACTTGAGTTTGGTAAAAAACAAAGGGTATTTGTAAAAGACAGATTTAAGATAAAACAGCTTTACTTAGCTTAAAATAGCAGGAAACCATAATAAATAGGAAAAACAAGAGTATGTTATGCTAATCCATGTCAAACGAGATTGTCCTCCTATGAATCTTTTATGAAGATCTCAACCAGTGTCTGCATGCACGTATATGTCCAACCTGCAGCGAGTCGCTCCTTGTTTCTCAGCATGCCGATGTTCTGGCCCAGACTCTGACTCAGTGTGATGGCCATGGGGCCAACGCCGCCATACTGAAGGCACACACATACACACGGTTAAAGACAATAACTCTACCTGAGTCAGACACTCATGTGAACTATGTGTTACTTTAAAACACGTGACCCTATAAGACCACACATATATTACATTGGACACATGAGGACAGTAAATAGAGTAAACTAAATATAAACATCTTAAAAGAACAGCTGAACAATGATATCCATTATTTTGTATGACAAAAGAAAACCTGGTGCTAATTGGCAACAGGTGAGGGTTATAAATGTACTATCTGCAAATGAACCGGCATTAACACACTATGATGGAGCAAATAATAAGCATTAACTTCACATCATATATTTGCTATAACTATTTTTGTTTGGTGTGTAAAGGAAATAAAATGTTGACTGAATCTCTGTGAAACGCCTATGGAGCCAATAAAGGTCATATTTCAGTTGATTCTAAGGGCTTGTGGCTTTTCATCAGATGTCATTTATAGGGGAAGCCTTAAATATCCTGCTGTGTTGCCCAATACTAATTTCTTCACTCTGCAAAAATAATAAGGGTCCCCTCTTATATAAATTATACTTTTTTGGATAAGGGCTATAAAATGTAATTGTAATAAATATAACAGATCATTTCTATTTCTAAATCACAGAACGTTCATCAATATTCAATTTGAATTCTATATTTCTTCAATGTCTTTTTTGCAGGATATAATCTTTGCAACACCTTTAAGATAAAGAGCACCCAGTATTAACTCAGTTAACCTTCCTGTGCAGCAATCATGCTACCTGCTGGTAAAACTACTCAATCACAACTGTAAATAATATTAAAGATATTAAAGTGCAGTGTCATGAGTTATAACCGGGTCACTGCTGCTTAACCCTCCTGTTGTGTTCCGGTCAAATCTGACCGATTTACTACTTTCATCCCTCATAACTTTTGTGTTTTACATTTGATTGCATCGAGGCTTTATGATATCCTCCACAGTAGACATTTTAACTTATACAATTGCTGATCACCACATTCATTTAATTTTGGGTGGTTTAGTCAACCTTTTGATCAGAATTTGGTCTCTGTTTTTGAATGCTTTTTCTTTTTTACAATAAATGTTTATTACATCACAAAAAAAGACATGTTCATTGTGTATTCTTTGTATATTTACTGCAGTTGTTCATGTATAGCAGTAGTCGGATACATTGTTTACAGTTTGAAAGGGTGTTAAATTAAATGTGGTGTTGATTCATGTTTTGTTTTTTTTAGAGTATTTCAAACAGGACAGGTCAAATTTGACCGGGAACACCAAAGTAATGGGGGGGAAACGAACACAACAGGAGGGTTAATAAACCATTTTTATTAGGTTCATTGGACAACTACCATGATTTGTATCTTAAATCAATAATATAAACAGTGTTAGGGACACAAATCTCACCTCATTGATGCCTCCACCTCGAGTTAAAGAGCAGATTCCCCCGATGTAGGCCGCCTCACTGCGGGTGCTCATGAACGTCCTCCCACTGTAGGGAAGACGAGATATTCATAAGAAACATTAATAAAATAAAAAATAATACCAATAATAATAATAATAAGTGACCAACTCCTTCAGACAGAAATCTCACGCTACTAATACGCATTTCATATGAATAGGCATGAAGAACACAGAGAAGAAAAATAAGAATACAGGGAAGAGGAGGAAGAATAAAGAAAAAGACAAAATTAAGAAAATTAAGCAGCAGGAAATAATGAGAGAAAGTAGAAGATGAAGTAGGAGGAGGATAACAACACCAGCATCTAAAATAAGGAGAGTGAACCCACGAGAAGAGGTGCACGGCGTCGCAGCGCTCCTTGATGCTCTCCTTCCTGTACTTCATGAAGTCTCGCAGGGTGAGCAGGGCATCGTCGCCCACGGAGATCCTGTTTTCAGAAGACCAGGTTTCCATGGCCACCAGAATGATGCGAGTGTTGAGCTGGTCCTTGTAGATCTGGAAACATCGAAATTAACAACGACAAAAAACCATCAGAATAAATCCTTTCTCTTGATGTTTGCCATCGTACCTCCAAAGAACTAAAGCTTAAACGGATTAGAACAGAAACGATTGACAAAACAAAATAGATAATTGTATTAAATAAATAAGAAACAAAACATTTCTGAAATATGGAGCAGAGCAAAAGAGTTTCATGGGAACTTGATGCAGATGTTATAAGAGCATTTCAAATGACCTAAAAACAGCAGTAAAATGAAATACTGTATCAGGATCAAAATGACCAAAAGGGTTTAGCCAACTGTCTTTATTTTAAATGTTGGTTTTATTGTGATAAAGAATAAATATGACTGTTGAGATGATATAAGATGTTAGATTCAAGCCCTACGCTGCTCTTAACAACCTGTTAGATGGATAAAAAGAAATCAGGTCTTCGGGGTTAAGTGAGAGTTACATTTTGTAGATGACGGAGAGAGTTGTTTCTGAGTGGGAGAAAGCAGCCAGCAGTCGGTTGTCATGGAAACCAGCATCACTAGGTCTGAAGAGTTTCCCGTGAGAGCGTTACAGAAGAGGACGCAGAGGGAGTTTTTTTATTTTTGCACTTCACCTGCTTTTTATGGAAAGTAATCATGTCCGATCTTATAAATGTAATTAAACATGTCGCTAACAGCTCAGTGTTTTTAGGTAAAGCCTCAACATGTCGCTGTATTACAGCAAAGATTTTCCATTTCTTAAAAGGAGTAGCCTGAGACACTGGAACTATTTATATCTATCCTGGTTAAACCTTTATTTATTTCCATATTTTTCTTCTCAAGGTAAGAACCTGGGGGGAAATGTATTGCATATATCAAGATAAAGCTTTTTATGGGTATATTTTACTGCAAAAAGGGTAGATAACCCAACAAGAAGACTTAACACTGAACATACTTAACTATTTTGGAACTAAAAGGGTGTAGTTGCTTTTGGCTTGGGTCCTTTTTAAGAACATCTAACCACAAGAAAGATGGGCAATGTCATTCTGTATGTATGTTTCTGATTCATGTTTGGTCTTTAGTTATGTTATGTATGAGGTGATTTGTCTGTAGCTCATGTTAATGCAACATTACGGGGCTTGAAATCACTCCTATAAAAAGTCCCTGTGAAAGGTTATGAAGACCTCAAGAGATGATAGCAAATATATGGCATTAAAGTAGCTGTTAAAAGTTGAAATAAGGGATGGCAGTTCTCTCACTCAGGAAGGTTTCATCAGCAGGAGGAAACACTCAGACATTTGGCAACTTTCCTGATTAAGCTCAGGAGACTTCCTACAATAGACTCCCTATGAAGGGGTGCCATGGTTTAAAGACAAAAGGATGACTTGAAGAGAAAGCTCATAGTCAAATGAACAATATTTTCACTCACTGCGTCGGCCATGTTCACCACCGCTTTGGCAAAGTTCTTCGTCTGAGTGGTTGACCGTCGAAGCTGCACAAACTTACAAGGAGAGGAGAAACACTTTAATACTGATTATAAAGTCTACTGAGCTGATTAAAATCCTTTTTTAATAAGAGTCACGCTCACTTCCTATAATTGCTTTCATTCAGCAGCTACAGAGATAAGGTAATATAGGCTTCACACGTACCAGCTCATGGTCGTTCACCACCATCAGCTCGATGTACTTGGTCTCGGTCTGTACGGTGCGCGGGCCTCTCCTCGCCTGGAGGGGGCGAAAGAAATCCACACAGTCAGACTTCTGAGTCCGCTGTCATAATCACCTTCACACAGGACAAACAGACACACACCAACACAATGCCAACACACACACAAACCCAGCAGGTTTTACTGAATTACTCACACACACAAAGAGACACACACAAGTGCTGATGCTGGTGAAACTCTAGTCTTTGTCCTTGAGAGGGAAACACAACTTGGAAAGCAACAATCATTCTGTCATTACAGAGAACATTGCTCTGGATCTTCATATCCAAATACTTCAGGAGTCTAACAAGTAATAACACACAACTTTGAAAGCCCAAAAAGACTATAGAAGTGGCAGTGAAAAATGTAAAGAAAATATCCTTTAGGTCATATTTATTTAGTGATAACTGACACATTTTGATTCAAAGGTGCTTACTGGTACAGAGTTCAAAATCCAGATGTTTCTACTGATCCCAGCAAATGTAATATGTCAGTGAGAAGTGAACAGACATACATGAATACAGAAATGTCTCAATTGAAACCACTAATGTTGATGTTTAGGGTCAAAAGGTGAAAATGAATGTTAGAAAGATCATGCCTGGGAAAACCCAAACCTTTAAAACCTTACACACCGACTTAGTACTGCAAGTACTCACTTTGAAGTTTGTAGTACAAGCCAAATCCAAAATTAACAAAGGAGCATCCCCTGAGATTTTAGAAAGCTCCTTCAGACGTACAACACTACTACTTTATTTTTGTCAACATATTAGCATGAAAGCTGAGAGAGGCTATCAGCATGCGTGTGGAAATGTGGCTTCATCCACACAGACTGACAGCTTCATCTGTGAAATATTAATAGTGTTTGCATTTCTCAACCCTGATGTTTCCCTCATGGTGACACTTGAAATGCATGCCACATGTTTCTGGCGTTGGGCCGTCTGTGTGAGTTCAAATGTGTGTGTCAGGAGAAAGAGACTCATAGTATGAAAACTGACTTGTCTTTTTGAGCGTCGCAGGCCGCCTGTAAAGACAGGCTTCTCCTCTTCAGACACATCGTCACCATCCTTCAGTTCCTCGTTTTGGCCTTTGTGGCCGTCTGTCTGCCCCCCGGGCTTAGTGCTGTTCACAGAGCATCCTGGGAAACACACACACACATGCATGCATAGAGTCAGTGAGATGGAAAAGTGGCTAGTCATCAGTCCAGAGATGGATGTAACCATGTATTTTAGTCCACTGATCTGCAGAAAAATCAATATCACACAGGAGAGAGAAGGGAAAAGGGAGAGTATAACTGGCCAAATGGAAAGAGATGGGGTGAGGAAGCAGGCTGAGAGGAAAAGCAGGGGTTGGGTAACAGGAAGGAGGAGGGGGGGGGGGGGGGGGGGGGCATCCAGAAAGGCAGATAGTGGCAGGGACAAAGAGGAGAGGCAAAGAAAAGGCAGCCAAATGAGATGTTAAGCAAGGGCGAGGAGGGCAGCTGGACAACCCGAGGAGGACACTGTACGCTGCAGTGTCTGTGTGTGTGAGTGTGAGTGTGAGTGTGAGTGTGAGTGTGTCTGTGTGTGTGAGTGTGAGAGAATAGCCATCAAATAAACAGACTTGCATTACAGAACATTTGGTTTAGACAATCCAAAGTCGAAGAACGAGGCTGAACATGTTGTCTCAAAACAGCCTGTGGGCTTATTGTTAACAAGATGCATCCTGCCAGGTTTGATCAAATCTAATGTTTTGACAACAAATGACACACCAAAGCTGCCTCACATCACAAACTCTTATCAAAATCAAATCAGTTTGACATGTCTATAATTTGTATTACAGCAGGTATCTTGTCAAAAAGGCTTAAGAAGGGCAGACCAGGTAAAGGGATTTTGTTTGTATCAAACTTTGAATGCATCAGGAAGGGCTTTGTTACAGGGGAAAGTAACTGTGAGGAGTTTCATTGTGGAGATTCTTGGTAAAACGGGCCTACCTGGACAGGGAGGTGGGAAGAGGTCAATGTCGGGCATCCGATACACAATGTGGTCACTGTGCTCCTGAAGGGCGTCCGGGAAAACGATAACAGACAGTGACAGATGGAGAAACAAACAGAGAAAGAGGATAGAGGAATGAGTATGTCTTTTTTCTGCAGCTGAACAAGTATAAAACCAAAGTTATGTTGTCGCTGAGTATAGAGTTTTATGTCAGAACTTTTCTGAGCCGCTTGTTTTAAAAATGATGACTCAGAACATTGTTTGGCAAATTGAATCATCAATGCCAAACAGATCCTGCATAAACAGTCTCACTGATGGTGGATTGGGTCACAAGGAAATCTTAACCAATTATGGTCAAAAGAGGAAAAATTGTAAATTATAAAATGTAGAGTTGATCATATTATGGTGACAACTTCATATAAGCCTTGAAATAACTTTAACCTGGACTCAAATCCACGGCTTCTCGGGGTGAGAAAGCGCTGCTGCGTCCTCTGAGCTAGAGATGGATCAACAGGGAGAGAAGTGCTCTGATGCATAATGAATTAATCACTGGGCTGTCATCATGGCAATTAAACTAGTGGACACTGTGGCACACTTAAGCTCGGGATAAATACTTTATGAAAATAACCCCTCTCAGAGAGAGAAAGAGAGAGGGGAGAGAACGGTTTTGAAGATGAGCTGGGAGGCTATCGATCCATCTCTCCAGTATATGGAATTGAGCTGTACTTCTATTAGTGGGCCTTAATAGAAAAGCTCAGCCTCTCCCACTCTAAACCCTTTATTCTCCTCCCATTCACCCTTCTGTTATACACCCATTTCTTTTTAATACAAGATATATTCTAAAATCAAATCTCAGTATTTTGAAAAGATCCAAAAAGCCTCTTTTGTTTTTGTCCATCATTTCTCTGTGAGATGACGTCTCCCTCAGATATGAGACAGGAGATGTGTTTCAGAGGTGGTGGATTGCGTGTCAACTCAATACTTTCCATACAGAAGCTCAGAGATAGAGTGACACTGTCTCAACTGACGCTAAGTCATGGAGACGGAAAAAGACATTGAGCCTGTGGGCGACTTTTAACAGTATTTTGTTGAGTTTGAACGATTTGTGCCAGGGCTGCAATATTTTTGTTTATTCACACACGCTTGTTGCAACGTTGGTTTGATGCCAAATAATTTGATATGTGTGTGTTTACTACTAATTCGACTAGTTGATCCTCCCCGACGGGTTTCTCCTGCTAAAGCCCTGACTCACCTCTCCACTGCCAACAGGTTCAATCCCGTATGAGAAGTTCCCATTAGAAAACATTCCCCTGAAAAACACAAAACACAGCAGCATATTAGAGTTTGTTAGGGCTAGTTTGTGTCCGTGTTGATGTGCTTTAAATGTGGCCTCCAGCAGTACATGTTTTGTATGTAATAAAAGCTTTTCGGAATGGTTAAGCTCTGCCGTAGGTTAAATATGTTTGAGTATTTAAAAAAGAGTTTGGGATAATATTTTCACGTGCCTCAAGTCTTTACAGTAAACAAGAAGCTAAAAATAGCCAGGGGATTTACAAAGGTGACTAAATGAGTGTAGTAGCTCTCATCTTGTTTGTTTAATCTGTGCAAAAACTGAGTAAAAATGTAAATGTGCTATTGTGAAAGAGATATGATATGTATCAAGCTATTTGGCAGTTTGTATGTATTAAACAAACCAGAAATAATATGTTAATTATTGAGCTTTAGAGATGCCAGTAGGTGGATTTAGTTTGACAGAGCCAAGATAGCCTTTTCCCTGTTTCCAGTCTTTACACTAAACTAAGCAACTGATGGCTCCAGCTTTGTATTGACCAAAAAGGCTCGACAGTAAATGATTCACTTGAAACAAAATGAAATATTCATTGATATTCTTTGTGTCATTTTCTTCTAAACTGAAAACTGGGCTGGCATGGATTTTCCACTTGACTTAACGTAGCAGAACTACTGTGTTTTGGGGGGAATTTACAGCAATACAGAACATGTGAATCACATAATAACACAAAACCTTTTAGTGTGGAACTATGGTGAAGTGACCACATTTGCGTTGGACTCACCGCAGGCCGTGGCAGGTGGACAGTGCGGCCCAGGAGCCCGGCAGCCCCCGCACACGGCCATGGTAGTAGCAGTGCTCTCCTCCCTGGAAACAAGCCATAAGGAACATTGAGACACTGATCATCCACATATGTCAGAAAAGAACACTGACTGTGATCCACTCACTGTTTCTGATCTTCTGGCCCCTAAATACAAAGAGGGCAGGTGTTGACTGTCAGCTGAACTAGTGGGTCAACTGTAAGATATCAGTGACTCCTGAAAGACTCAGAGAAAACCTACACCTACAGAAGCTGCCGCCGAGTTTGAGTTTCAACAAGGAAAAGCGCTGGGTGGAAAATGTGTAAGAATTATAGTGGCAAACTGGGAGAAACTTGGCAACTTTGGTTTAAACGTTTGAATAGTTGGTATCAATGTTTTAATGTAATGAGTGGTTCAAATGTATAAGTTGATAATGAATTGTAACTGGACATCAAAAACCTCCCTATAATGTTTTAACATCGTTTCTTATTAAATCTTTTTTTTTTCATTATCTTGTTTCATTTTACACCTACATTATCTTTATTCATCTATTAAATGATGTACCACTATCTGACAGGCCTGGAGCATATAGGGTGAGAAGCCCACTTTGCAAAATGTGGTCCACCTCTCGATAACTTAAATGGAATGGGTGGCCTAACTTTACACCTGGCCTCCAGCTACCGTCATCTGATTATTCATAATCCCCTAAAAGGTTTCGCCTGGACAATCATGATTTGATTATAGTGTTTCCACGCTGCCTCTCACAGTACAGGAATGATCAGATTACGACAATCTGAGAGGAGACTTGCTGGTGTCATTCAAGCAACATGTGCATGATAAATGTGGGAGCTAACAAAAGTTGAGGAAAAAAAGAAAACGTTGACAGACAGTATTACACTAAGGATAGTGTTCTTGGATAATCAGGCGGTCTGCATATAAATGGATGGAGATGACATGCTGTTTGTGTCGAGTGGTGTGTGTGTGGAAGAGAGAGTCAGTTTCAGGTGTTTGTAATGAACCCCAATAAGTCATGTCTGCCACCTGAGCCTGCTGTCGTCGGGCACGGCTTCTGGACCAAAAAGAAAAGAGGCAACGTGGAGCTGCTGCTCTTTATGCTCGGTCAACCTTTACTCCGAGCCTGAAAAATCTCTTTGACGTCTTGTCAAATGAAGTATAGGAACTCATCAGAAAATATTTCCCATTACAAATACGACTTCACCTGTTATTGTGCATTACAAGGCTTCATCACTGGATCTAAAATGGGCTACTGTACTGTATTTTTCCGCTTCAAGCTCAAATCAAAGGCTTTATTCATCCCTTACCCGCTGGGAGTCCAGCGTGGGGGAGCTTCAAATGAAACCGAGTCTGTCCGTCTGTCAAACATGATGTCTCCAAGGACACAAAGTGCCGGTTTCAATTTTGATTAAATCTGGTGGAGGGTGATGTTGATGCTTTTTTTTGTTTAGGTGCTTTACACTGATCTGGTTATAGCAAGGAAGCTGTTGAACAATGCAAACCATTATAGGCTTAAATTCCTTTTCCACTAGTTCCACAAAACAACACTAAGGGATGAGGCTTCCACTTACAAAATATAAACATGTAAATGTAAATCAAAATAGATATAGGCTCCCAAATGTATCTGCATCAATATAACTACAATCAACTCCTCTAGTGTAGTTTCAGTTTGTCAGAAATTAATCAGAATTCCTGATTTTAAACATTTCGGTTTAGAGATCACAAGCAATGTATCCACACAAATATGTATTACGAGCACTAAAGCATTTAAAATAATGCGCAGTAATAGATTAAGTTGTCATTTAAAAAAAAAAAGTTACAACACTTGATCATTTCAGGGATTAGTTTAAGGCTAAGAAGCCACATATTCTGACAATTAACCAAAGATAATACCTACTTTTATCTAGCTTATTTAGATTCAGTGGCAGCTAAGTTGTTGAGAAAAAAGGGACTTTAATCATTTATACCGAATAGTGAGACAGCCCACAGCACTTAGTCAGGGGCAAGATAATAAATAAATAAAAAGGTCGGATTACAAGGCTAAATGGAGGAAATCAAATTGTCTAACACAGCAGACTGCTGTAAGTGCTCAAATAATGGCCACTCGCACATACAAAGAAACCATGTTGTATGAGAAAGCATGGATTAAACATGAGATATCATCAGTGCTGGTAGGAAAAGGAAAAGTAAGCAGTATAGAAGTGTGACTAGAAGAATTAAATAAAATAGCTTGCAAGCACAAATAGAGGCGTATAGGCAGTTCTGTCCTGGAGGGACGAGGATTAAATGTGACATAAGAAACAAAGTGAGTTATAAAAGCTGGAGTTAACTCGATGCCTGGACTTTGACTCAGCATTGTTGAGCTGAGAGGAGCAGAGGGAGGGTACTGAAACAAAGTGAGAGGAAGACTAGATGGTACACAATTATAAATAAGACTATTTGACGTCCTCAGTGACAACAAGATACATGTTAACTTTCACATAAAATAAAGCCACATTTTGCTAAGGATATAAGAGATTTAAATAAATTAAACAGAAAAACAAAATCATCCTTTCAATTGGGTTTTCATCAACAATTCCGAGGGGTCGACATTATTACACATTTCTAAAAAACTCAGAAGAACATTAATATATAAAACAGCTTCTATCTATTCAAGCCCATCCTCATCCCTAATGCAATATATCCTCTGTGTCATTTAGATTCAACCCAAGTGAACCAGTCACCAGCTCTATGCAATAATATGGATCGACAGGGACCAATAAAAAAAGTGACACACAAAAGGAAGGAGGAATTTATTGTCACGTCAATAAATCTAAAATAAAACAAGATTGAAATGGTGTTGGAGGGGGAGGGAGCCACCTACAGTGCAGCATGCAGATAATGAAATGCTCATATAAGCTATTTCTACATTTGATAAACTATAGACCACAATTAACCCTACCATATTAATCTAAATGTCCCACCAATTCAGTAGCTATGACTTTTGTAAATAGAAAAATCTACAGCATTTGGTATTAATTTATTAATTTGTAACATACTCCTTTTTTTGGAAAGCCTTTTATACTGCGAGCTAGAGTCATCATTGAGTAAATATTGTATCTAAGATTTAAAAATACTTTCCAATACCGAACTATCAGACTAATGGGCTGCCACTCTCAAAACATGCAAGTACCACATGGTGTTCCCCAAGGATCAGCTCTTGAGCTACTATTATTCTCAAAAGGTATTTAGCACATTTCCCCAAACATGAGAAATCCTACTTTATTATTTTCAGTGGCTCGCAAAATACATATTGTAAACAAATAAAGGCCATTAGACATTGCATATCTGAGGTCAACACAATTATTAATATTTGGGAATGATTTGAGGAGGATCCTTTCAAATGGATCATTAGAGACTTTGACAATCTACCAAGCGGGCCATTACAGTTGAAGCATAAACTCTGTGATATGTGGTGGGCAAACAAATGTAAGACACTGAACACAATTACTGTACTGTGGAAGAATGCTGCATTATGGTCTAAAAACGTGTTCAATGCTCACTGAGTGTTAGACTCCCATCAACATTACTAATTCATGGGGCAAATATTCTAAGAATTCATTTATTTAGAATGTGTCAACATAACTTTTGTTTTATAATTTTGCTCCAACATATTCTAAATATATGTTGGACATTATTTCATGTGATACATTTCATAATTTAGCATTTACATAATGCACACAGATCTTTGATATTGGGATTATTGTTTTACATGATATAATTAGATTCCAATATTAAACATCTGGTTGCAAAAGTCGGTACAATGGTGGTTGAGAGATTTGCTTCTAGAAATGTACATGATTTGAATTCCCCTCACGACACGACAACATGGACCAACACTGCTGCTGCTGCCGCTGCTGACTGCTGGAAGCCATGGCAACCATCTACTGATTGGTCAGGTGGTCGCCGAGACAAAGACAGTGAGAGAGACAGAGATAGAGGGGCAGGAACAGGGAGGGAAAGACTAAAATAAAGCAGAGGATACAGACAGAAAGAGGCCGTCTATCAGATGTTCTTGAGTCTAAAGAAATTATAACATTGGTATAAGGCCGTTTGATCAAATGTATAATGCACAACAGAGAGGACATCAAACATCTGTGTGCAATGCAACCAGACAGCTGTTTATGGATGCCAAAGATTTATGATGTTTTAACTGATGTAAGAAACCAGAGTATACAGCAAAACAGATGAGCAGTCACTTTAACAAACCAACTTCACAAACGTTTACACTCCACACATTCAAACACATTTGCCATTTCTAGGATTATCTGCCTAAACTATTCAATATTGATTCTGTTTAACTTCTCTCAGGGGAAATACACCCATTGGAAACATTAATCCCTGGAAACAAGCTACGCTAATATTACAATTAAATAAACCTTTATGCATTGGCACAAATCAAATAGTCTGTGATGGAAACACATTTTAAATTCTGATTAAAATGATGATGGCATTATTTATCAAGAGCTTATTTAAAGGAAAAGTTTGACTTTTATTTGAATATATAAAACAAAGAGAGCAGAAAATGTCCATATTCTGTCCTTTTTGCATCACAAAAATCAGCAGGCGATTATTTGTATGTCCATTGAATAATCACATAGTTGATTCAATATTGCAACTCTACTTAAAAATCAATGTGAGAGTAGTAAAGATTTTTTCTCAAGTCTCGGACAGGAAGTGTATATCCCAAAATGTTGAACAATTTCTATAAAAATGGCTTACCATATTTTCAGACAGCTTTCCATCCTCACCATAGTGACGCTCCACATAGTCAGTAGAAAGCAGGTTGCTGGAGAGAAGGAAAAAAAAGGGAGAAGAGCAATAATCATTCTCACATTTCGTTTTAACCTGAATTCAAAGCTTATTTGGAAAAGCAAGATTGCAGCACTGACTATTAACTGCCGTTTTTGGTCATTATTCTGGAGTGCTATTTAACAGAATAACATTTCTAGCCAGACATTATGACTTGCCTGAATCTAGATCAACAAATGTCTGATTATAACCAAAGGGTCTCAAGATTCATTTATTCTAAGTGTTCGGAAAGCCAGTGAAAGGTATTACAGAAATACAATCCATTAGAGCAAGAGAGAATAGGGGGAGGTATACATTTGGCAAGCAGCCAGTCCTTATAATGCCAACGCACAAGACATACAGTAAAATACTGTAAGTGGGCGGGAGAAACGGGTAAGGAAAGATAGGTGGTGCTTTAATCTTTCTATGCAAGTATCTTCATGTCAGTGTGTGCTGTAAACAAACCATTAAACATTGTGGGGTGCGGACGTGTGAATGCTTTGCATGCATGAAGCAACTTACTGGTTGAGTTCCAGGTCAAGGATGAATGAAGTGCCGAAGGCCTTCACCAAGAAGCTGCTCTGGGCCAGATGGATGGGCTGAGGGAGGGGTGGAGGGAGGAGAGCAAAGGGGATGGGGAAAAAGTAACTTAGATTTACAGTTGATTGAATGTACAAAAACTGATCAAAGTAGCAACAACATTTTTCCAAAAACTGAATTTGATGCATTATGTTTGTCTGTTAATGATAGTTTTCGGGTTAGCACACCTCAGGAATCAAGGGCCTTTTTACCAAATTTCTAGTTTGTTAAGCGGTTTCCCCTATTAACACTACATACTGTGCAGTATATACACAATCAAATAATATGAAATTATCACTACCTCAGCTTTGAGCAGCATTATAATTTCGTTGTCCAATCATGTTCATCAAATAGAGGAAACGTGTATCTCCTGCCTAACACATCCAAACCACCATCAAGGTCATGCATTCATATAGGCTTCAGTTCCTAGTTTATGTGTCATAGCGCTTTCTGCATGTGAGGTGGATAAGCAAAAGATTAAGTGCTTTATAGTCTGAAGTGTATTTCTATTTTTAAAAAACATGCTTCTCTTATTCAAATCCATGCAAGCTTGGGGTCCCAGACGTTGACTCAAACAAATGACTCACTAATTTGTCAAGTATTTCATGTTTTCAGGAAGAAAATGTGACAGAATAAGAAAAACAGAGGGTGGAGCAGGGATCTGATGGATGTAAGGAATTCAATTATTAACAGTAAGTATGCATAGAGACACAAGCTACAAAGACATATAATAATGGGATGTCCTATTTTGGTAGCCTCTCCTTGAAGTGGAGACAGTCTCATCCATCCCCGAGGCTTTTTAGGATAACACTGAGTGTTGGGGCTCAGTGTAACCTTGCTCCAAGGTGAGCCTCGTGCACGTTGAGACAGAGCTCTGTGGTGGCTCCCATCAGGCAGGTCTCATTAGTATTGCCATGCACTCTCTGCAAACCACTTAGCATCAATCTAAACCTCCACTGGGTCCATATACTGTACAATAAAAAGCCCACAGCCTGTGAGTAGAGATAAGAAAGCTGCATCGGAGTTACGACTGTGGAGATTTATACTGTATAGTCATTTATATATATATATATATATATAGCCAGGACACTGAATTATAGAGTTGATAGACAACTTTAGTTTTAACATTTAGTTTGATCACTAAATATTTGTCATCTTCTCAAGTATGAGTATATCCTAATTACTGTGGATAGGATTAAAGCATTATATAGGCTTTAGTCATTTACAATGGGCAGTTGACATAATTTTTCGGCATTTTAACCACTGAACATAATGGATTATTAACCATGAGAAATTAATTAAATGTCAGGTCCTCGTTTATCTCAGATGAAAGAAAAACATCCAATTATATTTTTTCTTATGGCATTTTTTTAATGTCCTTTTGAAGTTGAGATTGTGAACTTGCTGGCAACAAGTTACCAATTTAGGAGAAATTACAAGCAGGGGCGGCGCCAGGGGGTAGCTTGGAGTTGCTATAGCAACTCCAACAATTGGCCTAGCAACGGCTTAGCAACCCCATTGTTTTGTTATGAAAATGTATCTATATATATTTATACACATTCTCGCGAGATCTATCAGGGGTCATTGTAAGTTAAAGCGCGAACTGTTACTTGGCTAATGTTGTTATAATTCTCAGTATGTGAACACAGATCGAAAATGGAAAGATTTCTCACAAGTCAGCGTAAACGGCCAGCCGGACAACCCTGTGTGTGTGTGTGTGTGTGTGTGTGTGTGTGTGTGTGTGTGTGTGTGTGTGTGTGTGTGTGTGTGTGTGTGTGTGTGTGTGTGTGTGTGTGTGTGTGGTGTGTGTGTGTGTTTGCGGTGTGGTGATTAGGTTAAATGCCACAGCATGCCAGTTGAAACAGTGAACGATCGCTATTGTGTACGCTTAGGGTGTAATGGTATTATACACAAATATTGTAGGAGCACAGAAACAGTGTTCAAATTCTGCTTTTACAAACTTATTTTGGTTGTGCTTACCTTGCAAAGTAATGTTATAAGTGTCAAAGGAATGTTTTAATGTAAATATTAATGATAATATTGTAGCGTGTCCAAGTTAATAGTTATTTCAGTTATCAGATGTGCACAGTTTAGTACATTTGTAAAGTTATTTAGGCAATGTTGTTGGCGGGAGTTAGGGAGAGACCGCCCCTTCCAGGTGTGTGTGTGCGGTTTCCGGTGTGTGTGGAGGGAGTACGAGACGGTAGGAGTTGTGTTTGAGTGTGGGGAAAAGTCATAATGAGTGTTATACTATTGATTGGCTCTGTAAGGCGTGGCTGTGGCCGTCAATACCATAAAATAAAGAGAACGTTTTCGACATTGAAGGCTCGTGATCTGTGATCTTGAATAGCGGTGAACGCTACAATATGAACAGGCTCGTGCTTGGCCCACTGGTATTGTTTGTTTATTTATTTTGATTAATTAACTAGCAACGCCGTGCTGTCATATTGCAACTGCTAAGCTACTGCAGCAAAAAAATCCTGGCGCCGCCCATGATTACAAGTGACAAATATATATTCTATAAATATATATTTTTTGGGAAGCATCTGTGTTTTAAAACTCCTAAATGCTCCTGTATTAATATATACTATATATAAAGACTGTGATATTGCACTGAGAGAGTGTATCAGTTAAAAACTACATCTTAAATGTATCTATCTAAATATAATTTAGATTTTTTAACATACATGCTGTGTCAAGTTTTGCACAACATATGATCATGGTATGTTTATTTTGCTTTTAAATGTGTAGTTTACAACTAGTCGAGCAACTCTGAATCCTGGTTATACCACATATATCATTTTGCATATTGTAATATGTCGGCATTAATACTTCTCAATAATGACAACAAGCATACTTCTTCCAATGGGCGTCTACAGTCTCCAAAAGAGAGTTCATGAGACAGCATGCCACCCTCAGAGGGTGGCTGAAGGTCGGAGCTGTGTCATATCCACTGACAGCCTGCAACTGACTGACAGCGTTTATAGTGAAGGTAACGAGAGAGGGCAGGTAGAGGTGTGAAATATAATCTAATGGACTGGAAAGGAGGAGGCAGCTAGATGAGGGGGGGTGGGCTGAGTTTTTTTCTGCCTTGTTATGGCCGGGGTATCATGTGGGGGGTGTCACAGGGTGTGGGGAGTGACAGACACATGACCCCAAAGGAGGTCTAACAAGGGTGACTCAGGTTGGGACACAGAGCAGTTGAGGACTAAAGGTACATCATTTTCCTAGATTTTTAAAACATAATAACAACATGTTATCTATTTATGTAATGTATTCCCACTACTGTAATCTTCCCTGATATTTTGTTTTATTTTAAGGTTATAATATATTTAAAGAAAGACATATTGATATCATGTTAATAATACATAATGATATCATTTATCCAGTGCCTCTTAAATTAAATGAAAATTAAATTCAAACAGCCCATAGATATATAGATATCACAATAGTATTTTGAATGCTATAGTAAAAGCTATACAAAGTTGAAAAAAAATTAAATACCTGAATCTGGCAAAAATGATTACTAAAACATGTCAAAACAGAAATGATGTCTGTACATCATGAATATAGGGATTTGTATCTCAATAAGAGGAATGCATCTCTGTGACATTATCCTGAAATTATTAATGATTCAAATGTGTCAACAGACTTTCTATGATATTCAACTTCTTGTTTTGTCTCAAAGAACTCAGCCCTTCTTCATATTTTATAAGAAACACCATACTGGGGCGATGTTGTTCAACATTTGTCCTCAAGCACTACTGATGAGAAAATGGTGAAGCTGAGATTGAATGAAGGGGAATAATAATAAACATGTGATTGTGTCTGAATGTAAAAAACAGCCACAGGTGCAGACAAAGCTCACCTGCCCTCCGGCTGTGGAGTTGTTGACCCGGGTGTCCAGGCGGCTGTGGAGCAGCTCCTCCTGGGAGTGGATCTGAAGCAGGAGCCGCTTGGGCTGAACAACCTCTTCTGCAGGCGGCAGTCTTCCCTCCAGACTTCCACCCAGACCTGCAGATGACACATGATAAAAAAAGTGATTGTCTACGGATGTGAATGTGATGTGAAATGCCTAATTTCTGCAGAATTCAAAAGCTGCTGGTCAGCTGCTCGTTGACACCAATGCAATTACACGATGCATGTAATTGAACGGATGCGATACCCGACAGAAAACGTATATTTCTTATGTTGTTTTTTTAACCACGTATAACTGGTTGCTTGTGACAAACTACTCAATTACATGATATAAAAAAGGTCTTACCTGTCACGGCGCACCGTGCACACGCTGCAGCGAACAGCAAGCAGCTCACAGCGAGCATGATGCTCTCATAGTCCCGGGGATTTCCTCGGTGCAGCGCCGTTAAATGAACTGATAGTAGCCGAGGGCGCAGCTGCAGCAGGTCTGATGTTGACAGTGTTGTTGACAGTGAAGACAAACACAACAGCGGGGTTCCTTTGAACGCAGCGACCGCATCTCTCACCGCCTGTAGCGAGTTAAAAGCCCCCGGACGAGGCTCCTCTGCTCGGCTGCAGCAGCATGGTGTGTCTCGGTGTCACGGAGCCTCACAGCGGGAATCACACTCCTGTCTCTCGGTCTAACGATAAATGATACTAAGATTGATTGAAACAGTGAGGCTGCGCGAGGAGTCTTGGACCTGGTAACAAGGAGCACGTGGGTTTTGACGGGCCCACCCCCACGCTCTGTGATAACACTTGATGGGCTCAAAACTCAGGTTTGGGGACCCTAGGCCTAGGGTAACCCCTGATAGGAGCTATACATATGAATGTGAAATCAACCAATCAGTCAGATTTGGATAGATGTTTTCAGGGAAATAACAGCTTCTAAGGAGAAACACATTTTAAATGCATTAGAGGTGGTGATTTATAATAATATCATACCAATTAACATGATCCAAATATCAATCATTACCTTTCCCCTAATTGTGCTATTTTTCAAATATATGTAAGACCTGCAGCCTTACCAGCCAGAGAACATTACTTTTGTTGAATGCCAAACTTAAGTGGTCTAGATCTAAATATAGTGTCCCAGGATAAAATGTAAGGGTCACAAGATGATTGGGATACAAAAATACATAATACGATGAGTCGAAACAGGACACATTGACCGCCTGTTGTCCTTCCCTCTCTCTTCCCTCCCTCCCAATTTTGCTCTCCTTTAGCCTACAAGCAGTCAGCATTTAACGGTAAAAACACCCTCAACATACCAACATTCCTAAACTTTGTTTTAATTGAGCAACAACTTCGCAAGCACAACATGCTTATGGTAAAATCATTTATTTTAAAACACTGTACAATAATTTACATCACAGGTTATTAAGAGAACTGCTTGTCTTCCATAAACTGAAACTTTGTGTGTCTTTGTCAGACACGTTTTAAATATCCATGCAACGTATTCAGAAGGTGTGATCTTTGAACATGGGGTATTGACTATTGTTGTCGTTTGATTTGTTAAGAGCAATGACGAGTCTTTAATGGTAGGTGACCTTACACTTGACAAGTTAAGACAATAAACCTGCCTGTAGCGGCTGCAGCACAACACTGTGCAGCAGCCGCTCTCCTTGACAAAGTCAGTCCTTTGGCCGACCTTCACAAGGAAAGAGCAATTTCGACATTAATCAGACAGATTTTTGTCTCACAGGTTGTGCGAGTCCTCCACTCTACGAATGCTTCATCAACGTCGGCGTGAGTGGGATCTGATCCAGACGCAGCACTTACAATAATTGAGTAATGCCCCTTTCAGAAAAGCCTCATTAAGTTCTCAATACCACCATGTGTTCCCGGACATAGCTGCTGAAAGACTGAGTCAGCACCACATACAGAATATTGCTTGGAGTTCTGTGCACGGAGAGGATAAAGGGTTGACAGGAGAAATGATAATGGATGCTCTTCAAATTCACGGGAAGCCGCATGATTTGCTAAAGTAAAATCTATGAAAAAATAAATAAAAATCAGCATCTGTAAAAACACCTAAATATTACTTTTTAGTTTGCACTAAGTTTCAAATATTTATTCAGTTTTATTGACTTATTTGGATGAGCTTAAGTGTGGCCCATTGTTTCTTGCAGTGGGATACGCAGCTGCAAAGTCTGGACCCTTTACGTTTCCTGGTAGAGATTCTTCCGGTTCTTTAAATTGAACAAGTTAATAGCCATTAGTGCTGAACTTCAACAATCTGCACCAAAGTCCTGGAAAAGGCTGAGGGGTCCATTTCTTCCCCGCACAGCGACCCGGCCGGGTTTGGCGGCTGGAGGACGTTGTGCAGATGTGACTCATAGCTGGTGTCGTGCATCCAGGCGCACGGCATCTGGAGGAGCTCCTGGTCCAGCTCGCAGCTCTGCTCAGCGGGCGACAGAGGACCAGCAGAGGTCGCTCCGAAGCGGGACAGCAGGCCACAGTCCCAGTCAGAGCCCGATGATGACGGAGAGAGCCTGTTAAAGTCTGGGATGAGGGATGACTCGATGCACACCGAGTGGGAAAGTGAACGCTGATAGTCTAGATCATTGGGGGACTGAAGTGGAGGATAACAAGTCTTTGAGGAGAGTGGCTGTGATAGTTGAACAGCAGCAGAAGTAGATAACATTTCCATTTGATGTGGTGTTTGTGAGAAGTTTAGTACAGTAGGAACACAAAATGTGGTAAAAGTCTGTTTAGAGTCAAGCGATTCCTCAGTGCATGTTGGCGAAACATCTGGCGCAGGACAGGGCTGTATTGCCTGACAAAAGAACTTCTCAAATAACGAAGAGTGCTGAAGTTTTGGCATAGTGTCCTTTTCTGGTTTGGCAGCTGTATGCCCTTCTTTAGTCCAGCTACCTCTGTAGCCAAAATCTGCTGTAATCCTCCTCCTTTTGCTCCGGCTGTGTTCGGGGCTGGCGGATCTACAGCGCTTTTTGGGGTTCGGTGCTGTCGCTGACTGGTGTCGAGGGAGGGAGCGGGATCTGCGTGACACCAGCGTAGCCAACTTTAAACCATTTGTGGAACACGTGATTTGACATAAAAAGCTTTCTTGGTTTGATTCCTTTACTACTTCTGCATCGGTCAGAGACACAGAAGGAAAAAGTCGGGTAAGATCTGGGACAGAGTGAGACACACTTTCTGCAGTGTCCATTTCACAAGTGTGTCCTTCCACAGTCTCCTCTGCAGCATACATTTGAGGACTGAGGACAGGAGGGTCTGAGTACAGGCAGTACGGCTCCATTATGTAATAAGGATAAAGCACTTGAGGACTGAGGGCCGGAGGCAGGGAGTAAGGGTCAGGGGAGGGGCAGGGGGAGAGATCTTGAATATCAAGCAGCTGGTTGGCTGAGTAGTAGTATAGTGGTTCTACATCCAAAACAGGCATGGCTGGACTTGAAGCGCGAGGAGGGCTGACAAGAAGTTGGAGGTCGGTGTTGGTAGTGAAAGGCTGGATGTCAGCAGGTGGAGCGGCTGGTGGAGTTGGGATGGTAAGTTGAACTCCTGGTGATGGGCTGGACGGAGGACCCCTAGTCGGGCTGGAGATATGAATGTTGGAAGGTGAACCTCTCTGCAGGGACTGAACAGCATGCTCCGCCTCGGCATCAGTGAGAGGCTCCAGCTCACAGAAAGGCAAAGGAGTCGGTGGTCTAGGAGGAGGACAGAGAATCTTAAAATTAAAACTCTTAAATGCAGAAAACCCCATTTTTGTCCCGTGGAAAAGAAAGATTACAATAATTGCACAACAAATTATAAACTGCTGGTGTAAGGCTCCAATAATGATTTAACTAAATTATTGTCTGTTGCAATTCAGTTATTTTCATCACCGATTAGATTATTTTCAAATGAATCTGATGAAGTCGTTTAATTGGCCCATTGGATTGAGTCATTTGATTGGCTCATTGGAACGGGTCATCGAATAAATGTCAGAGAATACTTATAAATCCAAGGTGCTGTCTGGTTTTTCAGTTCAAAACAGAAGGTACTCTGTTTAATATGATATAAAAACAGAGAAAAGCAGGAAATATTCATATTTCAGCGGCTGAATATAGAATTTTCTGCAATTTATGCATTCCATTTTTTATTTTATTTTGTATTGGGAAATGTAATTGATTATCAACATTGTTGAAGATCAACTCATCAGTGCAGCTCTAGCTGGGTGAAAATCAAAACTCACCGGTCCAGTTGTTCCTGTGACTGTGGATCTGGATCGGTGTTGAATCCTGGAAGCATTTCAGCCACCAGTTGGTCCACCACACTGTAGTTTGAGGCGTCCAACGCAAACGCACGGTGCTGTTCATACTGAATGTGCTGCAATGGCCAACAAAGACAACCGGTCACAATTATATAATCAAAACAATGCAAGGCAAATAATCAGTTATGTGCTAAGAAAAGTGATTGTTTAAGAGTTTTACCTCTTCCAGATTATGGAAGGGTTGATGACAGCATTCACAGTAAGACACGTTCTTTTTGGGGGGCTGCAGAGGGTTACAGCTGAGAGGGGTTTGAGACTTGTCCTGGATGCTGCTCTCAATTGTTATCTTCTCCCTAATTTATAAAGAACCATAGTTGGGATGAGTCGTTCAAGATAGACTTTAAAAAAAAGTTTGTTAGCAAAGCATAGGTTTAGATCACTTCAATAACTGCAGTTAAACAAACCTTGTTTTATCTTCGTCTTTCTCTGCCGGCTTTTCCAACCGAGGAGGAGGAGGAATTTCAAAGGGACTAAATCGGCCTGAGTAGCGCAGAGTAGGCAAGGTCATATTTTGCAAAAGAAAGGGCTTGTATTTCCTGGATAGAAAACAAAAACAACATAATTCAATACACAAAATGTAAATCAAATAAAATGTTTTACCAAAATTCAATTATATCCGGATGGAGGTTGAACAATGTAGTGAATATTTGTATCATCAACATCATATTTTCAAATGGAAAATATTGTAATCCACACACTATGAGCAACCCCAGGTAGACTTATGAGTATATATATATATATATATCTATCTATCTAATACTGAAATGTTTCAGATGTCATGGGTTCTTCTACACACATTAGCCAGAGCACTTCACTTAACTAAATTGGGATGGCAAGTGAAAAGACCTGTTGACACACACAGAGATCCCCTGCAGGATGGAGCAGTGGAGCTTGCAAAGGGTCATCAAATGGAAATCCAACCCCTTGAGCTCTGGGCTCCTGGAGAGCGGTATCACAGGGGGGACTTGTCACATTACACGATGGGACTCCTCAACAGGTTCAATTAACAAAATCGCCTGGGCTGAAATGCAAACCTCCACAACCAACACCCAGTGGGGGATATATGGGGAAAGTTCACTGCAACTCATTGTAGTTTCCCTCTCATGCAAAAAAGGATCTAATCTGATACTGAACAGCCATTACATGAACCTGCGCAGGCCAAAATACGTTATTTCCTCATGTGTTTCTTTATTACCTGGTATTGGACACAGGATTAAAGTAGCTATAACAGATATAATAACAATGTTATCAAATGACTTTGTGAGACCACTGAATGGGTCGTGATGGACCAGCCAAGAAAAATCACGTGAGTCATCAGCTTCCTTCAGAAATACAGTAGGGCTGGACCATGTATCAGAATAACATCAATATCGAGTTATGAGAATGGATATGGTCTTATTACATGTTAGACGCTTTTATCCAAAGCGACTAACATACTAAATACTGTGGGCAATTTGGGGTGAAGTGTCTTGCCCAGGGACACAACGACATGCTGACTGCAGTGGGGTTTGAACCTGTGACCCCTATCCACTGCGCCACACGCCTACCCGTCTTATATTTTGAATGTTGTAATACGATAGTAATTGTCTTTAGCTGGTTTTAAAGGCTGCATTACAGGAAAGTGATGACCAAATTCTAAATGTATTCAAATGTTCCAGCTTTTCTATTATTTGCCTCTACCCATTTAGTCATATTCACATTATCAATAATCATTTATTAAAAAGGTATCATTTTGTGTAAACATAGACATAAAAAAACTACAGAAAATTAGAGATGAAACTCACCTGCTTGAGTCTTCAATTTTAACAAAGGATGACCTCAAAGGCACAGCTGTAGACAAGGCAAAGTGGAGATAAACAGATGAATTAAATAAGCACAAATACCCACAGAAAGACAGTATTGTTGTGAAACAAAGACATGAGCAGCTCATTCATAAACTTACCTTTGACAACTTGAGCCCCTTGATGTTTGGCCTTTAGCTTTAAGAAAAAGTAAAAAATAAAACTCATTAATTAGAGAACAAATTCTGGCGTTACTTTTTCATTCGTAAATGATTTATTTGCTAGAAATGTATGAATGTAAAAACGGCTGCATTTGGATAGCTAATGAAGTTTAAAAAAGCATTCAGTCCAACATCTTACCTCCGGCCTCTTGTGTGGAACATCAAAGCTCTCTCGTGTCAAGTGTTTCAAATAAAAAAGGACATCTGATACAACATTAAGGAATAATATGTATACTGTTGTTAGATAAAGATTGTGACATATATATGCAGAACTCTTCAGCTGGCATCAGTAAACCACAGCAGCACAGAACAAAACAAAAGCATTCACATGGTGCCATCTGCTGAGAGCAGAGGTTCACTGCACCACAAATGTGAACACAAAAAGACCTAATAGCAGTTTGCATCCAATCATGTTATAAGTCAAAAGGATACCATCCACAAACACAATCTTCACTCCCCATGATCGAGCATTCGTCAAAACACTGCTCGCATGTAGTCGCTCCTACAAGACAGAACCATCAGAGTAGTCAAGATAACAAACCATGTCAGTCGTCAGTAAATCCCCAATATCCACAAACAATAAAGCACCCAGATCTGCAAGATAAACCACATTTTGGCTGCACTGACACTTACATTGTTGCGAATGGCTTTTTCAAGCAGGGCCTTCCCACGGCTGCCACAAGCCTGATAAGAATAATACAGCATTAATACAAAAATAATGATTATAACGATGTATCTAAATGGTTATATGTAGCATTTTCAAAATGTGTAAATAATATACATAACAATTGACACGTCTCACAATGTCATATTTATTTGTATCAGGGCATTCTACAAGTCATTACCTGATAACTGGTTATTCTCGGTCATGTGATATTAGGTATGGCTTTTGCAGGACATGAAAATACTATTAATAAATAACAGCACCATCATTCTACAAAGCCAGTGGTGGCATTGTTTTAGGGCACCATTGCTTGTAAAATCTGAAAGGTTTTAAGCATGCCTGGGTGATGCTCTGTACCGTCGGTCTAGGAATTCCTGGTCGGCGTTTTTCTCTGCTGAGGATGCTCTCTCGCTGCATTATAGGATGCTGGGCTTCGTCACTCTTCCTGTTTGTTTCTGTTTTGATATCTGTAGATTTCTGCTCCTTCGGGCCGTCTTGGCTTCCAGTCACAACAAAGCTTATATCCTTGTGCAGAAAACTCTCGATCTTCTTCAGAAGGAAAAAAAACACAGAACTGAGCATTAGTTTCAGCTAAAATACATCTATACCAGACTTGTATCTTTCCTTGTGCAAAACCTAACTTGAGCCTATGTAGTTATACCATTTACCCAAGATAACAGCCTTAGTAAGTCAATTTGGTAACTTCGAAAAAAATATTGGATTGACGAATTCTCGCACAACAACAACAATTAATTCTGCATGTAAACCACTACTAACAATATTTACATCAATAGGATTCACAGGCCACACTGACTTAATCTTCACACATGCTTACCCCTCCTAGAAGAGATACAGCCTCCAAAAGCAGGGCTGTGGAGCGTTTCTTCAAACTGTCCAGATAAAAGGTCTTCCCCTGCAGCTTCTTCTGTCCAGGACACAGTGAGCCGAGAAGGCCTCGCTCCTCTGCAGCCTGCTGTTGCTGCATGATCCTGGTGCAGTAGAGATGCTTACAAATTTACAGAAAAACACCAGGATCCTACTTAAAAAGAAAAAAAAAAAAAGCACTGTTAAATACATGTTATAAGTCTGCATGCACATTAGAAAGAGAGCAACTAAAAAAGAAGATGCCAGGTAGCTCATATGTAAAAAGCTATTGTACTGATATTGTTTAATAACTTTGTTTTGACAATTTTGAGTGCAGTATAATTTGCTAGACTAAAATAAATGTCTCCATGGTGCAAGTGGCTCATCAGTAATCATCAAAATAATGCAGGAAAGGCTGTCTAAAAGTTGAAATGTTTTTTTTCTTAATGGTCAGATTGACATAACCTTCTATTTTAGGACTAGTTAGTTTGCTCAAAAAATATATTTTTAAATTTCACAACAATCCAGCAAAGGGTTCTTCAAAAAAACAACAACGTAGCATATAATTACTACAAAACTACGATACATTGGAATACAATTGTAGTTACTATAATACCAAAGAGCAGTGTACCCAGTATTGACCTAGCATTAGCTGAACTTAGCTAGCTTAGCTTTCGTCAACAACGCCTGGGCCCCAAACAACATTTTGCTAGTTTGTTAAGAGGTTTAAAAGTCTGTTAAAGTGGTTTCTTCGTCATCAGGGCCAATATAGACAAAAACATAGTACACTTACGTTTTTGTACTGTCCTGGAATACTACAATAAAGAAATGAATCCTACTTATTCACAAAAAGGTGGTCGATGAGCAACCGCCGCTTTTTAAAAACACTGGCGGAGACGTGAACGTAAAGTCGACGTCACATTCGAAAAAGATTGCCTTCACGTACTAGCTTCAGACATCAGAAAGGTGGCTGACATTATATTTTTCAACGGTTGAAATATTAATGCTATTTATTTAAGTAAGAAGTTATACATAACTTACATTTAGTCTATTTTCTCAGGCAAGTGCTTAGAAGTCATTATCTGGAGCATCAACGTAATTCTTTGTCAAATTCGAAGATTGTATTTGAGTTTTACGTGAGTACCCTGAATGCAGCACAACGAATGTAGTGTCAGCATATTGTTGCCACATAGCTACTGTGAAAACCATAGACTGTATAAAGGTGAAAACTCACCGTTTTATTTCTTATTATTTAAAAAACTTGTTTTGGGAATAATTCAATGTAGCCAATCAAGGGGCAAGGGTTTTCCTAATTTTAAACTTGAATATCAGAGCGATGGTCATTTATGAGTGGGAATTATTTGTTATCCCTTACTGCCCAGCAGATGGCAATGTGTCCGTAAATATAGAAATCTAAACCTACATTGGGAATTAAAATCGTTATAGATTGAACTGTAAACCAACAGTTTTACATGAATTAGGTGTATCTATTGTGAGTGGAAAATGAGGACTATAATGTGATAAATTAAACTTAAACATTATATATATTATATGGTCATAACACCAACTCTGTTAAATACAAAACAAAGACAAGCTGAAAAAAAACTATTCTTTATTCAAACCATGCACTTTTTTACCATAAAAATATATTTTCACAAAACACTGGCACAGTGCAAAGGACTATCCTTAATGACATTTCAATTTGAAAATCTGCAAATTAAGGTAATTATTAATGACAGCGAATTCATTATACCAGGCCGGAGAAAAAGAACAACAAGCCAGATACACTGGTTATGGTTTGTTATGTTAATTAAACACTAATGATGCAGAAAACCTTTAAAGCATAAACCTGAAACAAACCAAAAAACAGCTTGGCACTAAGACAATGACAACAGTTTGAACAGTTAGATCATTAAACTTTGCCCAACATTTCCATTGAATGATACATTTCAAAACCTTTTAAAACGTTACTGAACTTAATTTGGCTCTTCAAAGAATACATGGAAATACTGTAAAATGATTAAATGAAAACATACTCTCTTGTTTATCTTCATGGCTCGGAAAACAATTAATCAAAACGTGCATATAATATTGCATACTCAGAAAAAAAAAATACTTTTTAAAGTGTAACCTGGATGGTAATAAAAAAAGACTCACATAGACAGTAGGACTGTTTTCAGTCCATAGTGATGAGGACATTTTGTGTTTAACTAAGGCACCTTAGGTTACAGCATGGCAGCCTCTGCATTTTCACAGGGAATTAAAGAAAGCACCAACATCTTCCTGCATCAGGATTTGCATTTTTAAGAATAACGAAAACACAAATCTGTAGTGTGAATTTCAGATCCACTCAGAGCCCTTTATGACTCCATATTTGCTGCTACTGCTGGTGCTGCTGCCTCCGGCCCCGTTTGACTTGCTTGCGGTGTGTTTGGAGGCCTGTCTGTGTTTCCGCTCACGGTGAGGCTTGCTGTGGTTGTTAGTGTGGCTCTGTGGCTGGCTGTAGGCCTCCAGCTGGTTCTGAGGCTGATGGATGTCCTTAAGAACTCTGGAAGCATCTCCCATCCCTCCTCTGCACAGGTTCTCTTCATTATTGGTGTACTGCTGGCGCTCCTCTTGGGCAATGTTCACGTGGTTTTGCCTGCATGTCATCTTAGCATTATTGAGATCAGTAATGGGAAGTGGCTGCCCTGTAGCTACCAGGAGAGGCTTGATGGCGATGTTGTACCCAGGCGGAGCTGATGGTGCGTTCCAAGAAAAAGGGTAGCTGCTGTAATCGTCTCCACTCAATCGTGCCTCATTAAGAGCTCCTTGTTCACGCGTAAGCCCGTACAGCTCTTCCTCTGGGAGGCGCACCCGGTGAGAGCGCACGATGTCACAGATGGTACCGACGCCCAGGTGAAGCATCTCCCAGACATTGAGTGCCAGGCAGAGCAGGGAGACTGTGTACATGATGAGGAGGAAGATAGTTTTCTCAGTGGGACGGGATACAAAGCAGTCCACTTTGTGAGGGCAGGGATCGTCAGAGCACACGTAGGAGGCGGGAACAGCAAATCCATACAGGGCATACTGTCCACACAGGAACAACACCTCCAGCACGCAGCGCGTCAAGAGCTGAAGGACATAAATACGCATCAGTCCATCCTCTTTGATACGCTGGCGGCCATCATGGCGCACCTTGACCTTTGCATTTTTATCACCACTGCCTCCTTTCGCTGCTCCATCACCGTCACTCTCAACCTCGGCCATTTCGTAGATCATCGGGTCTTCCTCTTGGTCATCCTCGGCCTCTTCGATGCCCCTGTGCTGCTTTCTGCCTGCAAGGTAGGGCTTCTTGGTCTTCCTCCGCGACAATCCACTCACTCCCCCATTTTCGCACTGCTCCTCTGCCCGGGCAATTTTGTTGACAGCGTAGCCCAGGTACATGAGGGAAGGCGTGGCCACCAGGATGATTTGGAACACCCAGAAGCGGACGTGTGAGAGTGGAGCGAAGGCGTCGTAGCAGACGTTCTCGCAGCCCGGCTGGCCCGAGTTGCAGACAAACTTGCTCTGCTCATCGTAGTAGATGGACTCCCCACCCACGGCCGTCAGCACGATGCGGAAAACTATCAGGACTGTGAGCCAGATCTTGCCCACGAATGTTGAATGGTTGTGGATTTCTTCCAGCAGGCGAGTCAGGAAACTCCAACTCATGGTAATGGAAAGGAAACTACAGAGAGAGGCAACGTACACCCCCGCTTACTTCCCTGTGGAGAGAACATCGATGATTAAACTCTGTGCCATGCAGAAAACTCTGTATGGAAAATGCACACATTAATACTGAATCATATCTAGACCATATTTTTTCTGTTTAAAGATCTACCCAGAACTAAAGAACAGTACATTTAAAATAACATGTTAATCCTTGATGCTTTTAATAGCTTTGCCCCACAGCTCATGTCTAAACATCCCCTTGGCAATAGTACACAAAGGGAAGAATAATGACTACAATGGAATGTGTAACCATAATTGCTATTGTTAACTGAACGCTCCTGATAGGCATCTTACATGAGGTTGTTAGTGCATCCAGATGTTCCATAGACTCAAAACTTGAATTTTTGCTACAAGACAACTGCTGAAATAAATACTAAAAACCTGGAGAGGAATCAGCTAAATAACTTAAAAGTATAATTAATATCAAGTACTGACTGCATCATTTGTGCAATTTAAAAATATGACCTGAATTACTATGAATATATATAAAACATTTTATGATAATAGTTTAAGCTGTTTAAAGTTCTAACTCACATATACATTGTTTTCCCCAGATACTGCAGACGAATAAAAGTAAGGTTATAATTAATGAATTGAACACAACAACAATATGAAATACTAGCTTCAAAACTGGCTCAGCTCCTTGTTTAAATATTTATTTGTGCTGTAATTAGCTAGACATGACTAGCAAAGAGTTGTATACTAGATGGCTGGCTAACAGATAGCAATGAAGCAGCACACACACACATGCCTAACAGCTCATTTAAAATAGTACATCAAGTATACTTTCCTTTCAGTTAAATTTAGATGAAATATTTGTCCTTGTCTGATCTAAACCACCTCACACTGTACCTAACCCTACAAAATCTAAGTTTTACCTGCAGACATCCATCTGCCCAAAACACAAGCAGCCAACATCTCGACAAGTTACTCATGTGAGAGGAAATCTAAAAGGGTCAGACTTCTGCGGGACAGACCATGTCTGCATGTGTGATGTGTTTAAGTTCAGAGGGTTTGTTAGAGGGTAGTTTATATTCCAACTATCAAGGCTCCTGCATGGTTGCTTATTATAACATGCTCTTGACATTAATCTACCAACAGGAGGCAGACACTGAGGCAAACAAGGTCCGCTGATAAGAAACAGCCTTACGGTTGTTGAGAGGCTGTCACTGTATGAACTGAAGTCAATGATGTTATCATGTTGTTTGGCAAGATACTTTTTTTCAGTGTTTACAATTTAAATCCAAAAGTTATTCTTCTAATTAGCTGTCCGTTTGGATCCGTCAAGGAGTTTATGTTTAGTGTTTGGTTTGTAAATTGCTTCATTTGTTTTATAAAACTTGGTACAAGTGTGAAGCATGGGTCGCCACATTTTGGAGCGGATCCATATCACGGGGTTAGTACATGGATTTATTTTTTAATTATAGAAAAAGCCTTGCACTCTCCAAGGGACCCTCTAGTTTCACAAGTTTGAAATCACTATATATTAAATAACAGAAATGTTTTAGGGCTGCTGCAACTAGTTGGCATTATTGACGTAGTAAATGCAGTAAACGTAGGCATGTTTTTTTCTATCTGTTCTCCTTGTAGCAGCTAAGTACACTCATAAAGCCATGAAGTTGCCTGCTACATTATACATTCCATATAAGAAGGGTTGAATGGCTAGATAATTGGTCATTAGTGGCAGCTCTACATTGTTATTACAGGCTGTTGGTCTGAAGAAACAAGATATTTGAATATTTTCCACAAATATCTTTAGACTCAACAACAATTTAATAAATTAAAAATATAATCAATAATGATAATAAATGTCAGTGGCCTCCCTAATATCTTCTGATAACATATTGTAAATTGTGTAAATTATTTAAAAAGTTGTTTTTCATTTTACTTTCTTTTTCTGTATTCAAAAACCCTAGAAACCCCAATTAATTCTTTGAAATGTATTTATACTCGTATATACAGGTGTATAAACAGGTCTGACATTTTTATTTATAATAGGCACACTGACTCCCTGTCGCATTAATCAGTATGACATTTGATTTGGTTTTATTTCTATTTTATACAAACAACTCCTATTAAAGCAGGTCCAGCTGCTGTTACCATGCTTTCTCATTTCTCACTTTGGAAAGAAAAAAGTCTCGACTGTCTCATTAAGAGTCACATGCGCTCTAAAACTGCACATCTGGCCGTGTTGTGTAATGTGCTATTTGGAGGCCCGGTAGCACAGTTATCAACAACACTCCAACACAAATCTTGTGGATGGCAAGAAAGCAAATGTAGGTCATAATATCAAGAATTTGAGGTCATAAGAATACAATGTTACACCAAAACCTCCAAACAGACACAGACAAATAAAATAAGATGAAAATTGATGAACAGATTTCTATGATAAACACACTCTAACCTCTCTTTTTAAAACATGCATTAAACTAGAGCCTGCTGTTAACACATTTGTTTTAACAAGAATCAATGGGAACCCCCAAATCTATCGTTAAGTTGACTAGAAAATGGCCAACAAATATATTTGAATGGCAAATGAAGTCGAATGATTTGTTGCAAAACACCTGCCTAAACTCAATATGTATCACCAGCTCAACCGCCCAAGTTGCTAGTAGCGCCACATCGAATGCCTGAAGGTGATACATTGCATTTTCCCCAGATGTCTTCCAGCACCAGACCAACAGCCTCCAGTTTCCAACAGCGGCAGTTAAAAAAACTATTTGTGGAGTTTTACTTTAAAGAGCAGCCAGCCTTGTACATGCCTATCTAAGAAGGCTTCAAGCTGTGAATGTGAAGGTTTGTGGTTTCCTTCAGCGCAGTTAATGTGATGCTCTACCCAAAATCTATCTTTTGAGTGAGAAACACTCAGTCGCTATTAACTTGAAAGGCAACTGTAAAAATGTTGTAGCTTGCTGCCAATGCATTTCTTTTTTAAAAGGTACAGTGTGTTTTTGGGGTGTTTGTTTTGTTCATTAGCGACATACCAAACACTAGAAAACTGACGGGAAAAGCGTGCATCATACACAATGTCTGTGTGTTGCCCTAGGGTTAGGGTTAAAGATGCCCCGAGACAGGACTTCCTGTCCATGAATCAAAGCGTGGCTAATTCTAAGTTTGCTACAACTCCCCCGTTGGACATTTAGTGTAGATAAAGAAAATGGAACTAAATGAAATATTTTTGTTATAACTAACAGAACTGAGAGCAATCACAATAACAAGAAGGAAATTACTCATATAAACTAATTTTCCGTCCCGACTCCCGAGAAAATGCTATGTGGATGACTTCAAGTGTAATCACCAAACTCATCTCCAATCACTGTAATGGATGCCACAGGGTTGGATGTGACTCTGAGCCATCAAACCACATGTCAAACCACACAAGGAAGTTGTGTATGTATTCACAACAGAACTTGATCAAGACACAAGCCTCTGGCGTAACCAGCTCATTTCTGATGTAGAAAGAGCCGATGCAAACTACGCTAGCTTCCATAGATCTATGATCAAGTTCAAAGGAACCAGTATTACAACAAGAACAGGGGAACTATTGCCTTGTACAAAGGCATATTTGGTTATTTTGCTCTGTGCTCAGGTCATGAATGAAAATACTATTTTCAGAGAGAAGCATACTTCACCACCTTTTGCTATGGAACTAACACATTATGTTCTATGTATTTGGGGATTCCTCTTAAAAATAAGCCTTTAGTTTTTAGGTATCTTTGATTTGAAATATCATAGACAACCAGAGGTTTTTAGTGTTTATCTTAACCAAGTCATTTACTACTATCCCTTATTTTTACAACAACCAGCACTAGTACTGCTACTTCTCAACTTCTTAACTACTCAAACTAATACAAAACCTAAATATGATTTAAATATTTGTGATTAAAGCACAGGGTGTAATGAAATGTATTCATCCTTCTTAATATTTTTGCATACGGCCATAAATCATGTTACCCTCTTTTTGTTTTATCCTTCCTGTCCTCTTAAGCCAGAATTCAGAGATATGTCAAACCCCATGTACCTGCAAAGTAAAAAGACGTAACAAATACACAGGTGTTATTTATGAAAGTAGTTTTGTTAGTTGACATGGCAATATCCAATGGTTAATGTATTTCAATATCTCTGTTGGAAAAGCTTTTACTTCAGTTGAAAATCTAAAATGCATTTCATGTTTTTTTTTATGGTCCTCTGATTACTTACTTTGTGCTTTTTAATACATTGATGAAAAGTTAATAATCTGTGAAGATTGCACAGATTTTTCAGTAGAGATTACAGGACATTGTGATGGTGTTTTTTTAAACTTTTCTTACGACATGCAATTGTCTTAACAACTAGGTTAATAGCATAAATAGCATTTCAATGTATAGTCACTGAAAATAAAAGTTATCTGCACTCCTTACACCAAATCAAATTCACAACTGGAAGTCCTATGACGTATTTTTAAGGCAAGCAACGTTAGGCTAACGGTAAGGAACGACCCTGGAAACATTTGCAGAGGGTCGTTTTTTTGTTATGACTTTAATAACTAAAATAGGTTGTATTTGCTTATTAGTGACTATAGATGATTATCAGGTACGTTGGTCATGTAACAGTAACTTAAATAGCTTGTGAAACACAATAGACAAAGTTAATCTTACGTTGTCGAACCTACTAAACATTATGACGTTAACAGTTAACATAACGTTAATTAACTAGCTAAATCAGCTAACATAGCATGGTTGTTTTTATTCAAAAAATGCATCCTGACCTGGCAAATCTCATCGCATTTCTAGTGCCTTACCTTTGTCCTATCGTCGTTCTAGTAAGTTCTCCTCAAACACACTTTTAGAGGTAATAGGAGACCGACATAGTGTCCTACCTGGTGTGTGTGAATCCACCCAGCATCCTCACCTTGTCACACGCACATTTGGCGCCGCTGCCCTCCGTCAGAGAGCTGCTCCCACTTCACAAATCAACCGGAAAGAAACGGTACTTCTGTGCAGGGGAAATAAAATCTTCATAGCCGAATTTCAGCAAAAACTACGACATAGACGTTTTGTCGTGAAAATGTACTGAAAGTTTTGAGAGAGTGAAGTTTTTACTAATTCAAGCATTAAATTGACTTTATAAGACGGAGACTTCACTGGGCTGGGAGGAAGCTTGATTGTGTGAGAAAAGAGGAAGACAAATGGGCTGGAGCAAGGCAAGGAGGGGATGTGTGTGTGTGTGTGTGTGTGTGTGTGTGTGTGTGTGTGTGTGTGTGTGTGTGAGAGAGAGAGAGAGAGAGAGAGAGAGAGAGAGAGAGAGAGAGAGAGAGAGAGAGAGAGAGAGAGAGAGAGAGAGAGAGAGAGAGAGAGAGAGAGAGAGAGAGAGAGAGAGAATCACAAGGCATTTTTCATTATGGAATTTTGTTGAGATAAACTACATTCTCCATTTGCAAATGCATACATTTCTGGCTACATTACTGCAATGACACAAAGGGAATTCAAATTATAGTTTTTTAAGAACTGCCATGTACGAAACATGCAAACTTTAACCTAATTTCAATGGCACTAGTTCCTTACTGGATCATTGAATATGCCTCACATTTTACACCTGCAGTTGAATGCTGAAGAAGTCTCCATTGTGCAGGAAATACCAGTTCTCCCACTATGTAAAAACATTGCACAGTCTATTATTCTTTAGCCACATATTTCCGGAGGTTATGACCTTTTGCCTTCATCATCTTCATCTATCTGTCATCATTGACAAGTGGAAGATTATCTTGTGACAAATTAGGACTTTGTCGTCCACTCACCATGAAGCAAAGAGGTGAAATATGTTGTAAAACATAATGATAACAATCATATTTTTTAAAGTTTAATTGCAGGGCATCTGGTTTCCTCCAGTTCCTTCTAGATATGGCTTCACAGACCGTAGAGGGACTCAGTGCTTTATGAAAAGGGCACAGACCAGAGATTTCAGACAACACATATATTTACCACATTGTTGTCCTCAGACGCAGCCTGAGGCTGAACAGACACAGACAGTTTGTTTCATCTTCTTCCATCAGGCTTTGGATAGAAATCATTAGCTTTTATCCCTTCTGCTATCAATTCCTCAACAAGCTTTAAGTGGCTCGCCATGAATTTCACACATAAAGGTCAGTTTACTCACCACGGACAACACCACTCACAGCTGTATAATGTCATCTGTAGATCGGCTGGGAGCCCAACAAATAACCCAGATGATATGAACAATCTTTACAGGATTAAAATGATGCTATACAGTTGCATTGTGGGAATCATGGTATATTTTTTAACCATACTACTGACCTTATGGGTGTCAGCAAAAGAGAAGGTCTGAAGTATAAATGAATATCAGTTCAGGGAAAATATAAATGTATCGTTATATTATCTGTTATGATAATCTTTTTAATGTGATCTCTGTGGTGGATTAAGTGGTGTGTCATGCTATAAGACCCCCTCGTAAATGTGGAAAAATTTTTGGTTGACTGTGGGAACCCCCTTCACAGCTGTGACTGTGACACAGGAAATGGAAAAAAAGGTCAAAGTCAGGAAGTCTTGACTTTTGCTAATTCAGATTCTATTTCTGTCTCACAGAAGTACCTTAACTTTATGTTAGTGGGAAACTACATTTAGTACACCTTTAATAACAACATGGAATACTTTTGCCCAAATTATTTGTTTCCTCTGCATTGCCCCACAAGATAAATGATTATATCCATCAAAGCATGGCCTTTGTTCCGTTCCCCTCGATCGCTGCAGCTGCAGCAGATAACTCACGGATACAAAAAAGCTCTTCCCAATGCAGGGAGGTTTATTTTATGATATTTAACCTGCTCAAGGACAATTCAAGCATTGTTCCTTTTGTGGCTGATGACCTACAAGTGAAAGAATCTTAGTTTTATCTCCACCCTCCATCTCAAGGAGGATGAGAAACGTCAGCTCACCCACACTTACTTCTTCCTTCTAACTCCTTATGTAGCCAACCAGCTTTTTTTCTGTCATGCAGGGCCCCTTTTCAAAGATATTAGCTTGACTTTTGGCTGGCATTGTATTCTTAAACTATCAGCGGAAGAATCACACACAGGGAAGTAAAACAACCCTAATCAGTCTGATAGCGTTTTGGCATAGGAAGTCCACATCCTAATTTAAAGCGACCTCTTACAAGGCCCAAGTCCCTTAATGGAGTTATCTTTCACCTCAGAAGGAGTAATTGAATGGAGAAAAATCTATGAGAGTATCAATAAAAGCAATCATCGGACAGCACTGCCAATTTAAAAGCATTTTAACAGACAAGGGTCTTCTGTTATTGGCATAGACTGGTTATTGGTGGGGGGAAGGGCTGTATCAGCTGGTTTGTGGATATTGACGGTGAGGTACAACAAGAGTCATTGACGAATTCAAGATCTTCAAATACGATTTGTCATCATTTTCAGCGGATTGATGTTAATTGGGTTTTCTATGCATTCACTTTCCTCTGGAGGTCATTGGAAATTGGGTTGGGCAGCAATTTATCTTTAGCCTATTAAGTCATAATAGACACAGCATATACTCTTTCCCTAACAATGTCAGCGTGTATATGACCCAAATTGAAAGATAAATTCTTTGAGGATCTATTGAGCTGAGAGTTGCAAAAGCCCAGCGCTAACAGGCTAAATCATATTGGAAGAAGAAGTCAATACAAAGAAAGTGAAGTTCAGTGTGGGCTACAAGTGCATTGTACAGTCAGCTTTTTGCTGGTGACGTTATCAATTGAAGCCCTGGACTGACAACAGAAAATATGATGGGAGACAACAACAATGACATGGATTCACCCGAGGGAGAGAGTGACAGATTAAATCAGTAAGAAGGAATCAGATGTGGAGAGAGAGAACAATGTGAGATTAGATGCAAAGATGACACATGGCATGTCTTCATCTGATCTGACAGAAGTCAAACTAGAGGAAGACTGGGGTAACTGGGGGAAGGGCTTACATTGGGGATAAGTTCAGGGACAAAAAAAAGACTGAATTCTTTACAAGTAAAATAGCTGAATCAGCAGATTACTTGGCTGACTCCAGCAGCACGTCAAACTCACACAAACACCTCGTGTCAACTCCGTCACCATGGCCTCCAGACTGAAGGAAGCCTGTTGTTGTCAAATAGTTTTCTCATTAACCAATAGCAACACAACTCAATGTTACTGTGAGCTTGGTGTGTTGTATGAACTGATATATCTGTTACTGCACAGCACAGCAGCAGCTTTGATAGAGAAATGTTCACTTGGCGCCATCTTCTGGTCAACATTTTTTATTTTCTGCACATACTGAAAACCAGTGTTAGGCAATCTTTGGCTTACCCCTTCAAAGGGGTAGGGGCAGTTCACAGTTTTTAAGAAGCCTGAGAATCTATATGTTTAAGATTGACCTTTTGTGTTCTTGATTGGATTAAATTGCAGCGCTGAATTGTTTTAATTTTGAATCTCAGATTTTTGTTATTTAAAAAAAAACATGTTAAAGCATCAATACGATGAATTAAAGGCTTATTGTCATTTGTAAAATAAACTGTTGCCTATGAGTTTTATCCCTCAACTTGCTCTCGTTTTTTTTTTTTAAAGTTGGTAAAATTATTGTTTTTTTTATCTCTATCTTACACTCATATGCTCTATTCATAAACTTTTCTGTCAAAACCTGGAGCCTACATTACCCACAATCCAACTCAACTTCCAACAGTTCTGTCAGATTTATTATGCTAATAGCGGTACAGGCATCTAGCAAAGATAAGGAGCGTAACTTTGTTTTAGTTCAACCCTCACAGATTTGTTTTGTTTCAAACTTTTAGTCTTCAGCCACAATCAACGCTGACTCGAGTGACGTCACTTTAGGCTATTTTTCTGATTTGGGGTTGCGGCCTTTAGAATCACCAAAGGCGTTGTTGTTTTTTCTATGCAGTAGTAATCTGGAAACAGACTATGATGTTTAAAAACAAAATAGTTCCCCTTTAATGTCCCATGAAGGTCACTATGTCCTGGCAATGCTGGTGGCACGTGTTTACTCATCTCATTTCTAATGTCTTCTCTTATCACCACAGCTCAGTGTCTCAGTCTGTCTTTCCTCTCCTCTTCCACACTGCTGACTCTCTTTCAGTGACACCACACCCTCCACTCTTCTGTCTGCACTCTCCTCTAATCCTGCCCTTCTGTCTTCACTTTGTCCTTTGGCTGTCTGAAGTCCTGCAAGTTGAGAAAGCGGATTGGATGACTCTTCTCACTTGGAGTCTCTTCTGTCCTCCCTTCTGCCTCTGCTGCTAAATCAACATGTCAAATACTTGGAGAGGGCAGATTACGTCACGTGAGGCTTCCTCTCCTTGTCCCTTCTCTCTAAATCACCCCCCCATCCTCTTATCACTTCTTCGGCAACGGCTTGACATTGTCTCTCCCAAAACATTAGCATAAAACCATCAGCAAATGTCTGTTTGTTCTCTAGTAATATTATCAGCCCAAACTGGTTAGGAATTTATTTCAGAATATAATGGGCTCTCTACAGTGGCGTAACTATCGACGGTGCAGCCGTTGCCATTGGGGTTCCAATGGCATTGACCGGTTCACGCAGTCTTCAAAGTAACCAAGCAACCCAAAACAATATTTGCACCGGGGCCAATCACAACCTTGTTACGCCACTGGCTTTCTAACAACACAATGCTATGTTGAGTTCTAAACTTTATTAGTGCTCTTTGAAACAAATGCTGACAAAACAATCTTGAGTCTAACTATATCGGATCTTTGGAAGATTTCACATGATTTGCTCGATAAGAAATAACTAATTGATTAATCATGAAGGCTATTTAAAAAAGATTGTTTCTAATGACTTTTTCCCATCAACGGTCCAAATAAATTAAGCTTATGATGACATAAACAGAGAAAAGCAGAACATATTTATAACTGAGAATAATAACTACAGGTGTTGGGGGATATTTTGCTATTTTCTTGAGTATTTTTTATACATCATAAAAATACTATATATTGAAAGTTTTCATTAATTTATATACTATACATTTATTTTAATAAAGTAACTTGCTGGTGTAGAATATCATTATATAATCAAGCCCTAGGTATCAGTACTGAGTGACGGAGAGAGCAAAGGTACTGAGCATGAGTCTCTGTCACCTTATCCCTACTGTATGCTGTCCTTGTAGCTGCCTGACACGACACATGTGTGGTCTTTTGTCTCAGGTAGTGAGTAACTTCAATCCGTCTTACTCAAAAATATGTAAAAAGGACATTTCTGTGAAAACCTGCATGGCGATCTAAACTGATCAAGAGCTCCAGGATAATTACCAAATGGACATTGAAGTGAGATTGTTTTGTCATTATAATACTACAAAAGCAGCTGATTATATCATGATGAGTTGTACTGACCCTAAAGAGGAAACTAGTAGTTAAAATGTGCGGCTGTAAAACACACAACTGAAACAGATTCATCAGATAATGGCTTTATATTCCTGTTACACTGATGCATTACACACATACATTGATTTTTGATTAGAAACACACACGAGGTACAGCAAATCAAAAATGAAGGAACAAAGTTTTAGCTTAGCTGAGTACTAACAACACATACTTTTATTTGGTTATTGTGAAGCTATAATGCCATTTTAAAGTTGAATTAAAAAACTCTAGTTTGGTGATCTGGTGTCAATTCACATCCCTGAAATGTCAAGTTCTTCATGATTAACCTAAAAGTTATTTATTCCGTATCAAGTACAGCATTTTATTATTGCACATGGAAGTGTTACAGCTACACAGGCAGTTAAATACAATACCATCTGTTACAGTACTTTTATCGCAAAAGGAGTAAATCTCACAGAACTCTAGTGTCCCAATCACAAAGCATTAATGATTATGTTTGATCTCACAGAGTTTAAGGATCACACTGTGAATGCATTGATTACTTCTCATAAACATCGGTTTCTATCATACATTAAAATGTTGTTCTCAGAGCAGCAAATACATATATTTCTCCAAACATTTCTTATTATGTTTGCTTGTTAATACTTTCTTCTTTACTCCCTGAGAAACTAAAATACTGAAAAGGAACATTTCCAGCACTTTTACAGCATAAAGTTGCTTTTTATGGCTAGAAAATGTTCATCTACTATTAGGCTTATAATATATATACTTATATCTTTGACTGCTTTTCATCAGCACCCAACCTTTCTTTTTGTGAACTGCAATGGTTTGTTCAGTGTATGGATATGGTTGAAAAATGCAAACATAGGCGGAATTATTCATACTACGTCTGGCCTTAAGTTACCAAACATGACCTAATGTGAGTGATTGTTAACTTGTGTGTACTGTATACTAACATGAAAACCATAAACAGGCGGCAAAAATCAACAAACACACGGGATACATGCCCTGTGGATGGAAAAACTAATTGGGAAAGACAAAATATTTCACTATTTCCTTCATATTAACAAAATATGAATGCCTCTTGTTAACCGCCTAAATGTATGTGCTTCTTGAAAATATATTGTCCAGCTCCTGTTATGGATTTAGTGAGGCAGCATGAGGTTAGCTTGCAAACATACTAAATAAGTACATAATCACTCACTCAAAACACTATAGTTGACTGGGAATTCATTCAAACCTAAAGAAGGCTTTTAGAGACTATGAATCCTACTCAAACTAAACAAATAGCTTTTAATAATACTAACATTTACTAGTAGTTTTGTATATGGTACACGTACAGTGAGTGCTAGCTAATAATTACACAAATACAATTCAAAGTCGTCAATTGGTTCTTTGCATCTAGCTTTCTTACATTGTTTCAGAGTCACAGGGTTTTATGTTGGGCAAAGTGCAGGCGTATGGCTACAGCGTTCCCTTTGGATATCATGCTGGTGTAGAATATCATTATATAATCAAGCCCTAGATTAGGTATCAGTACTGAGTGACGGAGAGCAAAGGTACTGAACATGAGTCTCTGTCACCTTATCCTAGCTGTATGCTGTCCTTGTAGCTGCCTGACACGACATGTGTGGTCTTTTGTCTCAGGTAGCGCTGCAACACCTACTTATTCTTCAATCATCAAGGTCCTTGAATGCAGTGTGACGTGTTTAAAATATAAGCCTGTCAACACAAGAGACCTCCGAGAGTGGAATAGATGTTGTTAGTTGTCACTGAAATCTCCAGGATTAGTTCAAACAAGTCAGTGATACTGGCAAATGTACCCTAAGTTATACATTCATATTTAAGGATGTTTTGAGGTTTTAAATGAGCTGACTGTATTGGACTTAACTCTCTCCAGAGTACACTAGACACGACTTTTTTTTAAAGATTGTAAGCGGTCGAAAACCAGAACTTATATGCATCATCAATACTATTTATCTCTATATTGATCAAGCCAGTTCTTTTGAATTAGATAACAGAAGGCTTTGAGACCATGCAAGCATTAAAGGAATAGTTCAACATTTTTGGTACTTTCTGTACCTCTAAAAGTCTATTATTAGTATTTTTTCTCCGGAAGTTTTTCCTTGTACGATGTGAGGGTCTAAGGACAGAGGGTGTCGTTTTCTCATACTGATATTCTGCACAAACTGTGCTGTTGTATTTGCTGTGAAGTGTCTTTACTGTAGGGTATTTTTATTATATGTACAGCACTTTGGCTCGACCAAAAATCGTTTAAAAATGTGCTATATAAATAAAACTTGATTTGATTTGTATAAGATTTGATCACCTTTGGATGTAGCCTGATGAAGTATCCCCCTGTTTTCCATTCTTAATACTAAGCTTTATACCGGCTCCTTTCACCGTATACATAGTAACTGTACAGATATCCTAGTGGTGGATTTATAAAATCTAACTCTCCATGAGAAAGGGAAATTCTGAAATATATATTTCTAATCAACTATTCTTTATACTCTTTACAGGTTGTAGCAAGTGTGGCTGGGTTAAAATCATGCATATCCTGCTTCTCACCAGGACTGGGGTTTGTGCACCTTTGCTGTTTGTGCCCCCCTAACGTACTTAAACCAACACACACTCACACACCTCATCTCTCCTCCATTATTTTCTTCAGGCAGTCCACTATGTCCTCTCCACTGACCCAGGGAACGACGTTTGCCTTGAACTTGGCCGCCTGGGCCTGCTGCCTCTCCAGAAGCAGCTTGTGCATGGGGAAGTCCCTCCTGGGGAAAGCAGTGTCCCGGGGCCCCAGAGCCAAAGAGGGACATATATCATTGGCCCCATCTCCGATATAGAACACTTTCTGGAAGGGGGCGCCTCCACGCTCCTTTTGCCGGCCTGCCAGATACTCTCGAAGGATCACCTGCTTGCACATGTTTTCAGGGCAACAGGAGCACGAGTGGGAGTGGAACGGGAGCAGCACGAGGCAGCCGGTGTCATCGAAACTTGCCGGGTTTGTGAAAATCTTCCGGAAAAGGTGACGCACGCCGGCACGCTCCAGCCACGTCTCGATGATGTACATGTTGGCGTCGGAGACCACTGCCAGCTCAAAGTCCTGCTGGTGGCTGTGCAGGTACTGGAAGAGGCTCAGGAGGCCGGGGGAGGGCTGGATCTTCTCCACTGCTGAACGGATGGAGTCCTCGGACACACCCTGCTCCGTCATGTAGACCAGGACCTTCTGCATGTGCTCGTTGTAGTGCCCCTCTCTGTAGCTGTTTCTCAGCCAGTCGGGGAGGTGTTGGCCCGGTAGAGCTCGCACCACAGCATCATCGCTGCTCTCATTGATGATGGTCTCATCAAAGTCGAACAACACCAAAAAGCGCTGTTGCTGTGGCGCTGCATGGCTCAGGTTTGGTGGAGCTGTCATCTTTGGTGGGTGGAGGAAATGTTGAGTGGTCCCTCTCTAAGAAAAATAGATGGAAAACTGTCAGTAGGTTTTTTGTAACAGATTTAAAGAAGCATTTTACAGTTTTTTTTTATTACACCCTACTGGTTTTACAGTTCGACATCACACTGTTAAATTAAACTGCAGCACCGATGCTGAGGAAACATTAAAATGTATAAAAAGTCTTAATGAGGCTATGAGCTGTAGGGGAAACACATGTTTACAAGAGGGAAGGCATGGAGCAGAGTTTGAATTAACCAACACATAAACAGGATGTTCATTATATTTAGGAAAATAAAAAATCCAAGTACTCTGTGTGCTGTGTTTATTTTCAGGAAATATCACTCTGTCTTTGTTTAAATCACTGCAATATCTGATATGAAACACCCAGACATACACTTCCTATCATGGTTATCCATTAAGACATTCTCTCATTCCTTTAGGATTGTGGAATACAACTTTATTTAAACATGCCAAATTTCAGATCAGGGCCAATTCCATATTTACATAGCGGATATATTTCGAGCACAAGGGTCTCACTGTTAAAGGCATGCGGTAACTTGAGCAAAGTGAGAGCCGTTATGTCACAGCATACCTTTACCATATATGGAACAAACAAGAATGTTGAAGACAAACCAGCAATGATGAGATAAAGAACAAAAGCTATCGCTATAGTGTTGTACAGTTATGCTACATTTGCGTATTGTGCTATCTTATACTTCTGCTTCACAGCATTTCATGACATTCAAACTATGAACATCAATCTGTGTCAATCCCAGGGGGGTGCATAAAAGACCCAACCTGTACATCTGTATGAGTTGATTAACATATGGATTACTATTGGAACAAAAAAGAGAGGAAGTTGGGTTTGCATGATAGTTAGGGTGTGACTCCTCACAGGGTCTGCCTCTCCTTACAATACAAGAAGAGATCCACAATTGTATTCATTGCCAACGACGGCTTAACTGCTAATTCATTGTTGTGAATGTGGGAACATTACACCTTTACAAGGAGTCACTAATAGTTAATCAATGGAAACTATTCTCAACACATTAGCTATACAATTAGATCAAGACACACAAAGATAATATCACAATCTAAAACGGTTTTCTTCTACATGTATTTGGTCAAAGAGATTATATAATTTACCCTATGTACTCCTGTGATGGGAAAATCGTTTTTGATTGACAAACATTAAGTGTTATATGACCAATAGATAATGTAGTTAGTTACTCAATCTAATCAAAATGATGATTACAAAAGTAACACCAAATAGGGGAGTCCTGATAAAATGTAGTTTGGCAGCTAGATTAGCTGACTAACACTAACTATTTGACCTAGTAATACCCTAAAATCACATAATTACATTTATTAAAAAGAGTTTATGAAACTACATCATTAGTTGAAATGAACAAAAAATGAAAATTGTTAAAACTGCGTAAATTGTATAATTAAGTTAACAGCTCATATATTGACAATTTAAACAACCCTTATTCCCCAAGCTTCATATCCTGTAATTATAATGCTCTCTGTTTTAGAGCAGTAATGTTATATATATATATTACATGTGTAGCTTTCAAAGACAAGACACATGATAATCCTGGTAAATAATATGTATTGTTATAAATTACACTACCTATAGGCTAGATACTATACAGTAGTTTAAAACATCAACCTCAGTACAACATTTACATTATATTTGCAAATCAGTTATCATCATGAGTTATTTGCGTATGCTGCAGAATGAGAAGGCCTACTCAGCTGTTGATGCCATAGATAACTCTGTGAACTTATCCCATTACTGGAAACAAGAAGTTGTATAAGGATGACAAAACTGATATATTTAGATGCAGTCTATTATATAAAAATGGCATACAGATTACATTAGATATATTAACATAATGCAAAAATAATTGAGAAGGAAACACCAATGCCCTGACAATCTTAAAATGTACCTTTATATCATGACATAAGAGACAGTGAACCTTGGTGTCAAACCATTTTGACTATGCAAAATAATCTAACGCTAGGTTTTATTTATTAAGCAGACCTAAATTCTGACATTTCATTTAACAATGGTATATTATTTAGACTGAATATATGTATTTAAAATAATTTGGGTTTGCAGGGCAGCTGGGCCTGATGGGACATGTTGAAATGCATGCCGTTGTTCATAACAATGTCAGCTCACTGTAATAACATGAGGCCAGCTGGTTGGTGTTGTTCAGTAATGTACTGATGTCCTGCAACCTGCGGTTTCTCTGACGCATTGTGCCAAGTGAGCGTCCTGTTCCCACACAGCAGCTACATTATTTACGGAGCACATTTAAACTCTAAGCTATCTAAATTTAACCCGGGAGCTGCTATTCCTGTAGGAGAGGTTACCGCTGAAAGTCATTGGCGCGGCTCTGCCAGGAGTCGAAAGCTGACCGCCGGCTGCATGATGTCCGAGCGCGAAAATAACACCCAAATGCAAACAGTACAATCACAAACAGGGATAAAATGACAGAATTCACAAGTGTGCATGATAAGAAAGAAATGAAGGCCTACCGGCAGTGAGCATAAGAGCTGGGATGTTCGGCTATGTGCCCGGCTCCGGCGACCGCATCCCAGTGACGCGACGGGATTCGTTAAAGGAGACTCCCACAGCAGCAGAGGGTATTCCCATTTAAAGCCACTCCGTCAAGTTAGAGTCAACACAACTTCCGGTGTGACCTTTCAAGTCAAAAGCCCAGGAGAGGCAACATTTTTTTCCAAAGTAAAAAGTAGTCATTATGCATAATGTCCTATTTTAGAAGACACGTGTAAAGAGTTTATATCATTCATTATATTTTTCAGTTTTTCCTTTTTATAAAAAAATTAAGCTGGGATACTGTGATTCAACCAACATTCCCCTGAGATAAATACCTTATTCTGATTGTACTAATGTGAATCACTATAATGTTGCAAAAGGAAAATGTCTGACATATTTCTGTGCATCACATGATTGGATAGACCTAATTCTCCTCCACTCAAAAAATGGCAATATCATATTAATAAATTAAAAACTAGGCTACCTCACAGCGTATAAGATATATGTTCTATCAACACATTAGATTGTATATGCATTAACATAAACTTCAACAATCTGAGGATTCTGGATGTTTGTTTCTACGAAATCGCTGTGAACAAGACAATTCCCTCCTCAAATTGTGTTCAAAGAACTAAATAATTTAGCTGTGGGAGAATTAACATCAGTATTTTAGACTGATAACGTGATGTGAGCCTTGATTGGCAAATCCACATTTTAAGAACAGGTCTCTGCTCTTTTAAATCCCAAAATAGTCCTCCATAACCAAAACAAGCTCATTGGAAATTCCTTGCAAGTTTCGTGGACTGAACACGAAGCTGATTGTAGAGAGGCTTGAGGTAAACTTTTGTAAGTGCATGTACAAAAATGACCTGATGAGGACACCTGCTGGTCACCATGAAAGTCTACAAATATTAGTCAACCAAATAAGAAGTGGTTCCAGGCCCAGGCTTTAGATTTTTGAAGGACAAATAAAAAACACATCAGAATTTGTACATTTAAATGTCACTCCAACCATGCTGTAATAACACCTTCAGTCTATTTCGTGGTTTTGTTGAGGTTGATTAGACGCCATCACAAGAGAAAACTTGGCACCATTATGGAAGAAATTCACAAGCTTATTGGAACATCATGCGATAACATTTTAATAATACAGACAGGTTAGTGCCATTTAACACAGAAGGCAAGTGTGCATAAAGTGTGTATAAAAAAAACAGGCTGCGTAATTTGAACTTCAACAAATCAAATATTTTACTTCTTGAGACAAACCATTGTAGCTATAACAACATAGAAAGATTAAAGGCTAAGAACACAGAAAAAACCTTATCATTTTTATCATGCGGCAAATCTAATGCATTTTTTTTTTGTACATCGTTTTGAAGAAGTGTGCTAGAATATTTGAATGGATTTGTGATTAGCAATCTATTTTTTTATAGCTATAAAAATGTTTAAGTATTTTATAGCTGCTAAGGCAGGTTGCAGTACATTTTGTTCATAGGCAACATTGTGAAGAGTATTTTAATGAGTTATTTAAAAGGCACAATTTCACCACTAGATGTCCCTCGCAGCATGAGTGAACACTATATCAATTCATGTATATTATTTGTCAAATTATTAAGAGAAACATTACATTTTTTTATATTTTAGACAACTACTTTTGAGGGTTATATTTAGACACTATGTAGTTTTGTAGCTAGATTTTCTGGCTTTTTCTGGATTTAGTAGAGCTTGTTTTAAAATCACAAATTTCTCTTTAACGAACAGCTCTAATTGACTCAGGTTGCTCATTAGTTAGACTCATCTCCCATTTGGTTCAGTAGTTACATTTGAACATTTACCATGCAGGCAAACACCAGGGTTATGGGTAGAGAAACATGTCAACAAAAATTGAAAAGAAAATTCTACACACTTGGATTTAAACAAAAGGATGAACGTCTCATAGTCAAAGGAGCCGACTCCAGTTCCCACTCAAACTCCACATCAGATCTTACATCATACTACGAGAAGGAAACCTGGCCAAAATTAACAATACTTGTCCAAGTGGCCAAAAGAACAAATGTCCCAGATGTAAATAACATAAAGCATTATCTGTGTTTCCAAGTGCGTCTTTCAAAGCAGAGTGAAGAGGGAGTTTTGAGAAGGTTTGGCCACAGAGCGAGACAGAGAGCAGGACTGAGGGTGGAGGGAGGAATGTGAGCAGCTGCTCGGTGAGGATGGGAGGAAAACTCTTTCTCTTGTGCTTCGGTAGAGTCTTCTGCGTCACAGCATTGTATTACACCCACAGCTGGACAAAACATCTGAATGACTGAGCCCACTATTTGAGGTTATGCACTCAAAGAAACAGATATGCAAGCATTACAAATGATTACTGAGAAGAATGACGCCTAATAATCCATTACTATACTGCAGGAGCTAAATGAATATGTATATAGCACTGAAAAACAAAAACGCATGAAAGCAAAGAATCATCTGTTTTTTTTCATAACTTCTTTTATAAACACGGCACCATTTTTTTTTACTTTAAACAGGCAACGTAGGATTTGAGAAAGCAGCTAAAATGCATCAAGGTGGAAACCCTTCCTTAACGTGGCTCTGCCAAAACATTTAATCTCAAGTTCAGCACGACATTGTTGGAAGAAAACCCAGAGGCAACGAGTGCCAAGGCATGGAAGTCCCGCTAATTGTTATTCACAGTTGGCTTGACGGCAGTGGTAAAAGCTGGCTTTATATTTGGCACAAATATGTGAGAAACACCTAACAATTTCAACTATAATACAATACTGACCTATTGTTTAACAACCTCCATCAACAAGACATTTGAGCGCATCATAACCATCTTTTACTAACAAGTCTTACACTACAAATAACTGAGAACAAGCGAAGGTTGGCAAGTTTTAGAACAGATTCCTTATAGATTAATCATTTGTAACAGGATTCAATGAATTACAAGAACTGATACTCTGATTTCATTAGAATCACATTGCCAGATTTGAGGTTTGACGCAGAAAAAAGGCAGAATCAGGGCAGGTATGTATGTCTATTTATCTTAAATTAGTCAAAATTCTACGAATGATGTAATGATGCTATTTCCCTACTGTTTTATCTTCTTCAACAACTCATTTATTTTTGATGTAGAATAGAAAGTAGCTGTAATATGTAGGAGTTTTTTCCACCGATAAGCTCTACTCTTGCATGCTGCAGTGCAGTGAAGCATATGTAATGTTGGCTACACTGCATGACTGGTAATCTGATCCCTGACTGGGAACCTAATGCAATCTTTTCAGCTTCTTGAGACAGAGCTGAGTTTTATTTAAACATTTCTTATCCTTTTATAGGGACCATTTTCAGGACCATTTCATACATACAGGCCCTGGTTTGTTAAGGATTGCTAAGCTGTTGTCAATGGGACCTTGTTTTTGCAGCCACACCCTTACATTTTTAGCAGAATTCATTTTTCCTTATGTAATGTAAAACAATACTTTATTATTTTTTCTTTAAACACACATTTCCCAACATAGATACCACACTATCGACATATTGCACAACAAAATCTTCATAAACATTTGAAAATACTGACACAAATCAAAGGATTCATGGCATCCTGCTTTTTCTTCTCTTTTTGACAAGTGAACAATAGGGATCGCATTCAGGAAGTGCTTGAAAATATCACTCAAATAGACACTCTTACTCAATCCTCGGCTTTAACTTCCTCTGTGGTCTCTTCCTTCTTCTCGTCGACGGCAGCTTCAGTTTTTTCCACATTTTCTACCGGCTCAGGGTTGGACTTTGGCACCTCTTCCTCTTTCTTCGCTTCAGGAAGAAGGATGACTTTCCCGATGTTTTGGCGTTCGTGCATTCGCTTCATGGCATCAGTAGCCTGACGGAACACACAGGAGCAGAACGGATGTGCACAATGTGATGTTTTCCTCCTATTTTCAGGTTTGTTTTTACTAGTATCATTAATGCGAAAAACATGTCTAACACTTCATTAGAGGTTATCTTTATTACCATCTTGCTTTTTCGACACGTTAATGTATCCATAAATAAATAATAAAGCAGCACGATAAGATTATGTTTCCTTGGTTAATAAAGCTTAATGGATAATATAGATAATATTACCTGCACCAGTTTTACATTGACTCCCTGAGCACATGATCATAATGGCTCAGTCTTAATGAGGATAAATGAACACATGGGCTATCTACGCTATGTATCTCTGCCTTAAAGTCATTTGCCCTGCTTATTATTTCCTGCCTCGGCTTTTGTCCGTTTCCTGCTTACAATTACAAAAGCCCCACTCCTGTCTATCCTTGAATCCAACTTGAAACACGGAGAAATCCCCGTAAATAGTGGATGCCAAGGCAACAATTTAGACCATCACCTAGCAACAGCCCTTAAGGACCGACTCATCTGATGGGGGGGGGGGGGTTTGAGGTAATCTCGCCTGCATCACATGATTGATGGAGAAGAGGAAACCACAGGAAGGGTGTGACGCAGGAGAAGCTTCAATGGAGCTGTGTGATGCACAAACACCTCATACATGAATACTCACTGTGCAGCAGAGAAAACATAATTGGTGGTTACTAAAAAGTATTTGCTTTCTTTCCAAGGGGTTGCAAGAAAGCGAATAGGGGGTTCTCACAACATTTCAACTTATTCTAATAGAATTGTGTGCAGCAAATCAGCCCGATATCAACCATCATTATCATTATTTATTTTCATTGTTTCCATTTTTTCACAATGCTACCCCCATAAAGCTGCTCTTCCACTTTTCAATTCTGATATACTGCAAATATTTTCTTCGCATTAATGTATAATTTGTTATTGTATTTCCTTTTTCTTAATGTATATTTCTTGTACTTTTATTTTAGTATTATGGTTTTTATTATAGTTTATATTTGCTATTTTTTTTTTACAACTTTATTCCCTTGTATTCATATCTTACACGGCACTATTATTATTTGTATTCTTTTATTTTGTATCTGTCTTACTAAGTTTGATTTTCTAGTTCTTGTGGATTTGTATGTATTTAAATGTAATTTTATAATGTGTCTTCTTGGCACTATATCTTAATACCTGTAATGTTTTTTCTAGAGCCTGTTTTAAAAAAGAATGTGCCTTGTTGTTGAACTCTGAAAAAAACTTGGCTCGCCTCGCCTTACTGTGTTTATGTTTGCATCATTATACACCAAAGCAGATTCCTTGTATGTGTAAACCTGCTGAGCAACCGGATCGTTATTATCCTTTGATTCGCGCCTTAAAAGTAGTCCCTCTGTAACATTTTACATTTCAAACATGATGAAACTGACCTCCTCAAAGTGGTAGCAGGAGTCGATGCGGGGCTTGATCTTGCCCTGGCTGTAGAGCTCCAGCAGCTTCTCCATGGTGCGGGTGATCAGCTGCTCATCGGGGATGTAGCCCAGGTGGAAGCCGCAGACGCCCTTGTTGGTCTGCATCAGTTTGAGCACGCTGAGCGACAGCTGGTTGTACCAGGTCTTCGCCATGGCCAACAGGTTCTTCTTCTGGCCCGTCACACAATTGGCCGCGCCTGGAAAGCAAAACAATTGAACACAGTAAAAATCAGAGAGATTCATTTCTATCTATTTATAGCGACCTCTTAGAAGGTAAGGCGTGATGAAGTAAACCTTCTGCATTCAAAATGTCACTTGACAAACTATACTCATAATGCAGAAATCTGTGCTATTACAGTATGTATTACAGTAGATAAATACTAATTAAAATGTTATAAACATATTGCTTCAGGTTGAAGAGCTCATTATAATTCATTGGATACTGCTTTGTAGTACAACCTACAAAAATGCATCATATTTCATTAACTGATGATACATTTAAAATCCAAAACGTCAAAATAACTTGTAGCTAAAACTGTCAGATCAAGCACAGTATTTTTCTCAAAAGTGGAATATAGATTAGCATGAAATGGAAATACCTAAGAACCTCAAATAACGTACAGAATTTCAGTCAAAGTTAATTTCCACCTCTGTTAGGCCCCACTCCTGTCATTTCAGTTTTGATAAATTATGCAAAACAGCATTATTACACAAACATTAAAGCAAAAATAGAAATACATTAAGGGAGACTGGACATATGCATTAAGACATGTTTTTTCTGTTTCCAGATGTCTTACCAAAGACTATAAGCATGCCCAAAGGCTTCAACAAACTAAAGCCTTTCTGGGTGTCTGAACCACCGAGGGGGTCCAGGACGATGTCCACTCCTGCAGAGACAGAACAAAAAAGGGAAAAGATGCATAATGTTTCCGTGTCAACATGCGACAATCTTTATTATTACATTAAGACATGTCCTGGCTAGGTAAAGAAAGGTAAGGATGTGTGTGTTTTGTCAGTGTGATGCACAAGTGTGTTTTCTCACCCTTGGGGCTGATTTTGCGGACTTCCTCCACGTAGTCTTTGGTGCGGTAGTCGATGGGGTGAGTTACGCCGCCTTGGGAAATGATCTCATGTTTGGAGGCTGAGGCCGTGCCAAAAACCGTCACATCTGGCACAGTCTGACAGAGCTGGGTAACAGCGACACCGACACCACCTACAGATGTGCAGACAGCCGCACCAACAGAGGTGAGAAGAGGCTGCAGGCGCTTCACTTCACATTCAATTTGATCCCTCGCTGCAATTCTCAGTGATTTAATCTTCAAAACAATGGGTCTGCACTGGCTTTTTCCACTCAGGATAACTCGCAAGGATGTGTTTTATGGCTCACCGATTCAAAACTCATGCTGTGCAGCCAGACATTGTTCAGAACCACAGAAATGTATTTTAAAGTTGAGTGGACACCACGAAATGTCCAAAGACATTCGATACGTCAAGCAGAACGTTGGAAAAATAGGAATAAAAGACATTAAGAGTAAGATATTTTTTCCACCTCTGAGATACTTAATAGCGTATGAAAAAAAAGAAAATTGAGGTATAATGATGATACCATTTTATTTTATTTATTTCATTCCCAATGTATACATTCAATGAGACTTGAGGCTGTTCTCAGCTAAGGCTTAAGTCTACACCTTTTCTGCCAGTATAAATTGGCTTGGTTTGACACTACCTCATAAACAATGTCTTATTGTTGGTTTTATTATTATTTCATATGTGGTTTTGACTTCTTAAAGATGGAAAAAATGAATGGGGGAACCAGATTTTATAGGGATAAGGAGTACAAGTAGCTTTAAAAGTGTTGGATATATGGTCATATTAATTTGAGTAACTCTGGTTACAGTAGTGGCCTCTCAGCTCTACGGTGGTTTGTTATGTGATTTTATGATGGCTGAGATGGTGGAGGAAATGCTTTATGGTCGTGTTTTTTCATAATAATGCCTGCCTGGGTGTGCAGGCTCAACAGTAATCCCTCGTGACCTCCCCTTCACCCTGTCCTCGTGTGGCTGATTCATACAGGTCAGCTGACAGCCCGCCACATAACAAACACTGAGACGCAGCTTTTGAGAGGGAAGTGCACTGGAGTGTGATGGTGGACGCTGACATCACCATCCTGTATACTTAGATTCAAGAGTGGCTGATTAACACTGAGCCATCTGAGTTAAAGCTGCATTACCATCCTTTAAACATACAATAAATAACTTCTAACAAACAAAAGCTCAAGATGACAAGTCTGAAAGGTTTTACTGCCTATCCCTCAAGAGAGGAGCACCTGAACGTGTGTCTCTACTGCTCATGGTAAAATATTACATCACATAATATGTATAAAGGATAAGGCACTGGTCAATGTTATGATCCACCTGGAATTTATTCAGGTTTTCTGCTACAATATGAATGTGGAAACACTGTTTTGAAAGTGAATAAAATGTCAAATTGGTCGAGTAGTTTTTTTTCCAGTAGTCTTTTTAGTAATTTAATTCCCACATGGTCATAGAGTTTCCCCAGTTTTCAAATAATGGAAGTCCAAATTGATGTATTTCCTTTTCAAGGTTCATACCTATGAGTCCCTCCTCCTGTGATTGTACCACCAGCCCCCTGGTTATTGAAACACACACGGTGCTGTGCACAGAGTGAGACGCATTTGCTTGTCGCTTGTTTAAAGGTCAGGTGTTGCCAAAGCAACCCCGCCTGATAATGATCCTGTGTTCCCTTTTATGAATACACTCACACCATATTTTCACCAATGACCAGCGGTCTCTTTGATGATCATTTATCAGCACAGCTATGTGGCTGCATTCTGGAAAGTGATTAGTGACCTCAGTGAATAATCCGTGCCCCTCTTCACAGGCTTCCCAGGAGACTCGGGGAGGTGTTTGTTACAAATCACAACATGATAAGGGAGCGACTGTCCAAGCGCACAACACAACGGACACCACAGATTTAGCTTGAGGAGATAAGAAAGAGGAGAAAAGTGTGTAAAATCTCAATTTTTGTTAAATTATCCTGTAAAATGTTCATTTTAATTCAGGGTCTTGGGTATGAAATGTAAGAGATATTAAGAATTGTCTATCAAAAACCCAGTGTCACATACTAAAATTGCTTTTTTTGTCCAACAGTTCAAAATAGATTGAATTTAAAACATAAAACAACAAATGGCAACTGTTCACATTCAGCTAGCTGTAACAAACAGTTATTTTGGGGGATTTTTTGCATTTTTGTTAGATAAACTTCATTGATGATAACCATCGTCATCCAAATGGCACAAATTCTACAGCATAAAGAAAAGAAAATAGAATCAAGGCCTAGGAGAAGAGTTTTTAATTTGTTGGATGTTGTCATCAATGACACTGATAAATTCAATAAGAAATAGCTATGTTGCTGATCAGTATTTGAGACCCCTGATTTTATTCTCAGTATTCCCTGTGTGTGTGTTACCTGCAGCCATATGGACCAGGACACTCTTGCCTGGCTTAAGGTTGGCCGACTCGAACAGCATCAGGTAGGCGGTGAGGTAGTTGACGGGCAGCGCAGCCCCCTCCTCAAAGCTCATCTGCTCGGGCATGGGGAAGGTGTTGTCAGCGGCCACAACGACCACTTCCTGGTACATGCCGCTGCGGATCAACACGATGACCCGATCCCCCACCTGAGGGAGGGGAGAGGAAGGGAGGGATGGGGGGGGAAGAAAGTCACAGAGGATGGGGATGTATCTGTGGTTAAGGTCTGGTCAGATGACTTAGAAATTAGTCGGTAACTGAATGCAAATTAAACAGCAATTATTTGTTGTGATTAATATTTTTTTTTAAATAATAAATTATACGTAACTTCTTAGCCTAATCTAAATATTCCATTACTTCAAACAGTGAAAATATTTCCCCATAAAACATGAGAACCTTGATGTGTCTCTACATCTCGGACACAATATTCACAAGTTAATAGAATCCGTATTCTTTTCATAATAAAATAATTGCCATATCCTGACTGTATTTCCCATTCATTTCCCAAAAGTCCTGCTAATTTTCACAGCAGGTTTACCTTGAACTGTTTTTTGTTTTGCAACCCTAGTCCTGACACATTTTTGTGGAAGAGTATAAGACAATTTAAATGTCTCTTGTCATCACCACTTTGCTCTTGTTAACGGGGATGTGAAATGGCAAATTGAGGTCAGGCAGGCAGGCAGGAAATTGTCCGACGTATCTCAGTTTTAGACTGACACGAGGGCAAGTCATTACACTGCTGCTGCTGCGCTGTGTCAACAGACTCATCCTCACAGAGGCATGATTACCTTGTGATCACATTGTGATATTGGCAAGTAACTGAAGCCAAATTCCTTTCAGTGTTTAATGGTTCATCAGGAATACATTTGACCTACCGAGATGATGGCTGCAACCAATGATTGTTTTTTTAATGTATTCATCTACCAAATATTTTTTTTAACCAATTTTTAGAATGGCCAATGAAATATCAAAAAATGCTTATGAATTTGTCCAAGTGCCCAAGGTGGCAGCGTCCAATTGTTTGAAACCAAATTTGATTAACTGACATATATAAAAGCAGCAAGTTCTCACAATTGAGAAGCATGAACCTGCTTTTGTTATAAATGTTTTTAATGCAAATATATTTTCCTTTGTCCAGTCTGTTAAGTTTCTATCTCTCTCTACATCATTCTTTTTTTTAAAACAAAAGTCCAGAAATGTAGTCTTAAGACCCCACAACCAGCTTTAAACATGTTACTTTAAACAAGATAATAAAAGCTGCTCCATGTACCTAAACTGTTTCTGAGCCAACGAGCACAGAAAAGTGGCCTAATGGGAAATGTTGTTCGTGCTTTCTTCCACAGGAACGTGCCAACATAAAAGAAACCTGCCCAAAAGTGAAGGGCTCTGGAAAGAAGTGTGATTGTGAGCGCTGCACTGCTTCCCGTTAAAACAGTCTCGAGCGCTCTGAGCCACGCCCACTTCCTGTTGTGTAAACCCATCACAATAGACTGCACAGTAGGGCTGCTCGATTATGGCAAAAATCATAATCTCGATTATTTGGGTCAATAATTGATATCACGATTATTAAAAACAATTATCCATTTACTTTGAAAACATCAATTTATTTAAAAAAATTGTATGTTTTTAACAGTTGATTACCCTGAACTTTAAGTATAATTCAACTGAAAAACCAATAAAAAAAAATAAAAAAAATAATCGTTTCATTCCGATTATGTTGTTTTCATAATCGTTGCAAGCCAAAATCGTAATTGCGATTAAAATACCATTAATTGAGCAGCCCTACTGCACAGGGCCACAAATATTTACGCACACATGCACAGACAATAAAAACATTCACACACTTTGCATATGTCTGTTGCAGTGAGATAACTAAGAGCTGCAGTCTCCAGCCTTTACTTCCACATCAGATGACTCAGATGCTCCTTTTACATTACATTGCATTTAGCTGACGCTTTTATCCAAAGCGACTTACAATAAGTGCATTCGACCAAGAAGATACAAACTTGAAGAAAACAGAATCATACAAGTACATCAGGTTTCATAGAGCCAAAACATTTCAAGTGCTACTCAACTGGCTTTAGATAAGCTAGTCCTTTATTAGCATATAAGTGCTTTGTTAGTCATTTTATTGCTCGAAGTGGAGTCGAAAGAGATGAGTTTTTAGTCTGCGCCGGAAGATGTGTAAGCTTTTAGGGGTCGATAACATTTCTCAACATCTGGTCTTATGAAACACTTCCAAAACACACTCTGTGTCACCTCAGAAAATGCATGATAGTCAATTTAAAAAAGGCTGAGCTCAGTTCCTGGAGCACTGGCATGAAATTAAGTAACTGAAGTAAAGTCCAAAGCAGGACAGTGAAGTTTACTTACACCAGCAAAATAAGTAGATTTAATACTGCTGTTCAATGCATGATATATAAACAGTGAAAGACGTGTCATGATGCAAGTTTTATGCACATACAGTATATAATTACCAGTATCCAACTAGACAAACCACATCTCATAAGCAGAGAAGCATCTTCAAAAAGAGGCTTTTGTGTTTTACATTAGTCAAAAATGGCTCGTTATTCAAAAACCATTACATCTACAATATTAAAGACACCTGCTGTAAATTGACCAAATATTGTCCAATGTATTAAGCCGAACACAGAACCCTTCATCCTCTCATCATGCAACATTACGTTGAGTGTATTTGCAGAACAGATGGTTTATTTCTTTCATAAATTGCGTGATAAGACTTTAACTTTAAGACTCAATCTTCCAAAATATCAATCACATTATGAGGAATAATCATTGACTTTCTAGTCTTTTTTAATATAGAAACATCTGCGAGGAGGTAACGCTGGATTTGGAAACTGTAATGGGATTCTACATCACACATCTGCAACCCATGCGTTTCATAAATCAGCCACGCCCTCCTGTCTTCATCTGACGGAGCCTCGCTGCTCCAGTCTGTCCTCATGAAACAGCATCAGCCTCTCTACGTAAACAATTCCCTTAATGTGATTGTCTGCTGCTCTGCCTCCCTTATGTGTCTCACTGCAGCCACACAGATTTTTACAATGAAATAACCCACAATCTTGGGTCTAAACCTACACTCTATATGCTTTCAGTGCTTATGCATTGTAAATACTTGATAGGATTCTTACATTTACACCATTTCCAGCATCACTGCATGTGCTGGTTTTTTTGGGACTCGTGTTGTGCTGCTGTGCCAAAAAAGAGGGTTCGGGAACATAGCATTCCCCCTATAGGATCCTTGCTCTTGAAGGGAAAGATGTAGGGAGGAATGGGAGGTGGGCGGGAGGGGAAATTCCATACTGACACAGAGGGACACGAAGGAGCTTCAGTAATATAAAACACACGTGTTTAACTTAAAAGACGCCTTGAAAAGAAGTGTGGAAGAAGACTGACCTCAAAGACATTTAACTGAGATTGAAATGGAAGTTAAGGCATTGTTCAAACAACAGCTAAATATGGTTACGGCGTCTTGTGTTAACGCTAAATATGGTCAAGTTAAAGCTCAGGATGCTAACAAATAAGATCGGTAACTAGCAGTAAAGCATCCTTTTTGAAAGAAGTGACAACAACTGAATGAAGCCGAGCTTGGAGGGGCTCATATGGATATATTTTTTAATACAGAGCCAAGTAAACTAAGAAACTAGGTAACATCTTGTATATCAATATAACCAATATTGACATTTCAATTTTGGTTCAAGGTGTTCAAATTCAGCAAGTTGACTTTCATATCTGGCCCAAGAGAGGAGACGCAACCTAGGAAACGGGTTTAAAATCTTTTTTTATCATGATAATAGTTGAGTCTTTGAGGTTACTGTAGCTGGAATCAATACAGTAGAGGCATAACGTGTGACTGGTGGAGGAACACTGATTAACTGTGTGAAGCTCCCTTAATGTGTTACTTGTCTCAACAATATTGGCAGCAATAGCAGATCATGGTTCAACTTATTTTCCGATTGTAAACCTAAAATGTTTGTTTGAAAAGAAAATAGGAGAAAAAAACATTAGAGCATTGAGTTCTGCATGTTTCTGAGATTTATATTTAAAAAGAAAACCTCCTTATGAACCCAATGACACAGCTTAGAAGTCCTGTTTCTCATTCAAATACAAGTGTTTTGCATCTTCCATATGCATTAGTGTATGCACGCAGAGCATAAGCAACTCAAAATGTTGCTTTATTCTTTCTACCAGTGCAAGAAAAAAACATCTGAACCTCAAAGGGAGTTATTTGCAGAAGCTGTGACATGAAGTCAAGGTTTCTTGCAATGAGTCACACTTCATATGTTGTTTTTTTAAATATCCCCAGTACACAAAAAAAGCACTGGCCTTGGATTCTCTGAGATCAGCTCTGCAGAATCAGGTGCCTTTCTGCATCAGAAAGTCCAATCTAACATTTAGTAGATTTAGAAAGGAAGCACAGTAACAGAGCTTATAAATATTTTGAACCCTTTTATCAGACTTGATAAATGAAGACTCCATAAAACTTGACCGTTGGAAAGTTCTTATCAAGGCAAACGTAAATGTTCCTTTGTGCCGGGAGGAAGAATGCAAACACATTTCAAGGACACGTTGTAAATCAAAAACGAACTGTTCATGATGCCAGGATGTTAGATTTAGCAGCAAGAAAGCTTCTTTCCATCCTGTTTTTAAGAGACCACAGAACATTAAAGGATTAGACTGGTGGAGGTTATTTATCATTGGGTTGTGCTTTCCCATTGTGCAGCAATTTGAACAGAGATGTTTTAAAGCATGAACAAGTCCAAATAGATGGCATTGTTAGATAGAGCCTAAACAATTATTTAATGTTAAGCCACTTTTTCTTTAACCAATGGGCAATATGACAGAACATGTCAAATGTCTATGTATTTAGCCTCTCATTTGTGAGATTATCTATTTTTCTAATAATTTTATAACGTTGAAATCGTTCATATGTGGGGTTTCAGACAGTTGGTCTGACAAAACAAATGATTTAAAGAAATCCCTTATTAGGTTTATATGACTGTCATTTTCCCTCTGCCATGACTTTTTATAGACGTTTCTTTTGCAGTTTTCTGCCTTGAAGATGCAAACCGTTTTCTAGAATGCAAAAGACAAGTGGAAACTAAAGAGAAAACAAACCTGGTTTGGTGTTTGGAAAATATTACAAGCACGTTTCTTTTGGCAGTAGTGACAATGCACGTGCCACTGAGAACCAATGGGTGCAGGCTTACTCTTTATACAGAAACACTTATTTGAATTAGTGCATGTGGCGGGGTGTGAGTCATGGATGTACCATTTTCAGACAATGATTGGGAAAATATTATGCAAATTATTCAAGAGTCATCTTAAATTGCAGCCCCAATTACTATACTTATAATTTTAGAGAGCCATTAGTAGTCAGCGACCTATAGGAAGGATAAATGCATTCCAAATGCATGTTATCTGAATTATTTGGTAATTCTTTAAGTGTTAAAAGCATTAAACTGTCATTTTCCCACTGAAACTAAGAGGAACCAAGGAGGCCAGTTTACAAGGTTTCAAATCATCTGGTTTAGTGTTTGGAAGATATTTCTAGAATGTTTTTTGCAGTAGTGACAATGGATGCAGGTTTATACTTTTCATAGGCATCAACTTCATTGAGAGAGTGAGAGGGTGTGAGTCATGTGTGTGTAGGTGTGATCAGCAGCAGGCCTTCACTAACCTTCCTGTCTTTCACATCCTCCCCGACCGCCTCGATGACCCCGGAGCCCTCCATGCCCAGGGTGACGGGCGGGGGGGGCAGCAGCTCGTACAGACCCTGTTTGCCCATCAGCTCCGCGAAGTTCAGCCCGCACGCCTTCACGCGCACCAACACTTCTCCCGCGGCCAGCTGCTGCTTCTGCGTCTTCACCTGCAGCTTCACTTTATCATAGCCCCCGTAGCCCGTGAGGACCAGAGCCCGGATGGAGAGAGGCTTCTCCTCGGCCGCCGCAGGGCTGCTGCTCCCGGACTGCTGCGGAGCCTCTGAGGCCGCCGGGGGAGGCTCCTCGTCGGGCTGCTTCTCCTGCTCAGGCTGCAGAGTTGGAGCCTCTTCGCCAGACATCATGCCTCTTGTGATGAGCACGACTTCAGGTTGTCAGTCCTGATAGATAGTTCTGGTTGTTTGGGCGTTTCTTTAAAGAAGATTATCACTAAATGGCGATGAACAGTTCCCGGTAAATGCAGTTATTGGAGGGGAGAGCTGACATAAAAGAGCAACTTCACTGGAGACGGTCTGTCGTTTGTAAAATGAGTTGGTTAATATCTGCGGGGTTTCCTCCTGTGTGTGCGCTCAACAAGTGACCAACGTCAACGCTGACAGATTTAAAAACACGGATTCCGGTTTGGATTTTCACAATAAAACACTTCCTGTGACTGAAAAACTGAGATAAAAAAAAAAGGGTTGCGCAGTTATAATGACAGTTTTTAAATGAGAGAAAGGAAGAGACGCCTAAAACCGTTTTGACTATATTTATATAGCACCTCATGCAGCCCAATGAGCTTCATAGAGCAAGGTTAAAACAATACATAAGATTACATTACACAACGCGACAATCATAAAATAAAATAAGTCACTAGAACAAATAAACACAAGATCAATTGTATGAAAACCATTGATAAGGTCTTAGAGACCAAGGAAACAATTGATTATGCACAATAAGTAAAACACACGTCCACAGAGTTTGAGTCTAATGCATTATGTTGTAAAAACCTAAATGAAAATAAAATATGTTATATCTGAAATATGATATCAAATATATATAGCTTCATATATCCCATGAAGACTTGGCTAATGAACATTACAATTGCTTTGCAGGGTAAGCAATGAACATTATAACTGTGTTGATGCTTGGTTGTGCTCGATATTTATTCTAGATGATTCCATTTATGAATAGAGGCTTTTATTTGAATGCTTAGTCTCGCAACTTCCAGTGTTTTTCTACCTGATTGTCGCCGGCTTGACACCTCTTAAAAAGTGACGACCGTTTAGTTGGCGAACAGCTGAGAGATGAGAGCCAGAGAGCTGCGGAGAGCTCCAAACCCTGGACACTGGAGTACCGGGAGGAGGGGGGGGGTGTCTGAGGTCACAGCTGGAGGAAGAACATGCAGCAGTTCACTCATCTGCTATTTAAGAGTTAACTAATATAATACCTATCTGGTTCACATCTGTGAATCCATTATTATTTCACCGCTTTTTGTGGATTTTGCAAATATGGGAACAAATATAAGTGGGGTTCACCTAAAAGTAAAAGTATTTTGTTAATTTTAAGTTTGTGACTATCATTATTATTGATAACTCATTAAAACATCCAATTAATAGACAAACTGTTGTTTAGGAATGAGAACAGACACTGTATTTAAAATAAAAAAATATGTATATATATAAAATAAATAATGGACGTTCTGATATGTTTAAGGGCTTTAAAAAAAGAAAAACTAACACAGCTAGACAATTTATATTGAGGCACTTAATATATATATGTTAAACATATTTAAAGCTTATAAGGTTATTTCCGTTATAATGGCATTTACTTGTTTCAGTCACCCAACATGCACGCACACACAGTGGGTTCAAACAGATTGCACCCTGCAACTGGAGCAGCGTTCTCACAAGGTGGTTGAATCTGTGTGCCAGGAAGTGGAGAGACGGTGAGAAACAGAGAGTTGTTTTTTAAGGGCAGGATATTCCTTTTGCTAATATAAAGACTCATGTAATAGTTCAGTCTGATAGAAGTTGGTCTGCACAGATCTGCACATTGGGCCACACAGGCAACACACTCAGTTGGGAAAACAAAACAAACATCTGTGGTCACTAACTCTGGTCTGACGGACACGTTATAAGTGTTCTCAGATGCTCTCTATTTTCTAAACACACACTCGCACTCGCACTCGCACACACACACACACACACACACACACACACACACACACACACACACACACACACACACACACACACACACACACACACACACACACACACACACACACACACACACACACACACACACACACACACACACACACACCACACACACACACACACACACACACACACACACACTTAATTATGGGCTTCTTTGTGTGGTGGAGTTGTTTTTTGGTATTTTATTTTCTATATACATTTATTATAATTCAGCATTTTGTATTTTTGTCTTAAGATATCGTTTTTGTTACTGCTGTCAAACTAAGAAAACCAGTTGTGCTTTTGGATGTAGATTTTGAATATACAATCTTAACAAACATTTGATCCCCAAAGAAGATCATTGACAAGAATATTTGTATTGTGTTATCAACACAAAAGTTAGTATAATTGAACAGACAGTATTGCTGTGATATTTAAGATGATAAAATGTAGTAAAATAAAAAATATGAATGAAAAACACACACTGCAATACAGTGTTTGGAAAATAGATTGACTTACTTCAGTTTGACCAGAAGATGGAGCTAAAATTCTTTCTTTATCTCTGTCTATAAACACATCAGCCAGCTCACTGATGTTATTGTAAATGACAAATAGCCTATAATAAATGTCATACATGATTTAAATGAGTAACAGTTAGGAAAAGGCTACCAAATATTCAGGATATAGGTTTCTATTCAGGGTCACGTGGTAGTTACTTTGAGTTATATCCTCTTTTGTGTACAGGGAATATGCCTGAAAAACAATTGTGAGAAAGTCAGTGTATGTATTAAGTTTACATTGTCAACCTATAGCCTACATTTGGAACCTTGGGTCATTGTAAGAGAACTGCAACATATACCGTTACTAAAATATCAGAATGTTTTCAATTGACTATTTCAGTGTTATGTTGAAAAGATCTCAGTTTTTCATGTATGCTATAAAATAAGGCGTGCACATTTAATGAGATGTTTACTGACACTATTGATATAAATGCCTGTCACGATTCAACACTACACCAAGACAGCCAGGAAAAAACCGGAAGAACGAGCATTCTGTTCCTAAAATAAAAGCATGTCACAATAACAGTAATAATAGATGTTTACATTATTTATATTTGTGTAAAATGTGGATACCTTAGTCGTGAGAGTATTTAGAGGGCGTATTACTGTCTTTCTTAAGAACACTTGAGTTTAACTCTGGGTCTCTGGCTATGTGGTTAGACACACCACGTATACACACATACAACTGATTCGTTTTGGTGTACCCAGGCACACAACATGTGTTAAAAGTTTAGTTTGCCTCTAGCGTGTAACCGACAAATAAGTAGTAGCTACCCATTTTACAAGATGCACATTGTATTTTATTTTTGAAATATCCCACCGGAAGCCCGTTTCAGTGACGCTCCTTGACAGTTGTTGTCAGTCCGCCTCACTTCAGCGGTGGAGCGGAGGAGCGCAGCATTACGCAGAGCATGTAGCTGAAACTACATCTCATCACTGCGCTGCTGAAGTTTTTACATCTGAACAGACTTTTTCGTCTTCTTTGAGAGAACACATTTAGACAATTTAGAGCTGCTTTTTGACATTCCACTAGTTTTAAGCTAAATGACAAGTAGGCAGCAGAGCAGACGCACTCAGTGATACTCGGTGCACGATGGAGGGAAATAAGGGATTACTGCGCTGTAAAATAGTGGTTGTCGGCGATACGGAGTGTGGGAAGACGGCTATCCTCCACGTTTTTGCCAAAGACTCGTACCCAGAGGTAAGAAACCGTATATTATAAACACATGAGTAAAGCCCTAGCAACCACACGGAGTGAACAAATATCCATTCAGCCGGACATATCCAGCGAAACTTAAAAACCTGCTCCGTATGGTAACTGGGCGATGACAAGCAACATCTTTCCTATTTACGTATTCATATGTGTTTTTTTCCATTTTTTAATGACCTTGTATATGAGATTTTATGCATTTTTCAGGCAGGTTACTTCTCTTAACATTTGCTTGAAAAACATTTTCAGGCTTCAGACTCGAGACAATTCAGTGCCCAGTTGCCACTGAACTCTGGCTCTGCGCGCCTTTGCGCATCAGTCTGGTCTGTAAATACTGAAACATTACTTTGTGACCAAACCAACCGCCAGAGAGCTTAACTGCCTCTTACCAAAACACTGTACCCACACTTCCGAGAGACAATAATACAGTTACAATGTTTAGACTAAAAACTCTAAACGTCTAATGAAATTAATCAAGATTAAATAATTCAGAAACAAGTTACTCTTGTAAATCAGTTTAAGGAGGTTTTTTCTAGTACAATAAAGCATTTCAGCACTTAAACCCTAAATATTTTCAATTTAAAACTGGACATTTTGGACAATATCAAATGAGATTTTGGATGGAATCTTTCATGAAGTCTGTTGTGAGGTTGTGTCTTTTCCTCAGTATTATGATGACAATTAATCGGAAATATAATTAGCTGTTACCAAGAAGTAAAGAAAGACTAAAATATTCTTGTAGGTTAATATTTCTTTCTTGGAAAACTTTTGAAGTGTTTTTCCTGCATTTGGAATTAGTTCAAAACTCAGAATCTAGCTTTCTCTCACACACAGATACACACACACACACACACACACACACACACACACACACACACACACACACACACATACACATACACATACACACACACACACACACACACACACACACACACACACACACACACACACACACACACACACACACACACACACACACACACACACACACACACACACAATCTCATGCCTCTGATATTCATCTGCACTCCAGCTGACTGAAATATTAATGTTTTTCTTGTCTACGATACGTTTTCTTGATTTCAATTAAAATCCACAATGTACACAACACTCCCCTGAGCTTTGGTCTAATTTTAGCCACGCGTGTCTCATTTCAGAATTATGTTCCCACCGTGTTTGAGAATTACACAGCCAGCTTCGAGATCGAGAAACAGAGGATCGAGCTCAACATGTGGGACACTTCAGGTAAGGAGACACTCTGGTTTGCTTTCACCCCCTGTGTGTGAGATTATCATGCCAACGTGATGAGAGCTGCGCCGCATCATCGGCCCGTGAAGAAGTTAGTGCGCTCCAGATTGGAAAGCATCTGACTCCTTGGAGCAACATCCGGGCTGTGGGCCAAAAACATTAGCAGCCATTAGGAGAGTGTCATGATAATCTGTGGGGAGCACTGAATGACACTCTCATGTGTTTTTAACTAATTCAATGTGGGCTCCCCATTAGCAGGCACATATCTTTCATAAAGTGTTTATTATCTTGAGTCCTTTCACCACCCCTAGAGTTAAATCGACACTCGTTGTTGGTTTTGAACAGCAGCTTCAGAGTTATATCAGCTC